GCATCGGCCAGCAGCTCTCTCTCACCATGTGACATCACGGTCAAGAAGAATTGATGCCGAGTCACTTGTTCCCGTTCTTGTAGTGCGCTTGTGGCTTCTCCTTTCTGTGAAGACCTCGCTCAGCTTGCCATCTCCTCCTTTACCATGCGATAGATGTCGGCCTTGCCTGTCCAAAACCGTGAGAACTTTCAACAAGTCATACTGTAGTGCGTCGCTGCCTGCCCCTTCCACTTGGACCAGACTAAGTTGATCGGCATTCCGCATCTCGTTGAGCGCCTGCCAAAGACATTTTAGAACATCAGTCTCAAGACGAGATCGACAGAGTGAGGCACAGACATCTGCACATGCTGCGACGAATGTCGTGGCTGAGATCCCCGGTGGTACCTGTTCAAGGTGCCCAGGGCCGAGGATAAGGCTCCACACTTTTCTTCTCTAAGCTGCCTGGCAGTTGTTGCAAAGGAGCGATCGCTGCAAAGTTCGGCAAAACGTTCCAGGGGCCGCCAGGATGCCTATAGTCTTTGCATGCCGCAGAGGCACCCAGAGAAAGTGTCACAACATCCATCACGCAACTCAGTGTTTCGACAGAATCCTTGAACTGTATAGACTACAGTAGAGCTGATTTCATCTTCCAGCCTGGTATGCAAAGCTCATGTACGGGTCTGGCCTCTTTTGGGATGAGACTTCAAGAACTGACGATCATGCGTGAGGAAGCTCATCACGTCTGAGATGCTCACAGTATCAGCCTGTCCGAGGCAATTGGTACGATCAGTGAATCCATCGACGGATAGACAATCATGGGTCATTGAATTGACAGGCAGCCTGCCTTGGATGACAGATCCTGCAGGCCGATGCTGTTGGCAGAGACATCTGTAAACAAGTCAAGCCTCAACGCGGACAAATCCCAAATCCTGCATCATGTGAGGTGCTCTTACCCAAAGTCGACTGACCTGCTTTGACACCGCCGATGCATCAACGTCGATTCCGGTGGGACAGCTTTGCACATTTTGCCTCTCGGGCGTTGCTCCTGCAGTGGAGCACTCGCCACAGGAGCCGCACCTGAACACATGGGGCTTCCGAGAGTTTCCCAGACATACTCCTTCGCGCGGCAGCATGAAGCGCAATGCCACGCAACATTCGAACAACACGGCACAAATGTGCCTCCACTGGCCAGTCCGCTTGAACATCAGCTACTCGTTCCAACACCTCCGAAAGTCGCTTCCACACAAGTCTGACAAGTAGTTGTTCTTGGAAGCATCCGACGGCCACATTCTCATGCTCGGGCAAGTGCAGCCCTTAAGTTAAGCGGGATACATCGCCGCGCATGAAACCTGCTGTGCTACGGCGAGATCGAAGGTCTGCACAAGATTCGGCCAATGGATGTTTCGAGACGACCATGATTTTTTGACACCGTGCCATGAGCAGCCAGCCCGTCAGTACTACACCTGTCGACATCATCTCCAACCCGAGCACCCTCAGGTCTGACTCAAGGGTGCAGCACCATTTCTAACGTGGGCAAAAGGCAACGTGGCGTCACATTGCATAAGAATGCCGCAGCACTTTGTGCCAACATGGTGCTTACACGATATTAATGTCTCTGATCAGAACTGGTGGCTCAAGCTCGACATCTATTTCAAGAAACTAGGTCTCTGAATCCAGCCGGCCGCTTCAAAAGGTTCGATGCTTCGCAACTTGCGTTTGTTGGGTCTGTATGCAAATCGAATCAGTATTTGCAAGGGTCATCGTGTCTTTGAAGAGCCAATGTACCAGCGCAGGAGCGCGGTCTGGTCGACGAGCGTCTTTGTTGCAGAAGAGAGGCAGGGAAATAGCGACAAAAAGGCTTGGAACGAAGTACTTGCACGGGCTTAGCCTCTCGCGCATCTTGCGCATCCATGCAAAACACAAACGCGTCCTCAGGCCTGCAAGAGCCTGGCTTGAGGCAGCGCAGGTGGCACCTCCCCGTGTGCGAGGTAGTCTGCCGACCTTAGCGGTGAGTCATTGAGTCATGGGGTGTGAAGTGATGAGCATGACCTGATCTGAGCCCTCGACATGGCACCTCCGGCTTCAGCCTGCCTGGTCTTCCACACCTCTGCTCTCGGGCGATTGCTTTGCTCACTTGGCCGACGCGAATGCCAAGCTGCAGGCCATCTCTTGAGCAACCGAAGCAGCACACAGCCTAGGCTGCGCAGCCGCAGACTCCAATCCCAAAAGATTTGGAAAGCCTGATTCTCAGTACCTTACAGGCAGCCAAAACCACCAGTCCAAAGAAGCACCAGCTGCTGCAAAGGGAGCGAAGTAGGTCTTAGTGGCAGAAGACAGTCGGCGGCCTTCAGCAGTGAGTCTCTCCACTAGTCTGTAGTGTAAGTATGTGACTGGGCGCTTGCCTTTGTGTCCTGTGTCTGCACAAGGTTCCAGCCTTCGATCCGCTTCCATGTGCTTGGAGGCAAGTATTAAAATTGATTGAGACTTTGCCTGCGTTCCCAAAATTTTGGGTCGCAGGCTGCAGCAAGAAAGCATCGCCAGTAGCTGTTGCAGCAATCGAGTTCGCACTTGCATTGGTGCCTCAGCTTCCAGTACGGTCTGAACCCTTCGTGCTTCGGGTTTCGAGGAAGCGAGGCCTCGGTCTGTATGTGTGTATTCATGTGTGAATATGTATGCCTTTGTCTGCGCATATGCCTATGTAGATATATCTGTATATATATACACATACAGATGTATACATATTCTTTTAACTATACTCATGTTTACTGATATTCATATTCACTGACATGTATTTGAACTGTATTATGAATATTTAGAAATGTTTGTTCGTATTTGGTGGCACTTATTAGTATTTCGAAAATGATATCTACTCTTTGTCTTTCTTTATTTCTTTATGACATTATCTATATATATATATGTTTACACAATTTTTTGCACGTTAACTTGTATGTGTGGTGTGTAAGTGCGCACGTCTGGATGAGTGTCGGGGTGTCGCTGTCCATCTGTCCACCTGTCTGTCTCTGTCTGTATGTCTATGTACGGATATGGCGCTGGGCATGCGTCTGTGCAGGTATATTATGTACATGTCTGTATGTACATATGTATGTATGTGCGTGTCGGGTTTGTGTTTGGGCCGATGGTATTTGCACGAGGCTAATCTCAGTGCGACGTCCGAGGCTGAAGCTGTGCTGCGCCTTTCTGTCGCCCAGTCTCTTGCCCAAAGCAGAGCATCCAGAAGAGCCTTGCACAGGGAACTTGCATGTGGACCGTCTGGCACTACTGTGCACAAACTGAGTTCTTGTCCGCTGGCCCTCCGGCTAAGTGCAGCATGTCCACACCTCGGCGCACCAAGTTGAGACCAACGGCTGAGTAAAGTGATGGAGGAGCTTGAAAGGCCCGGGACAGTTCAAGTCCTGCTTCTGATCGTGTAGAACCTCAGATCTGAAAAGATTGACCGGTAACATGCTGCTTCCACGCATTATGACAGGTCTGGCGACATCGCATGGCATCAAGCTGTGACAGGTCAGCCAAAAAACATCACGCAGCACGCCTCACCACCGGGTTTTGCACATCTAAGGTCTCAGCCAGTGTCCACAGCGAGATGCACCTTGGGCGGTCGACCTAGCGTCCACGGCAGAATTAGATCTTCATCCGGTCTTGCAGCCGCCAGTCTTGAGCACTCTTTCGTCCGCCGAATATTTCAACTGCATTGCCATGCGGTTCACTGCACGGTGCGGGAACGTGCCGGGGTGAGAAAGCGCATCGAAAGCAGGGCAGTCCACGTCGTCCCACTGCTGGATGCTCGCAGAGATGTTGGCGAAGCAGGAGGCCGAGCTGCAGTTGCTCTGGACAGGTCGTGTCTGCGAAGTCCTTTCTTCGCTGTTGCTCAACACGGTAGTCTGTGAGCTTCCAAAGGAAAACAGCAAGCAGACTGCACCCTGTGAGGTCAGACCACCAGCCTCGTTAAACGTGCATCTCCTCGAAGTTGGGTGTAAAACTACGCTCCTTCCACCAGAAATCGATACAGTTCCTAAAAGAGCTGCCCTTGCTGAAGGGGTTGAAGAAGGCAGCCTGAGGCGCCTTCCAGAAGTGCTCGTATCTTCGCATGTTTATGAGCTCGTTTACGGTAAGATTTTGAGAAATCAGGACCAGCTGCACAATGATCAAGCACATAATCCCGGGAAGTGTCGCACAGTGGACTACGACCAACAGGGCCAAAGCGGGATGCTGCGACACAAGAAGTAGTGCCTGCCAGAGAGGCCGCGCCCTCTCGTCCGAAAGGAGTGTTGTGAGGCAAAGAGTGAAATGAGAAACTTGAGCGATCACCTCGACAAGCATTAGAAATAGGAAAAAGCGATGATTTCCTCTGCCGATCGGTGTGTCGAGCAAGACGCAATAATGGTCGAAACGCTCAATGCAAGTGCCCGAAACGCTACAATACTTTGTTCGCGGCCCCTTCAAAACCCATGTTGTGGTACAGAGCTGCTTCAGTTGTGGCAGCGCACTTGGAGGCATCTCACTGTCGATCATTCTCATTAGCCTCTCTATGCCAGAATTCTCCGGCACCACACCTGGATCCATGCGAGCAATATATTGAAATCCACCCAGTACAGCAGGGACAGCAACTTCAAACACCACGGCAGCATGCGGTGCAAGTTTCCATCGTGCAGTGCGTGAGAAACTCAAGTGCTCGTAAATAGCCAGCATGGCGGCCATGTGACAAAGCACAGGGACAAGCTTCCGCGTCACATAGCTGGGGTGCATTATTTCTTGTAAAGCTTGTTGAAGGACATATTGGCAGTCCAAGGCATGCAACCTTTTCTGGTACTTCCTGCTATCCCCGCCTCTATCCGACGTGATATCACCCGAAGACCAACATGTCGCACTTTCTGAACTTGGCTTCAGGCTCTCCAGGCATGAGACTACATGCCAGTGTCCGCCATTCGATGCCAGGTCTACTGCAGACAGACCTGAATGAGTCCTTGCAGCAGCGTTGCTTCTCAATCGAAGCAGCAGCTTCACTCCAAAGGAGTCGCCTGCGGAAGCTGCCCAATGCAGTGGTCGCATTCCATTCTTGTTTGCAATCTCCAGTGCGGTTGAACCTCCACGGCTCATCAGCAGAAGCACTCCTTCAGCATGGCCGCAATGTGCAGCAACGCTGAGGGATGTGTGGCCATTCTCGTCTTGAGCTGCTACGTCTGCCCGGGCCGCCAAAAGAAGCCTGGCTCCCAAAATGTGCCGGCACTGCATGGAAATCATCAGCGGAGTGCGCTGTTGTGAGTCCCTCGCATCAACTGCTTGCCCCTCCAGAGCCTCTCGCACAAGGGCTGCAGAGTCCCAGTACGCCGCTACATGCAGAATGGAAAAGCCTTCTGACTCCACATGGTGTCGCAATGCTGGATCAGCCCCAATTGCCCGCGCAAGCTCGTCTCGCATTCTGTCGGAGTTCTGCACCATTGTGCCATCGTGTCACGAGTGCGACCAACCCATTGCAGGGATCGCAGCATGTCTACCAGCAGAGGTTGAAGCAGCACTGCAGCACTGCAGCGGCATGGACAACATGGGCATGTGCCGCATCTCAGCTCAGTAGCTTCGCTTCGCAAATGGGCTCTGCTGGCTTTTCCGAGCACCATCAAACAAAAGCAGAAGGCCTGGCTGCTGACGTTGTCCGCTGGCCTGCGCAGCGATCCCAACTCCATGCCGGGTTATGCAACACCATCTGAGGGCACGGCGCGTGCTGCAAAATGATTCGTGCCAGCTGGACCGCTGTCGGTGCAGCTGTGTTGGACAGTCCTGGCAATGCAAGTCACACGCCTTTCCTGAGCTGAGTGGATGCTGAGGCTCAGGCGGAGGAGGTTGCAGAGGTTTGAAGGCATCACCTGCTGCAGTATCATGCCAGGATTCCGGCCTCGGGTTCTGCGGACCGGAACCGTCGAAACAACCCATCCGAAGCTGAGGGCTGAGCTCAGAGACAGAAGCTGCGCAAACAGCTCTGAGTCTTTGATATGATCCACTGACCAAACCTGGCACACTCAGCTGTCGACATGGGAGGGCGCCGTGTATTGGAACGACTATCTCGCTGTACGCCGCTAGCCAGTAGATCAGTAGATCACTCTGGTGGCCTCATCTCTGCACCCCATGGACTCGAGCTCAAGCCACTCCCGAGTTGTCAGAACCACCCAACAAGACGCGCTCCAGTTGCGGCAATAAAGCCACTTGAAGTGGTGCGAGGTTGCTTGACTTCTGGCTCTTTGGAAGCGGTGCTACCAGCTACCGGGCCAACTCCAAGGAACTCAACCTGCTGTCTGCTGAGTCTAGCAGCTTTTCAACAGATTCCGGGGCCCTGCCTGAGCTGCGGCATTGAGAGGGGAGACTGCACTGGAGAACCGCGGCCATGTTCGCACAAGACTAGAAGCATACGTTTTACTGGCACTGAATTTGCATGGATTCCTTCGCATGAAAAGAAGCTTCTTTGGAAGGCGCCGGACTTGGACGGGGGAGCAGCCCGCGTCTCTTGAAGGCTGTGGAAGGCGAGTCTTGGGGGCCCGTGCACGGGAAAGGGACGCCGCCGTGTGCTGATTTCAGCAAATTGTCAAAGCTCTGGGGAGCGCTCTCAGGGCTGTCCCGAGCAGATGCTCATCTTGTTGGCGCTTTCGGAATTCTCTCATTCTCGTGCTCTGGCTGGGGCATAGTTTTCGAGCTGCCCTAACCTGGAAGTCCCTACAGGCCCTACAGCTCCCCTGGCAGAGTCTGGCCGCAACTACAGTATCTACAGAAGCACAGGTTGGCGTCGACTACAAGAACCCAAAGAAACGGTCCCAGAAATGCGGTGCAGATTGTGCCGTTCAAACCGGCGTTCTACGGTGCAGAGATCTCAGTGACTGATTGCTCAGGGCACTGTCGCAGGTCAGCGCTTGCTTTCACTGGGCGGTGGCTTCTTCTTGATCTGACAAGTCTTGGAGGCACTCGGGAATCGAATGGCTCTTTGTCGGCCGTGACGCCATCTCCATTCGAGTTCGGGCCCTAAATTCATTGGTCTGTACCATCCGGTTCATTGTTGCCAGATGCAGTATTTCACGCAAACGGGCATGTTCGCTACCACCTACAAGCGCACTGAGTGCAGCTTCAGGATTAGGCCGAAGACGCCTTTGACGAGCATTCGATTGTGGGGCCATCGCTGAAGGTCTGGCGAGATGGCAATGCGCAGTTTGTCGCTTCGGGTGGGAGTCGTACAGGGCAACACACGCAAGCGACACTTCCACGGGAGCTGGTCGCAGGCTACACCGTAGTGCCTTGCTTGCTGCAATCTAAGTACAAATAGTGTAGGGTGCCCCCTGGACAAGAGGAAGTGCCATCGCGAATTCAGCAAATGCAAGCCTTCAGTGGCTTGCTTGCCGTGCCCCCCCTGACAGCTGAGTGGCGCTGCGGCATTTGCCAGACTGTCGGCTTGTCCACCAAGAGCCGCGCGGTTCTAGATTCACATCTGACTCGCAAGCGCAGGCCTGTTGGTTGCTGCCCCCATGTGCTGTCTTGATGCCGTCTTTTGTGTCTCGGCCGGCTCGGCTTTGCAGCAGCCGTGCGTTGGCTTGTGCCGGGTGCATTGCTGGATGGTTGGCTGCGGTGCTTGCACGGCCGCCTGAAGATTCCGATCTTCGAGACCAAGTTGGTCCCTACAGCCGGCCCTGGCTCACGGTGCCGATTGCTGCCCAGTTGGTGATGTCCGTAATCGCTGAATGCTGTTGCACTGGATTCTTCTGAGGCCCAACATGGCCCAACGAATCAAGACTCAGCAACATGCGACAGCCTTCCTGCCTGCCCGTACACCGGTCCCACACGCAGCATCATCCAGCTGAGACAAACTAGCATTCAAGCTGGCATTTCGCTTCGGAACGCCAGTTCGACACAAACTCCTCCAGTGACCAGCGTGAGGAGCTTCTGGTCTGGTGAACACGAGGCTCTAAGAAAACAGTTCAATTTATATCGCCCTTCGACTGTCTTGTCATGGCCGGTTCAGGATCGTAGACGTTGGCTTTTTCGACATGCAGTCACGGATATCGCTGGTAAGGTAGCGAACTCTCCGACCCCTGCCTTGCGGTGCACATCCGCCCAGTCCACGGAGTGGCCGCGCCGCACCTGACAGCTGGATAGTTCCCTTTGGGTCGGGGCACGCCAGCTTCGTCATCCGAGCCGAGCAGCCGCATCGACTAGGTCGCGCAACGAGCTCGGATCCCCTGCCCACGAGAAGGTGGGGCCTCGGCTCAACATCACGGCCCCTGCTGCTCCGTGTCCGCGGCTTCGCAAGGCTCGCAAGGCACCCAGCCGGTGTTCGTTGGCCATCCCAGTGCATCCTCACCGAGCTCGAAGGGAAAGTTTACCTCCAGAGCAGCTGAGTCGCTACGGGGAGTTCCTAAGTCAGCTGCAACTGGTCACTGCCCCGGCGGACCTGGTCAACGAACAAGTGGCGCTTCGCCCAGGAGCTGGTCAAGCCGTTCACATCCCACTTAGTCTTCGAGTTCATGACGTAAGTCGCCCATGCCAGCAGACGGACCTCAAAAGCAACCAGTGCTAAGCATTGTTTGCATCTGTTCGGAAGGGCCCTGTGGATTTTGGAGTAGCTATGGGATCTATAGGCATTAGACTTAGACCAGCCATTCTGCAACCGAGCCCTGCGCCGCTGGAGGGGCTTCGTGTGCTTTTGGAGTCTGCGACAGGAATTCCACGAAACTGCAGGCTTCATCGGACATCACATCGAGCCTAGGAAAAATGCAGGTGCAACGGTAGCTCTCTCAATGGCAGAGCTTGGCTTCGTGCATCGCCACACGAAAGCAGAAGCCCACCAAGCTCGTTGCAGATGCTCGTCTACGCAACCTGCAACGACTTCCCGTGACGTAGTACCGAACGCCACTGTGCCAGCAAGAAGACTGGGGCGGATGCCCCTCATGCTGCAGATAGGCATCCACGAATTCATAGGCGCTGGTCCGAGACACGGTTGGCACGCGATGCAGCAGCAGCCTCAAGCCACAATGCAATGCAAAGCGATGCAAGAGCAACACCCAGGAACGCAACAGGAAGGAGTTTTGAGGACCAGGCTCAACCAGGATGCTTCGTGGGTCCGGGTTCCGTAGAATGGCCTCGGAAGGCTCTCCGCATGTCATGAAGCTTGTCCTCGTGCAAGCGAACGACCGAGCTTGTTCGTTCATGACGCTTGCAACTGTGCTGCCTCCAAGCCATCGCAGAGGCGAAGACTCACCGACTCCTAGCGACCCGGAACATGACGACTACGAACTTGGCGGAAACGGCAGACGGCCGTTCAGGCCTCGCCGAAAAGCAGTCGGGATGCCACAAGCCAGTTGCAAATGGATGGTCGCCATTGCTCGGAGTTTCCACGAGATTCCATGACCTGCCGGATCTATGGACCAGAAGCTTGGCAAGGGCCTAAGCCGGTAATCGCCTGCTCGATGCGTTGCCGAGAGAGCCGAGTTTGCAGCAGCGCTACGCGAACCTGTTGTGGCGAGGGCAAGGACGGCACAGCGTAATACAAACACAAAGAACCTAAGGATCCCATGCTGGTGGTTGAAAGCGGCGCCAGAAGCTCCAGCTACAGCGGCTATAGTAGCAGTGCCGCAAAGGCCCTTCATGTTCTTTCATGGCCTCGCCTGGGTGCTGGCGCTTGCCGGTTGAAGCTGCTGTAAGCGCTCCCGGTCCTGGCCACTGGCAGTGTTTTAACGGAGAGACGGAGCTAAGAACATCGCTTCTTTGCGTATCTTCCCGTCACATCACAGGGCCTTTGAGTCGCTGCGATTCGCGATCAGCACCACGCGGAGGTCTTGCCTGCAGGCAGGAACATCCACGCTTCCTTCGCTTAGCTGGTGAGACTGAGGCAGCAACCCCAACTTTGAGCGCACCCACTCGAAAAGCTCGTCTTTGTGTCTGGGCCGGGCGGGCATAGGGCTGAGACATGGAAATGGCTTCCAGGTGCAGCCCCGTTCGCTCATCGCTCAGCATGTGGTACTCGTCTAAGATCAGCCTCAGACACGTCGTCACGTACATCACACCACGTCGGTCACGGCGCGTCGCTGTGACAGGACCGGCTTCGCTGCTGCTGACATGGTGCAGACTTGGGCCTGGACAGTTTCTGGGACTGCCTTATTGCAGGCAGTCAGACTGCGCAGTTCTCGGATCTCAGGCATCGCTCCGTGCTGCCATGCTGCATGCTGTTTTGCGAGGTCATCGTTCGTTGCAGCACCTGCATAAAGTTAAGGCCTCCTTTGCCCCTAATGGAAGGCCATGTTTCCGGCTTCATGTCTGTGCCTCAGCCAAGGCGGTGGTGACCAGGATATCTGAAGAGCCATCGAACCTGTGCCATGTGGGCCATGAGTCGCCGGAAGGTTCGTCGGGTTCAAGTCTTGGGGCAAGGCTCGTGGATGTCAAATTGCATCTCTTCCTCATCACGTACAGTAGCCGGAAGCTGTGATCGACGAGGTGATGTGGCAAGGAAGCCTCAAGCCGGCCACGGAGGGTCGCCATGTGGTGTGTCTTGCCAGCGCCAGGTGCTGAAACCTGTTGAAAGCCATGCCAAACTAACAATGGAAGCACTGACAGGCGTCGGCATTGTCGATCATGCAAGCAGTGCAACTCGAGATTGCCGCTCTTGGCTTGGCACTCACCCGACACAACAGTCTCAGATCGCCACTAGCAGAACCAGGCATGGCGAAGGGCTGAACAGCAAATCCTGCAAGCACATTGTGTATGCATCATCAAACAACTGCCCTGCAACTTCTGGGAGCAACTGTTTTGAAAGTACTCCTCCAGATCTGAGCGAAAGTCCGCTGAGTAGGACGAGGTTGGGGGCCTGGGCACTTTGCTTAAGGCATTGGGCATTTTGGAGACGCTCTGGATTTTGCAGGATCAGACACCAGGCTCTTCGAATAAGCCCTGCACGATGGAGAGAACATAGTGCGTTGATGCTGCTCATCACCCGCCATGCTTCCAGTAGTGCCTGAAAGCACAAAGGTGGGACCGCAGCAACTGCTTGTTCATCGTGCTTTGTGCGAAGGGGGTTCCACACGGTTTCAGGCAACACAAGTCCTTTAGGAAGTAGGATCCGCTTTGAAATCGCATCGAAAATCGAGTGCACGGTTGTGCTTGGAATACAGAGCATCAGGGCTGCTTGTTGTGCACTAGATGCTGACTGCCTTACAACACGGCTCTCTGGGTTTTCCTCTACGCCAGAAAGATGATCTCGGCGTGCTTGCCCGTTACGCGGCGATGCTTCAGTGCCAGTGGCGGAAACAACACCTATCGGATTTAAGTTTGTGGATTCAGGACGGCTTCAGCAGTGCCAAATTGACCAAGTCAGCTTGAGGTTCCTCGATCTACAGAGCTTCGGAATCTTGAAGCTTTCCGGGCCCGGTCACGACAGCCACTGCATCTCTGCTAAGTTCACAGTCTCCGAGGCTTCCGCTGTCCGGACCCAAGCTCTTGGCAAAGAAAGACAGCAAGCGCCGAGGCTCCTCACGAACGACCGGCTTCACGAAGCCACTTTAAGACTTCAAGAGTTCTGCCAGGCTGCAGCATGCAAGGAATTGCTGAGTAGCTTCGTCATTCAGGCTGGACAATTCTGAATCTGGCAGTGTTGCGGAGCCTTGGTCAAGTCACCTGCTTGGGAGATGTGATGGGGCCGTTTTTGTCAGCTTTGCTAGGCCTGTCAAGCTTCTATGCCAGCGGGCATCAGCCACAGTACAACACCTTTCGACCCCCCGAAAAGAAAAGGAGAGGAAGCATTTCGCCTGAAGATCTTCTGGTAGAGGCTGAAGCTGAACGGGATATGGCGCAGTGTGACCTCGATGAGGAGTGATGCAAGGACGAGGCGGATCGGCTCGCTTCGACTACGAGGCACTGGCTGGGACGCAGTTGTGCAACATCGCTCTGCTTCAGGTCTTCCATGGTCCTGACCTTGGGGGATTCGCCTAATCGCCAAGCTAACAAGCACTGAACAACATCGTCCTCTCAGACCACAACTGAATGAAGCGGATTTGGTGGAGCGAAGCGGAAACTACAGCGATCACCTGAACATCTTGATGCAAGGCGACTTGAGGCCGCCACTCGGTGTGTACAAGTCGCAATTTGTCATTTTGCTTTCTCCACCTCTCGAGAGCATTTTGATTTGGCTCCCGGCGGTTCTCTGGGAAGTTGAACGAGGTATCCACGCCTCTCATTGACATGTCGCCAAGTTCCAGAAGGCAGTAGATGCAGCTTCTTCAAGTTCGAGATGTGGGTGTGCAAGCTTGCAGGATGGCTACACCATGGAGATCTTGAGTTGACAAGTCAAGCTGATAAAGCATGAAGCAGCACAACGTGCTCACATCCATGCCAGCGGCCTTCAAGGTAGACAAAGCGCCAAGGATGGAGGCCTAACAGTTTTAACATGTGGATTCCGGTTGGACAGGCTGAGAAGAAGCCATCTGCGTCATTTGGGCACCGGCGCGTGTATTCCGCCAACCATTTGAGCAGAATGTCGTCCACCTTCGACAAGCCCTTCACCTGCAAGGAGTCGTCAGGCTGAGCGCTGCGAGCGGCCATCGCCTGAAAGACTTGGCTGAGCTCTATGCATAGGTAAAGCAGCAGTAATCGGAGAACTGCGCAATGATGTCCAGGTACATGGCACCTCTGTGAAGCAGGACATGTCCAAGGCCCGTATGACTGCCGATCTCAACAGATCGACTCACACTAGCTGCTAGCGGCTGCTAGCTGACTGGGTTCCGGCCCTCGAACTGGGCCTTCCACTGTTGTCCAAGCTCCGCTGCCAGACTTCCCGCTCGAAGTCACGCACGGCCACTCGGAGTCCCAACTCACGCATCCTGTCAGAGTTGCTTGAAGATTTTTAAGACCTCCTCGCATTGCATTGAGCTTGCTTCAATTTATCCACAACTGTTGTGGCGTCCTCTGAAGCGTCCCCATCTTTACGACATATATGCCGTAGACCTCAGCGTTGCAGAAGAACCACAGCGGGCATGTTGTCGGGGCTCGTACTTCCCACCGGCAGTCAAGCTCTGCACATCGCTTTTGCGCTCGACGAAACGCTTGACTTCGTCTGGGACATGCCAGGCCTCATGCTACGGCACGTTCGGTTGAGTGGACGAGAAGTACATCGGCAACTGTCACGTCAGTCTGCGTAGTCAGACCATGACAAAAACCCCCCAGCAAGACTCAGCAGTGCTCACTGCCATTAATAAGCACGTAGCACGCATTGTTTGAGCCGCAAGCGTTCATGAGCACATTCCGCAGAAAGAGTGCTGCATCCGAGCCAGCAGGACCTCGAAGATATGCTTTTCTATTCGGCCACAGTGGCCTAAACGCCCTAAAGACAAGCCGGTCAAGCCGAGCTGAGCTCCCGGCAGCATCGGCACAAGCAGAAAGCCATGATTGCAAGGTTCACATGATCACGCTCCTGGTATGGCGCCACTGCCTTATTGCCCCATGCCACCCGCAACCGCGCTTGCCACAGGCTACAGCACTTGAAGCTGTGATCGCTGCGACAAGGCCCATTCGTTCACCTCGCGATTCGACGCTTTTGATGTGCTCATGCATGCTGCACACAATCCGGTGCTCCGCACAAGTGTCTACGTTCGTCATCCGAGCAGCAGCAGCGAAGTATCCAAGTCTTCGTGTCGCATGGGAGCGGCGACCTTGTTGCAGCTCAACAGTCGCAGCAACCCCCTGGTGCTAGTCCGGACATTCGGCCAACATGAGGAACTCTGCAGCCAGCGTCTCCGTCGATAAAGGCAGAGGCGCTGGCCGAAGGACATCGGCTATCCATGGCAGAAACTTCATCCGCAAGCTTCTCACGAGCCTCACGCGGACGTGACGTACTCCGTTGTCACGATCCATCACATGCGCAAAATGCATTGCAAGCGACAGGTCAATGCAGTGACAGTTGATTCGCGCTGGGGTTGTGGCTGGAGACCGCCGTCTGCACCTCGGCACAGCTGAAGAAATCCTTTTACTTCCCATGTACCATTCTGTCTGGAGCTGTTCACAAACTCCAGAAGCCTCCACCAATGGCGGAGCATGACCGCAAAGCTTTCGACTATGCGCCGGGTGGGTTGTGGGGCCGCCGCCATCCGGAGAGCGACATTTGCTAGCATCCTGACTCAGAGCTTGTGCTGGAGCAAGGTGGCGTGCTGCTCGAACCTCCAGCAGCTCTGCCAGGACGTTCTTGTGGACCAGGTATCCCAAGCCTTGCCAGAGCTTGAGTTTCCCCGGAGGGCAATCGTCAGCCGATTCAACTTTCCCCTTTTTCTACCTCTTGGGAAGCTTGGAGCGGCTCTGAGCCCTGGCAATCCAACGGCTCAGGCGCGCACTCAGACCCTCAGATGACGTGTAGCTTACCTCGCCATGGGCCATAAGTCCCAGGTGCGCTTCATGACACCAACGTAGCGACCAATACCGTCATGAGGGACAAAGCAGTGACGCCTTCAAGCGCTGTCGGTCAATCGGCACATAGTAGAGCGGCAGGTCCTCGGAACCACGTGGACATATTTGCTTGAAGCTGCCAGGCTTTCATTCTCGCCTCATCATAGAAGGTAATGACGCCGTGGCGGCTGCTCAGCGGCCGTCCAAAACCGACTCGCCTGTGGGCTGTCACGTGCGATTTCATCCATGTCTGCGGGCAGGCCAAGACATGCCACGTCTCTATGACTGTCTATGATGCATGAGAGTCGCCTGGCCTGTCAAACAGCTTGCCGCCTGCAGGGTCGCGATCCATCTGCCTCATGAGAGGTCAATGCGAACAGCTGGCTGAGCAACGGAAAGACTGCAAGCTCGGTCTTCCACGTGTCCACATAAACCTTTGGAGCCACAGAATGGGTCCAGGCAGATTGAATGATTCCGAGCACACTCAGACGCCTTGTCCATCTGCGCCTCGGAGACGAAGCTGCGTTTTGGAGGATCTGATTGGATGGCGGCACCTAGCTTTCAGGATGCTGCTGCATGCTGCCCTACTTTGGGCTGTCGGTGCAAATCACACTGCTATGAGCGGGACGCGGTGCCCGCGGTGCCTGCTTGCTTACCGAGCTGGCCTGAGTCGCGCGGGCGGTGCGAGCAAAGGCACTGCAGGGTTCCAGGACGTCTCTACGGCCTCGTCCTCGGAGTCTGAAAAGTGTTGCACCGTTGGCCTGACGTCTTTGTTGTGTTCCATGCGGCAGTTTCTTCTTGCGATCTGGATCATCTTCTGGGCGTGAACATGCTCCCGTGTCCGTTAGTGCTGCTTATGTCCTGCTGATTCCTGCTGGCACATGCTGTGACACATATGGATTTTCCTTTTTCATGAAACACAAGTGGTGACTGAGTCTAATGAGCCTTCCCTTGTTCTTATCCGTTCGCGTTGGTCCCCGAGCCAGTCACTCGTTTCAGTGGTTCACCATCCAGGGTTTATTTATGGCCAGCCGTCCCTGTTGGAGTTTGGGCTTTTGCTTTGCAGGCATTCCCTTCTCTGGTCCCGGCTTGTCACTCGACATCTCCCACTTATGCGCCGAGGCCGGAGGTGTGGGGGTCTAGATGCGTTTCATGGAATCAATCAAGTGTCATCATGTAAGTACATTCTGCCCACCCCCTTTATCACCGTCCCTGCGCCTTAAACACTCACTCCCAAGCCCTGGCCCTATTGGCCTTGGACATCCTTAGAAGAGAATCTTCCATTTGTCTGCACCGGAACTCGCTCCGGGCTCCGAAGCTCCTCTTGCGCTACTTCTAGCGGATAAGTTACGGGGTTTGGATTTGGGATTTGCGTCCTTCGTCTCGCACGGTACCTATAGTCGTTTCGGTGTGTAGGACTTGCCGCTGATCATGTGCTGATACGGTTTCGGGCTTGGCAACCAATCATTTCTTGCGTTGCGCTGATAGGTTAGGAAGCAGTCCATCTTTTTGGGGTTTAGGGCTTGTTCGCCTGGCGGCAGGATCGGGGCATTGCCAGCATTCGCTCATTTTGTTTGCCACCTAGAATCTGCTGGGCTTCTGCATGCTGGCAACCAGCCATTCCTGCTTGGGATTCTTGTTTCATCTCCAAAGTCTACCCGAAGGGTTTGTCGGAGTCGTCACCATCCACTCCTTTCAGGTTTCGGGTTTGCTACCCATAACAGCCCGTAACATGTCAGAGTCTCGGGCAACCTCAGCGTTTTCGGGCTTAGGCTCGTGGCAGCTGTTGACTGTTGCGGCCCACTCTGTGTAGTGTTTGCCGTTGCGGACTCGTTTTAGTGTTTTGGCTTGGGTTCGGTCGCTCTCATTCCTGTACATTTGACTTTGGCAACTAGCCATTCCTTTTAGGGTTTCGGGCACGCCACTCATCCTTTCTTTACGCACTGTGGGGATGGTGACTCTGTCAATCGGTTAAGGGATACCTGCAGTTGCAACTCAGGATGCTGCTTGTCCTGAGTTTCCTTCGGCTGAGGTGCGTGCGGCTGCCGGCAGTCCAGCTGAGCATGGTAGATGCTTTGCAGGATGGCTACCTTGGGGTGATGAGTCTGCGCAGAGAATGCGCATCATTCCAACTCAACGGCAAGCTTGGCTTCTTGCCCCTCGCTTCGCAAAGCCGGACTTGGTGACCTGAAAATCAAGAACTTCATCTGTCCATTCTGTCGACATGCACAACCAATTGCCAAGGCGCGTGGATATGCTTCGCCAAACATCGCTCTTGTGGAAGGTGTTCTCCTCGATAGCACGCCTCGCCAACGAACATCAGTGTAGTCAGACAGGGTGCATCGCCAGTCGTTTAATGCCTCCAGCACCAGCTCGAGCTGTGTCCAAGCTTGTGTAGTGAGTGGCCTGGCAGTGAAGCCAGCTAGTGCAGTGCGACATCGGCTGCACTACGGCCCAGCCCGTTCTGAATGGACCCTGGCTCAGATCGCAACGAACCAAAAATACCGGCTTTCGAAGCGATCGGGACCAATAGCCGCTGGAGGACCTGGGGCTCAAGCTAGATGCGATGGCGCAAAGGTGCCTTTCCCAGTCGCTTCAGCGTATCGACCGAGACGAAGGCTCGGCCAAGACTCGACAGTGGCTGAGGATCTGCTTTTTCCACGAATGGAACTTGAACGCTGGCCTGAAGGTGTCCATTGCGGCTTGCGGGCTTGCGCGGACTCATGCACTCAAATTCTGAGCTGCGGGCCCATCTCCTCAAGCTCTCTTCTCGAATCAGCGCACCAAGGTCGTCACCTTCCCGGCCGAGACACTCGGTCCTGTCCTATACCGCCTATTAACACAGTGCCACAAAGTGAATCTAAGGCTTCAGACGCTGCTGTGACTTCATCTTCCAAAGAATTCTGAGGAGAACTTCCGACAGAGATCGCCTGAGATTCAAGCTCGCCGCCAGATTCTGTGCATCTGGGGCCTCGTTCATCAGGGTCCAGGCTCGTTCTGCTGATAGCTCATCAGCTGTCCTCGGAGCCAGGATCTCCGGCTGACTTGCCAAGCATGGGCTGAGCGTCCGTCCGTTGTCTGAGCAGAGTACGTACTTTTGCCACGAGGCCTTCGTCACTTTCGGGAAAATCCTGGCAGGTCCAACTGCTCTGTGTGCAAAGGGCCGGCTTACACCAGCAACGACCCTCCATCCTGGACGGACACCAGATGCTCAACCTGGCCAGGATACACTGCTCCGCAAATGTGGACATTGGAAACTACTGTAGGCCCTGCAGGCTTTGTCCGCCTCGTTGGAGAGGCAGCTCAAGCTGGCCAGAACCGTCTCGACCCGCTCTGTCTTTGCGCCTTGACAGGAAGGGTGGGCGAACTCAAAGCAGCTTCTGAGGGCACCTGGGGGCTATGCCATCTGCATGGAAAGATGCTTTTGCACCCCCGTGGCCGGAAGTGTCGTGACCACTCATCCTTGGGGTATTCAGCCCTACTCCTCAGCACCGGACTCGTTTGCACTGATGTGCGCATTTTTCCTCAGCTCTTGGGCTCCCGCTCCCAGGCCACTACCACCTCAGCTTCCGCTCAGGCACCTTGAAAAAACGCTCTGCCCCGGCTTTCACCATGGTACGCCGAGTTGCCAAGAGCTGCACCACGAGCAAGGCCTCTGAACCTGAGGAACTTCTGACCGCTTCTGAGCTGAGCCAAAGACCTCACCGCGCCCCCGGGCTGAAGTTCAGATTCACGAGCTTGTGCGAGTGGCACAGCGGCCACAACTCAGAGCAAGGAGCCGCTTCTAGTACCAAAGCAATCTCAATAGCAACGTCTGTAAAAAGGGCCCCGGCAAGGTGGCGCCTCGGCCTGAGTGAATTGAAAAAGCGTCACCGGAACGCATTGAAGTCGAGTGTGCCACGCCGCGTGAAGTCGAGCCACCGGAGCTGCAGGTCACCCAGGCCCAGTGGCGGCTCCGACGGGTCTCTGATCGTCGGGAAGACGGTCACCCAGGACCTCGGCGTACCATGGCGTACCGCATCCACAGCCCTGGCATAGCAATACACCCGCGCCAGGTATTGAGTCTCTTGCGCATTGTCTTCAGCTTTCCGCAAGTACCAGCCATCAAGGGCCAGAACCGGGCTGTGCGCACGGTCGATAAATTGCCAAGCCTGGTCGCCGCGGAAGGGGGGTGGGATGAATTGAGGCAGTACGTAATCTTACTTCTAAGATGCCCCGAATGGAAGGCCTCAGCATTGGTTGAGAAAGCCTTCCACACACTAAGTCCGTCTTCCTCGCCGTCTTCTGGCCTGCGAAGTCTTAATGTCGCCACAGTTTGCAGTATCGGCGAAGGGTCGCAAACGCTAGCCGGTCCTCGCTGGCATGGGCGGGCACTTCGTTGACCTGCTCATGGCGCGAACTGCCCGGTTGTCTCGACAGCACGTTAGCACTTTTGATTGTCAGTAAAGCGCAAGCACGGGAACTACAACTCGGGACCAACATGCGTGCATGAGTCCTACTAAAGTCGATACGGCGTAAGGAAGTACGATGCCCAGGAGATCCTTGTGCATGCTCTGTGTGTTTTTCGACAGATCTGGAGAGTTGAGGGGTAAGGGAAGCCTGCGAAGTGCCCCGTGACATCGAGCTTCTTATTGGCTTGGCTTTGGTCTCAGCTTCTGGCAAGCGGTAGAAGCCAGGGCTCTTCGGTGAATGCCACAGAACCGGCTCCAGCCTACGAGGCTTCGATTACTCTCCCAAGCCACGGAGGTGCAAGCACTCTTTGAGCACGCAGCCCAGGACGGATTCGCAAAGCCGCATGCAGATACAACGAAGGCCTCGCAGCCGAAAAAGATTTGAGATGGTCACAGAGCGTTTCAATTCTGACTTTCCTGAGCTGCGAGCTTAGAGACGATCTCGATTACGTCGGTGGCGGAGATCACTGGACACTTCTCTTTCCAGTCAGCTGCATGCAAACTGGCCAGGTCTGGCAAATCCCACTGGCCATAGCTGCGACTGGTAGTGGTTCCTGCCATACGACCACAATCGCCGCCAACTTCGACAAAGAAGGAGCTGGCTGCATCCTGGTCCTGTGCCGCCTCGTGCGAGTCAGCCCAGTCTGCTCTGAGATCTTCCACGTTCTCCGCCTCGTGTCCATTGTGTCCATTTGTTGCATGTCCCCTGCCTGCAACGGAGAGCGTGCAAAGCAGCTGCAACTTGCTGTGACGGAGATAGGGTGGAGAGGCATCCGAATCGTCAGCCAACAGCTCGCCGACAAACTGGGTCTTGGCAAAGTGTCGCTGAAAAGCGACCTTCTGCAGTGGAAGGCTTCGAATGTTGGTGATGTGATCGCAAACAGTGCTGAATCGCTGCAGCCGGCACTTCACCGAGCCTGTTGCCTTGTCGCGGCGGCCGTAATAGTTCTCGTGCAGCCATTCTACTTCTTTCAGGGTCTGAGCACTTACCGGCAGGTTGTGGACTTGGTACGCCTTGGCAAGGGCTTCCACCTCTATGCCCTCATTCTCCGAAGTTAATCCGTGCAGCAAGAAGAAGGCATCGAACAATGCGGCAAGGTGAGTGTCCGCAAGTGCATCACCAGAAGCGAGCGCTCCGACCATGCAACCAAAGAATTGCCCGATCTTTGATGAGGTCTCAGCTCCCACAGTGCTAGAACGAAGCAGGAATACAAAGTCAGCCAACACCGTGATCCGTGTTACGAGGCGCAGTGTGTCGTACTTGCCTTCTCCGAGAGGAACCACCAGGGAAGGGTTGGCGACATCCGAGAATAACTCGATTCGCAACGCAGCTCCGACAGCTTCTGAGATGCTCGCCAGAGCACTCTGCAATCGCGGGCCTGCTTGCAAGCGGTCGCCTTCGGAAACTACAAAATCTTGCGGCTTGAAGGGCTCAGGGTGGGTTAGTTTGAAGTGCAGCAGAAGCATGTTGCACCATTGCGCGGTCAATACTGCAGAGTCTCGTGTTCTTGCAAGAATTGGAACGTCTTTGCCGCCATCATCGATCCACCGCACATCAATGTCGGTGGGAAGTGGACCCCTCACATACATTCGTCGCAGCGAGGCTGGACCAGTTCGGCTGTATGCCTCGTGAATCTCTTGCCAAAGGCTCCTGAAATCCTCTTGGTTCTCCGCCTGCACGCAGCTGAGGAGCTCAGGAAAGGAGAAGCCGGCCGCTTTACACCAACACAGGATGCAGCCAGCTAGGAACTGACGCTGGATGTCAGCTCCGTGATCGAAGTACACCTGGAGGTCTGGGTTGCCAAAGCGCAGGGCCAACAGCAACCCGAGGTTGAAGCGAAGGTTTGCTTCTCCCATGCCTGAATTTACTCGTGGGTAGAAGTCATGCAGCGATGTGTCGAGCAGTGGGGCCACGGACCCACTACATTGCCTCAGCAGCTGCTTCTTCAGACTTGCTGGCAAAGCTCTTGCGTGCCAGCGAATACAGTAGGGAGGGTATTCCTCCTGATCCTCCTGTCCTAGCAGCAGTGTCTGCACCTTGATCGCCGAGCTAGTCTGCTCTTCGGCATGCACCCAGGAAGCCTTCTCAGCGAGAGTGTTATAGACCCCTAGGGGCAAAGTCTCCGGCGCGACCAAAAATTTTGCCAGGACCGAGAGTCCAAATCGCATTGGCCTACATCGCTCCACGAAGGGTAATCCACTACCATTCAGTGAAGCAATGCACAGCGGGCCGGACTTGAAGGACGGCAATGCCCAAAACGGCAGCTGCTTGTCAGGACTGCGCGCCCAGCAGTACCACATCAGAACCAGATCACTCTGGTGAGCCTCTCTTGCCTCACCGGATGCAAGCCGGGCGAAGAGAGAGGCGCAAGATGCATCATCGAGCATGACGTTATGAATGCCAAGCACAGATTCGACACTTCCTGGTCCAATTTCACCCTTTGGAATCACGCTGCGGAAGTACTGTATATAGATATCAAGCAGATCAGGACTGCTATCCAGGGCCAACAGCAGTGGCCTTCCAGCATCCATGTTTTTGTGAGAAGCCACCATAGCAAGGTAATTGCCGAGGCTGCGCGATTGTAGTGCCTTGAAAAGGGCTGGCAGGAAAGGGTTCTTGCTTGATGCAAGCAGACCTGTGGGAGACCGGAGGCTGCCACTCAACGAATCGACCGCCGGTTTGATTTGCTTGTCTTCGCTTGCCAGAATCTTGAGAATGGCCAGTGTAAGCGTGTCCAAACTTGCTGGAAGGTTTTCAAGCACGTCACAGAGAAAGCGATCGGCTGCGACAGCTCCCTGCAAGATCATCAGTTTAGATGTGGCAGCGAGGAGTGGCTTCGTTACAATCGTGCGAACCGTGTCAAGGTCTGGTGCATGCTCAAGGATGGCAGCATGAGCCGCGGCCGTCAGGCGATGTGGTTCGCCAAGTACGTCCAGCGGCACCCAATCCATCACGTTGTAGCCAAGCATGGTCTCGAAACTGCGTATAAGAGAAACGCCTAATTCGCCCTGCTTGATTTGTTCCGCATGGTCGGGACAGAAGAGAAGCGAAACCACCGCTCTACCAACCCTGGCTGAGGTGCTGGGAAGCAGAGAGGCCAATGGCATGTCTGTGTCTAGAAGGAACCGCTTGATTTCGTGCTGCGAGCTTAGCACATCCATGTCAAAGCAGATCAGCATGGAGGCAACGCGGATCAGGAGGTCTGAGCGGCCTCTCGGACACAGCATCACATTTGATTGAACCAGCTGCTGCAGCGCATGCTCCGTCATGTGGCAGAATCCGAGATCCGGAGCTTGACCCGCTTGAGGCGAGATCACAGTCAGCAGTAGCCACTTCAGAGCTGCCATCCGAGGCGAGAGCTCGGATGCACCTCCGGCACCTCCACTTTCGGCTTGAGACAGTGCCGTGAGAAGAGATGCCGTACATTTCAGGTCTCGGATCAGGTTCTCTGTGACGGATATAGCCAGCTTGGCTTGCGGCGTAGCTCCCTTGCCACCAGAGGTGATCAAATAGGTTAGGCCAAGCTCGATTGCGCGAGCAGGTGGAAGACAAAGAAAGAGGCGCAAAGTGTCCACCCCCAAGCCCGCCAGTTGAAGGAAGAGACTGGGCTTGATGTCAAGAGCCGTGTGCCAAGAGTCCGAGAAAGCTCCCCAGTCCATCTCGTGACCTTGAAGGCAATGTCTCTCCAGAACCTCCCGAGTCATGGAGAGTGCTGCGCGATCTCAGCTAAGGACACATGAGGTAGGAAGCGACAGAGAGGGGGAGAGAGCACACCGACGGCCAAATGTATAGCTAGAAACAACCACAGACTAACCTTGCAACCTGGCATGTCGCCTCTCGCTCGTTCTCGGTCCTACGTTTGCATGCTACCGTCATGTGTGTACACAGCTAGGCAGCTTAGGCAGGCACGTAGGAAGGCCACAATGGACATCCGTGCACGTACCTAGTACGTAAGCATGGATGTATGTACGTACGTAAGTACGTATGTATGGCACGTATGCATGTGTGTACGGGTACAGATCCGGACTCAAGTTTGCATACAACTACTTATGCATATGACACAAGCACAAACGTACATACATAGTACACACTTGCATACTGACATACATACACACATACGTAGCATAATGCACGCATGCATACAGGCATACATGATTACATGCTCACATACATGCGTACGTGCATACCTACATACATGTTGCGTCGAAACTACATACATTCCATCCGTCCATCCATCCATCCATCCATCCATCCATCCATGCATCCATCCATCCATCCATCCATCCATCCCTTTGTTCATTCATTCATTCATTCATTCATTCATTCATTCATTCATTCGCTCATCATCATTCGTTCGTTGACTCGTTCATTCATATGTACAGCGTATATAAATAATATACTGTATATGGTACGTATGCGGGTTTGTGCGATAATATGTAGGCGTGTTCATTCTATTCACTTGCTCGGGGATTAATCTGTGAATATCCACACGTTCCTTCGCATGTGCGCATTGTCTGATCCTTTCTATGTCCGCAGAATCCTAGAAAACAACAGTCGAACTGACTGCCTAATGCATACATACTCGCTTTCCAGGAGTATATTCAATCGCTTCGGGGTTCACAGTTTTTGCCTTGGTTTGTCGGCATTGCAATGATCTATGCAGGCTTTCACACTCCTGACAGGAAAATATCGTTGCCTCCTCTGGGTCCTCGCTCTGATGGATGGAGCCTGCAGCACTGACTTGACAGCAGACTCTGCGTGTCGTCTGTTTGCACTCCATACAGTGCTGCTGAAGATTGTGGAAGCTTCTGCTCAGGACTGCAGCCATGGACGTACAGAAACTGTGAAAGGCTGAGGGCAGCACCCAAGCCAAAGTACGCAGCCTCTGCCTGTGAGCCGCTTCGCACAGTGCAATCTTCTGCGATACCCTCCGCTGCATTCAGCTACTTCGTCGAACAGTCAGCAGAACACACAACCGGTCAGCTGCATTCAGCCACCTGGAGGAATCACCGCTGAACCTAGTTGACCTAGTTCGAGATGCCTGGTTCTTCGGTTTTTACTAGCTTTTTCTCGCGAGAGCAGATTTCATCGTGACGATTTCCATCTTGAACAAGTCAAGCAGTATGCTGACGAGGCCTGCGCACAGTCCTTTGACATCGTCAGGTGGGCAGTGGCCTGTTCCAGCATGTCCTGGTTTTGTGCTGCAGGGCGAGTGGGCGGAGCTGGCAGATGGAAGAAAGGCACCAACGGACCTCCAACCCCGCAGAGTGGGTGTTGCTCGCGATCTCCCACTGCGAAAGGATGAAGTGCGTCTTCGGCTCTTTGCTCGGCCAATTGATGGGTCCTGAGCGACCGCCCAACGCGGGCGTTCGACAACGAACGTGGCAGGCAGCAAAGCAGGCCATGGCAGCAAGGCAGCAAGGCCTACAGGGAGCGGGCAGGCAGCGGGCCGCTCCATGGGAGGCGCCTTCGGCCACTTGCAGTCGAAGCCTCCTCCTCCTCTTTTGCATGCTATCGCATTTTCCTGCTCCCACCTCACAGCCCACAAGGTCCAGGTACCGACACCAAGCCTCGACCACGGAAGCCTGATGAGGCATGACGCCTGAGAACTGGGATGCAAGAGAAAAAACCGCATGCCTGGTCCAAGAACCGGCAGATGGGCAAGCGAGCCCGAAAGTCAGGGAAGCTGACATCCCAGACCTTGGCTAAGTCGAGGCTCTCCGTCCCACAGTCTCTTGGCGCCTCGATCTCTCTCTCACCATCCTCTTCTTGGGGACTCTTCCGAAGAAGCCTCTGAGAAATTATTCTTTGATGTATTGGCGCGGGCGAAGATGTCTGAACGCAACACTTCCGGAGTGCGCTGTCCATCATGCGGCAGCTCTCCTGAGGCCGTCACACCCTGATCGAGACCAAGTTTGTCTGCCCGTGTGACGAAGGACGCTGTGAGGCAGCCAACGGCAAAGGCCAGCGACCGGGCATCGAAGGCGGCAGAGGCCTGAGCCGTCTCAGGTGGGGGCCCGTGGACAGCTCGAGATGCAAGGGCGTCCCCAGCCTTCCCCGTCGATGTTAGCGTCTCAATAATTCCCGCAGCCAAGTCCTGAAAACCACAACGAAAGACATGCAGGGTACTGCAAGGCTCTGTGGTTTGACATCGAAAGCTAGGTTGAAACAGGCTCGATGTCTCTGAGCTCCATGCTGCGGCCACGCTGGTTTGAAGAATCTGACGTCCTGGTATTTCTATGCGGCAATACCCCACCCCAGCCAGCGGACGCATGGCAGTCTTCCTCTTGGCTTCTACTGACATGCACGGTGAGAAACCAAGTGGTGCACTGGAACAATTGTTCGAGCATCGGCAAGGGCGATTCGCACCTTACTAATGTACATGACGGATGCGTATTTGGGAATTGGCGTCGCCGCCCAGAGCAGGGGATCTTACACGGAGATTCTTGCACCGGCACGGAGCCCGAGACGAGGCCTACAAACCGAATCCTAAAACGAACATTCCTACATGGTCCAAACCCTGAACCCAACACGCCCCCGGCACTGTTAACACCACAAGCCCCATGACCTTGAAAACTCAATGAACCCTGACGGCCCTCAACACAAAACACCGTGAACCCTCACGACTGTAGGATACAGAAATCCAAAATCCCTGGCGTCACGAGCGCTCGGTTTGTCATTGCTTCGATTTTGTTACTAGAGTCGCCAGTGCTTGAGTTTGAGTAAGTGCTCGAACCACGCTTCAAACAACGTCCTTCCGGTGCAGGAAGAGCGGCCATCTCTTTGCCACAGGCGATAGGGTCACGAGCCTGCCAAAATTTGCGCATACTTGGCACAGTCTACAAGTTGACACATGTTTACACAGCCTGAGTTTCAGCGACTGACAGTGCCCTAGGTTTACTGTCCATCATTTGGGTGTGCGGACCCAAGTTTTGGTTTGCTCTCAATCTGTGACACTAATCAGGCCCCAAGCAGTGACACCTGCATCATCTCTTGAACGTAGAAGTGCAGTTTTGCTATGCCACATAACACCACCACTGCCGTCTCATGTGCTGGTGAACAGCCGGCCCGGCTCCAAGATAAACTTGGCAACCTCTCTTTCCGTTCTCCTGTTTTCCGGTTCAGATATGCTTCCTGTACACGAAAGAAACTGAGGCCTCCTTTGGCCCATCTGCAGTGATTGCAGCAGTGGCGCCTGAAAAGCCTCGACGAGCGCTGTGGGGGGCGTGCTTGCCAGGCGTGCATGTCCTGCAAAGAAAAGAGTGTCAGGCCATGGGCCATGGATGGCCATGGGCTCTCAAGGGTTCAACTGCAACGTCCTAGCACCAGCCGCAAGGAGCGGAGAGCATTGTGGGCCATCCGGTCGGCGGCCTCACAAAAGCGTGCCACCATTCGTGGGTGCCAACCATGACTCTCCACGAAAAGCATGAGCACTGCCGGATTTGATGGTCTAGCTTTGGCTGCACTTATCGCATTGGCTCTGACTTTGTTGCAGTTGCAGCCACATCCCTCTGTGAGGCAATGGGAAAGATGGAACCATGAGCCTCCCTCTCAGTACCTCGTTCATGCACACCAAAGAGAAGGCCGTATTCGCTCCAAGTCTTTCTAAGCCCATCCAACAGTTGTGAAAAACTTCCTCAAGGCGATCACTGCGTTGAACAACAAACCTCACCATCGGGTGAGGCCTCTGAACCAGTTTCTGTATTGCATGTACGTAGGCCTTGTGGGTGCGCTCTCGCTTTGAAGTCTTGGCGGATCTCCATCTGTCTTAAACTTGCAAGGCTCGAATGTGCTCTTGATCGTGCTCCTCCTTCCTTGCAGGAGCTTGCCATCCCCACTGAAGTGCTTGCCTGGACAGTGAAGCGCCTACCAGCGTCTTCTTCGCGGGGGTCCATGTATGCCCGCGTATGGAACGGGAGTTCCACTCAGCAACACGAACCTTCGTTCTCTGGATAAGAGCGTCGAATCTGGGCGATCTCGTGCATGGCCGGATGCTTGATTCCAAGAGGCCTTCTCTCGTTTGGGGTTTGTTTGGACCTATGAAAGAAAGAATGTCCGTCCCCATTGTAAAGTTCAGTCCTGCTTGTGGCCTCTCGTCAGTTCCGGATAAACCAAGCCGGCTACTTACCTGTCAAAAACACCGGAGCAGCTGAGACGCATGCGCAGCATTGCACACTCCGGACCTTCGATGCTATACCGTCACTGGATAAGAGAAAGCGTGGCTGGTGGCGTCTTGATGCTAGCGTTTAGAGACCGTGCTTCACGGCTACCCACTCACGGCGTACGGAGTTTCATGACAGTTTGAACTCGAATGACAGCTGAGCAGCGTAAAGTAGTGTCGCATGGATATACTCGGTGGAGACTCGAGTGGTGATGCCTCGGTTACCAGTGCAATCATGAATCGAGACTGTAGCATGCGAGCTTCGTCGAGCTTCGTGAGAGCCCGGCGAATGCATCGTAGGAATGCCAGCGGCTCAGGCGCCACAAGAATCGCCTGGGAGACTCGCTAAGTGCATAAGGGCCTTGACAGATTCGTCAGCTTGGGAAGGAGCCCGAATGCCGGCGATGTATGCCCTGGCCACCAAGTCCTCAAGCTTGGATGGCGTAACAAATCCCACCTGCAGGTGATGCAGGCAAAGCGCAGTGAGGCTTCTTCTACGTCTCTTTCAACTTGCGAAACCTTGTACCAAGGTCCCAGCTCCAAAGAGAACGATGGTCACCTGTTTGGATGCGGTTGAAGCCTCCCGACCTAGGAATCGAAAAGAAAACCCCCTCGTCGTTTCTGAATTTCGGAGAGTTCGAGGCGCGGGCGGCCGAGGAGTGCTTCCAAGGGAGCCATGCCCTCGGGAAGGTTCAGCGTGAGAGGTATCTCTAGAGGTCTCTCTGCGGCTTTGGGCTCCAACTTGCCGATCGGTGTGGTTCAGGTGGAAGCACTGCACGGACTCTGCTTGTCCAGCATAGTGCCGTTGAACTAGCGCCTGACTGCAATCCAGTGTTGCCCTTCGCGGCCATGCTGCCGATATCGCAGATTTGGATAATGCAGAACGTCGTGAGAACCCCCGAGCAATGTCTATCCGACAGTCCCGAGTGCCTCATCGGCAGTTACCAGCAGCAACAAAGCATCGTGGGTCCTTGGCCTGAGTTGCAAATGTGAGGTGCATATAGGTGACAGAATCTGGTGCAAGCACTTCCGAGCGCTTCGGCTTGGCGCTTGCCACCATCCGCCAACGCCGCTCTTCATCCATCCATGCCTCATTTCCATTCCACAGCGAAGTCAGAAGCACTCAACCGGTCACCAACTGCACCGCCGCATCAGCCATTAAAAGTCTGCCAACAGTCAAGAAGTGAGGGCCAGGCGTGTGCGGATTTCAGAAAGGCATGGGCTTCGGCAAGATTCCTTTCCTCAATTTCAGGAGTGCTGGGGATGGAAGTTCACCTGTCAAGGCTCAGTGGAGCACCCAGTCGATGTGCAGAGCTTTGTCACCTTTCCTTCGAGCATGGACGCGAAATGAGCCACGACCCATGAACGAGACTGTTGTTGCAGTTGGAGGCCTGCTTGAGCTTGGCCCGTTTGGCAGCTTCATCCCGGCCTCAGCATTCGTGACCCTACACTACTCCGACTCGAGTGCCTTCCAAGCTCAACAATCCTCCACACCCTCTAAGACTGAAAGAGGCTTCATGTTCATTTCCATTCGCTCCCGACGTCAGTCCCCCACCAAAGGGCTCAGGAGGTCCGGCTGGGCTGGCAAAGTACGGCAACATTGTAGCGTTGCATGGCCCAGCCTTTGCAGTCAAAACGTTTTGAGCTTCGGACTCGCAAGTAAGCCATTGCTTCCCGTCCTACTTCCTGCCTGCCTGCTTTAGAAGTAGCCTCGCAGCTCGAGCTCCTGGCGCGAAAGTGTCCCGGTAAGGCGTGGGCGCCTGCGCAGCGCTGCTCTCAAAGCTCAGAGAGAGAGTTGGCCCCCGCCCAAGTCGTTTGGGTTCCCGGCAGACCGAGAGCTGAGGTCAGCCTCCCCACACATCGTCGTTGCATCACACGCCACAAAGACAAAGAGGGAATTTCAATGGAGCAGCGCGGCATAGCGCGGCCTCGCGCAAGGACTGTGGCAGAAGGACTTCACCCAGTGAGCGTGTCAAGGCCAACTTGGGCAGGAGGCCAGGAAACCAACCTGAGCCGAGGCCATGCTGGGCCAGGAGAGACGGGGGAGAGGGGAGGGCGAAGCAAGGAGACTGATGAAGGTCCCGACTGAACACGAGCCGGGCAGATCCGGATGCGGCGCGAACCAGCCTTGGCTGCAAAAATCGTGAAGAAACGAGCCGTTCACAGGGCCTCAACATGCTATTGCCTGATGGCTTACAGTCCTTTTCAGCTCCCACATATGAAGGAATGCTGAATTCTAAGTTTCATGCTCGCTTAGCTGCAGTGCCGAAATCTGCCCAGTGACTTCCTGGGGACGTTGGCTCCAAGTTGGCACATGCTGGCAAGGGTTCACAGGGCAGATGCATCGATACGTCCACTGCGCCGCAGCATCCTACAATCTGTATTCCCGGGGCGCAGGCGACCAAAATGAAAGTCACAGTGGAATGTTTCGCTGTGGCTATCTTCTCCAGCGAGGCCTTCCGGGACAAATACATCGAAATACATACGGTCGCTATAGTTTGTTGAGCATTAGCCCATGTCCCAACCCTCGACAGAAAAGTTTCAGCGGTATGTGTTTTTATGTTCATCACTGCCGAAATTGCAGCTACAATCACGCTCTAATCTGGCAGAACCGGCAAGGTAGTGGCGGCGCTGGACAGCCCAAAAACATGCTCAACATCTGCTCAAACCAAGACTGAGGCAACCAGCACGGGAAGCCATCAACAAAAGAAGAGTGACATAGAGTCATGGGGAGAAAGTTCCAAGGGATGCTGTTCACCTCTTCAGATCGGAAAGCCAACAAGAAACGGATCAGCGCAACGGCCCAAAAGCCAAATGAAGAAGACACGCCAAAGTCATCTGTGCCAGCGATTTCCACCATTCGACAGAGGATTGTGGGGAAGAGCCGTCCGACAGCTGGTGAAAGATATATTGAGGCTGGGCAGCGGACAAACTGTCGAAAACTGAGCTGCCGACCAGCTGCCGACCATCGGAGAGCCGAACAAAGCCGCCGATACCAGTAGTAGCAGCGGTAGAATCAGCGCACATACCGAACCCGAGTCACGAAGATCCAGTTACATCCGTCGACTCACCACTTAAAAAGCGCGTCCCGGCGCCCGTCCGAAGGATAAGGAGGAAGCTAGTTAGAAACGGAAGCTTGGCCCACACAAGTCAGACACGAGCCGGGAGGGCCCAACAAGAGAAGGCTGACAGTGTGGTCGGCAAAAAAGGATTTCCCCTGTGTGGGCAGAACCGACAGGCTTGCTGAAGCTTCTTCGAGATCCCTGTCCTGCTCAAAACTCGGCACAGAGGACTTGGAAGCCCAAGTCGGCTTCAGATTTCGCCGCGACCCCGAACGATGGAGCAGAGGCCGGACTCTGGGTAGCGAGGGAGGATCAAGAATGCAGTCCCCACACACAGGCCAGCAGGCAGGGTTGCCGACACGTCAGTCCAGAAGATAGAATGTCGAAACGAACGCCCTTCTTAGACACAGTTCGTCGTCGTGCGAATGCAGATTCTCACACTACTGTCTGGTGCTTGGCAGGGAATGGGGGAATGGATCCCTAAAGTAGCTCCTATATACTCCCCAAGAAGGCCCGGAGAAGGCAGCAGGAAGGCGCAGCCTCGAAGCAGAACCTCTCCACCGCCAGCAGCTCCAAGGAAAGCTTGGTGACTTTGACGAGCCTGAGATACTGAGAGTCTTCGCCCAGCTTGTCAAAGTCACAACACAGGGGGCTACGACAAATCCGCAGTGCAACAAAACGCACTTTGTAAAGTCGAGCGGCTCGCAGAACTGGGCAAGGTGGCCTGCAGGAAGTACCTGATCCGATACTTGTGGTCTCTGCAATTGATTTCCGCATGCACGTTCCTCTCTGCCGGCGCACGGCTGCCAGGCAGTCCCCTCGCCCTGCCAGCAAGAGCTGCACCAGAATTTCCTGGCTTGGGGCAACGATCTCTGAGCATGGATCTCCTCTGATTGCTCACTCTGGGCATTCTCACTCAGTCTTTCAGAAGGTCCTTCCTTCCTAATATTCTGCTACCGTTGAGTCTGTTTTCATCTGCTTTCCCTTGCTGGGCTGGTTCCCTTCTGCACTGCTCCCCAAAAACTGCCGCCGAACCACGGTCATGGCTCATGACACCCATGACGAAAAGCAAATGCTTGGCTTCATCATTTCGGTGCCGTGACGTGTTTCTCGGATTACCGAGGTTCTAGGGCAACTTGCACAATCAGCAAGCGAGTGGAAATGGCCACCTTCGCCTCCTGCAGAACCGCACTGCCGTTGCCACCAGACCTCGAATAGAATGACATTTTGGGCACATGACACACACAAGAACGACTGCTTATGAGTATCGCCTCAGTCCAGTCACCCGGGTTTCGTACGGAAGGTTGTTTCCCGAAAGATGCAACAATCTTGACCAGTGTTGCCGCAAGGCCTGGCACGACTCATCATGCATAGTCTTCCAGCACAGGCTGTGCCGCAGGCTGAATGCCTCCATCAAGGTCTTGCCCATCTTATCCAGACGACTGAGGAGATCCTCGTCCCGCACAGGACCGGAAACACCCGGAGTAGTGCAGACTGTCTGGAGCCCAACTGCCACAGCAGGATGCAAGTCGCCGGCCATTGATGCGAAGTAGGTCAGACAAGGCTGCTGACCTTCGTCCAAAATCTTGCAGGAACCTGCTTAAGCTTGCTGTTCTGGTTGCTACTCTGTTTGGACATGCTGCCGCTAGAACAGGGGCACTTTAGTCGACAGAGAAGAATCCAGAAGGTGTGCCATCGCGCACATAGCTTCAGGCGAGGACGGAGTGCGGCTTGCATGTCCTGCGAGCCGGTCATCTTTGATTCTGTCACCCTGCATAGCGCACTAGATACTGTAAGCCAAGGCATCCCACTGTCATGGAAGCCTGTGCCAGACTTTTTTACATTTCGGGCTAAGAACAAAATCAAGTCCTGTCACTCAAGTCTCAGGGCTGAAACTTGTTGTGCTTACCAAGCAGCACACCAAATTCAATTCCCAGCAAGGCACCGCCGCCCAGCTAGTCTTTCCTCCAGGCTGTGCCGTTGGCTAAACCAGAGCGCCAGGAGCTGAGCTACCACCTCGCAGAAGATGGCGTGAATTATCCGAGATAGTGTCACTTCGCACGCAATATCATGGGCGACAAGCTCAACCTGCCTGGAAAGGCGTAGATGGTCAGGCTAAGAAGGGTGTTTTGCTGAAAAGTTTATGGCGGGTAGGCCCAAACCCAAGTCTCTGCAGCACGCACTCTTTCGACCTTGGATCGGCAGACCCCGGACTACCCGTTGCATTGGGGGCCTCCGCACTCTCGCTGACTCCGTCCGTGGCAAAGAGCTGCCGCGGAAGAGGCCTTGCAAGAGTTCTGATAGCTGGCAGCTAGCTGTGGCACTCTGGCTTCTGGCAGGTTGTCGGACTATGGTGCAGTGACGCATGTGTCTCTTGTTTCACTCATGAGCTGCAGCGTCATCCAGCTCATCCAAGTTGATCACTTCAACTTGACACCGGAGTGTCTGCTTAAAGGATCCCATGGCAGTTCTGGGCTTTGGCTGAAACATGGGATGCTGAAGGGCACTGTCGACACTGCCCATCGCATCAATAATGGACTGGGCGGTCTCTCGCGGTATTCCCGTAAGATCGGCAAGTTTGTCAGCTTCTGTCTTGCGGCGCTGGCGTTTGGACTCCATTTGCCACAGGAGGCTGTCTGCCCGCCGTTGCTTGACAGGCGAGTTTAGCGCGTGACCCAAAGTGTGCTGTACCTCAGTTGCCTTCGAGGGGTCAATGGCCTGGATATCGGCAACTGGCTGCAGCAAGAATGCAGTGTGCTCTCCCTGCAGTCTTCGCAACAGTTCTTTGAACTTGGCCCTGAAGACAGAAGCTGGATGACCATTCAAGGCACAAAGCTCTGCTAGCGCAACAATCTCCGCTTTGCGCCAAGCGTGACCATCCGAGTCCAAGCAGTCAATCGTTGCACTATCTGCATTCCACCCTGCTGCTAACACGAGCAAGATGCTTCCGTCCGTCTTCATGTCCGGATACTTCGCTAGTGCTGTCCTTCTCGCAGCCTTGAGAAGCTCGTCTCCTGCCGCGATGGCTACATCTTGCCGAAAATGAAGATGGTCCCCTCGCTGACCATAAATGCCCTGAGGATGTCGCAACTTACAACCTTCCAGCACTGGAATTCCCTGGGCACTGTTCATGACCACGTCTTCAAGGTCACAGATCGTCCACTGCGTCTCGAGGTTCTTGACCAGCTTGGATTGTCGACGATCTCGGGTGATGTTTGGGAACTGCTCCCCGTGAGATCTACACCTGGCGGTGCTCATGGCAGCTTGGACAACCAATACTCGCACGGATGGGTTGTTGGCCAGGCTTTCCTGCACCAGTGGCTCAGTTGCCAGCGCGCGGACTGCCAAACCAACTGCTGATTGCGGGTTTGGCATCACTAAGCCTCCACCGCTTGCAATGCACAGGCATGACAAGAAGGGCTCATCGTCCCTGAGACAGTGAAGCTTAATTCCGGAACCTTTATGAGCTTGAAGCAGGCTATCGCAAAGGAAGAGCACCAGCATGTTGCCATGTACCAATATCGTCTAAGCAGTCCTTTGCTTCAGCTCCCCATTCATGGCAGACAGCACAATACAAACACACACACACACACACAAGTCGGCTCAACTTGCGAGTACACCGGAAGTGCTATACCGGATGCCACTGTGCAAGAACGTCCTGCTGCTGCGTCTCGTGAAACTAAAGTCTATCCGGCTCAAGCAGAAACAGCTGCCATTCCTTCTTACGCTCGCAAACATGATCCACCAGTTTCGATACTCCTAGATTTTCTTGCTTCCGAGCACATGAACAGAACGTTGAATTTTCTCTTTTCAGAATTCGTGCTTCCTCTCTCTGGGCGCCAGGCAGTCGCAAGCCCGGACCCACGGCCAGGGCCAGTCGCCGGAAGCCCCCGGAGTTGTCGGCAGAGTCCCGAAGAAGAGCCGGGAGACCCTGATCGGAGAAGCCGCGGGCCCAGGCTGGTGGGCGCTGTGCTCCGAAGGCTTCGAGGGCAACGAGGCCGTGCCTGGTACCAGGACGAGCTTCCGGTGACCTGGCTTGAAGGGTGTGATTCCCAGAGAACGAACTCAAGAGGGTTCCTGCACTGTGGCTGCGGCTCGCTGAGTTCTCAGGTCAATGAGCAACTCCTCGCGCTCGGCTGTTGGCAGCTGAATCCGCACGTGAGTCACGGCAACCTCAATGCCGCATGCAGCAGGACCACTGCCAGGCTGCGAGGCTTGCTTGTTTTTAGACGCCGGCCAAAGTCTCGTCCAAAGACTGTGAATCCTCCCTCACAGACGTCGGCGGGACCTGGTACATGGGTGCATCGTGCTGCAGAACACCAGTTGCTGCGCTCAAGCTTCAAACTTAAGGTCAAAACATTATTCTCAAGTTCTGGGCGCAAGTCTTGATGACAAGCTTTGAGGAGCTCGACTACATGAATGGTGTGAGGATTAACAGAAGCACGGAGTTCCTGATTGTCTCTCAGTACATGGGTGTCGGATCGACGAATCCGTCTTCAACTGATGCTCACTTGGAGCCCTCTTCGTTTCTTACGGAACTTGGCTCGCAAGCTCCTATTGAACTTTAGAATCTTTTGGACTGAGTGCATACGGCTGCAGTAATTTTATTTGGTTTCCAAAGACAGCACAGTTGCGCAAAGGCCGTGCATCAGACCCCAAACCAATGTGGACATGCAAGCCTAGCAGTAGAATCTCCCTACGGATCAGCGCTCTGGTCATACGAAAGTAAGACGGTGCAAAGCAAATCAAGAGAGCTCTACAGGGCGCAGCAGCTTGGAATATCTTGAGCAGAGAAGTAGCTTCTTCCTGAGAACTGAGAGCTGCTCAGGACGACAAGACAACACAACAGTATAGCGGATCAACAGATGCACGGGGCAGCAACTTTTAGCAAGCAGAAACAGCTGGGCAACGCACCCACTGGTAGTGCACAACCAAAGCCTCTGCAGCGGGAATCACGCACATGCTGCTAAAGGGGCAGATGAGTCCCGAGGGCAGAACATCTTCGGCAACCCCCTCTCGCACATGCTCCTTCCCGTGTCCTGGAAACCGACGAGAACTTTCTACACCAACTGCGATGGAAAGTGCTTCGACGTCCTGGCTGCCGAGACCCAGGGACAACGCAGTACATTCCGCTACTGCGGAGGCCAACCTCCCTGACCTTCACCACCAAGTCAGCTTCGGCTGCTGGTAAACAACACGGACGCACAGGCTTCAATATGCTGTGGAAGCCTGGTAGTCTTCGGCATTTTCTGCAACAGCACCTCTTGCAGGCATGTGTCGACTCAAGAACGGAAGGAGAACATCACTACAATCCCCAATGCAATGCCAGGATGCCGTAACAAGTGTTCACCTCTTTTTGCTTCTCGCATCGACTGCGTGGACTCGCACTAAGAAAGCTCACAGCTCGATCGGCTCTACTACATTGTTCTCCATTGCGAGTCACGAGCAGGGGGCCACCCACACACCCCTGTTGCGCTCGTCTGCACAGAAAACGGTCTTAGAAGCCTGCGGACGCCGAGAGCTGAATGGAAACAGGCATGCAGTCGAGCTCAGTCGAGCTTTTGCACTGCACCGAGCCAGGACTGGAGATGTCCCCTTGCCCAAGTCCGGTACAAGATTAATTGCCTCTGCTTTCAGGCATAGGAAAAGCCAGCGACCGACGAGAATCCTTAGCCAGGAAAGGCTTCCTGTTCTCATCCAGCTCCGTTCTTTACCTCCACTCCCACTAAGGCCTAAGGCTCCCACTTTATTGATCACACCCACGTGCCTCAAGGCTGGAAGACAACAAGCACGCAATTCTCAAGAGTGCAAGCTCCCGAATTCCGAGCCTGGTCCGAGCTGCTTTGAGAGAGGATCGTCTTGGCCTTGGCGTAGAGTGCCTGACGAGACTGTTCTGCCGCATGGGCAAAGCTTGAGATTTCGCTTCCGGCCTTACCCTGCAGGGTCTTGCCGTTAATTGCGACAAAGCCCTTGGCGTTGAAAGCAGCGCGAGCCTGAAGAACTGACCCCGGTGGCTAGACCTTCGAGTAGCTCAAGGCCCCGTCGCCGACTAGTCGCCGTGGGCCCACGGCTCTGCAGTGTTTTGCACCAGGGCCGCTAGGGTGCAAGCAGGGCAAGCGTCGACTCAGCAGCAGTGCTTTAGTTTCTGCTGGCAAACCTGTAATGGCGTGACTGAAGGTATGGCAGCCCCTGCAAGCTTCGAACTTGCAAAACAAAAGCTCCACCAGCTATGAGTATGATCTGGCTCGAGAAGATTTCTGGGAGGAAAGGTAAGGAAAACGCTAAAATCTTTGGCCGAAGCGAGCGCCGCTCTCGATTGAGCGTCTGGGCTTCAGCTGACAGACTCTGGGAGTTGCTGAGTTGCAGCTTGCCAGTGGATACCCAACCAGGCCTCCATCACTGCCTCGACCCAGCCCTCAATATGCTTGAAACCTGGTCAAATGCTATGGCACACACGGCAGTTAGTGCAGTACGGCCGCAAGCGCTTGAGGCATCCACTCTTCTTTCCATGGGCAGACTGCCTCTTCGAGACGATTTTGCCCTTGGCGTTTGACATGAGCAGGTCCTCCAAGTATGCAAGAAGGCCGTCGTATGGCGACAGGTGCACTGTTGTTTTCTCAGGACGGCCTTTGTCAGACCGCCACTCGTCTTTGCCTGGCCAAATCAGCAAGGGCAATATCAGATCCTCATCATTCAAAGCTAGACTTGCACCGGAGCAATGCATAGTCTTGGTGCCTTCTTGCCGCTGAAGACCATCGATTTGGCGAGCCTTCCCCGCGCAACTTGAGTCACGCGCTTTGCCTCTGCAGAGCTTGTAAGGTTGTGAGTCGCAAGTCTGCGGAAATCCTTTCAAAGTGTCGCGAACCATCACGTTCCACAAACGAAATGCCTAGGAACCGTCGAGCACCCGTTGCTGTCATGTCAGCCACTGGTCCCTCACTCTCCCGACGAAGTGTTAGGCTGTCCTGTTTGGCTGTCTAATCACGCCAAAATTGTCGCATGGAACTACACTGCCAATACGATCAACAGCTGCGCCTTCATCGCATGACCTTTCTTTGAGTCCTGACTGAAGTCGGCTGTTCGCAAGTCCTACCAACCAACAGACTTCTTGCCTTTTTCATTGCAGTCTTCATGGCCTTGGTATGCTGGTACATGCGCCACCATTAGACAAGTTTACGGAGCCATTCAGACTTAGCTTCCTTGCCAGCATCTGCAAGCAAGTCGCGGGCAGAGCCATCACTCGGGACAGAAGAAAGCACTGAGAGCTAACGTTGTAGAATGCTACGGCAGTTGATAAGGCTTGAGAAGTGGCAATTTTGCGGCGGAATTGTATGTACCGTCGCTGTCGCGAGGACAGGAACCCCATGTTGCAGAAGCGGTCAGGTCGACGGTGATGACAGAAAGCACCTGGACCACAACCACCATTGTCTCTGCGAACAAGTCCTGAATGCACATCTGCACGGTGTTTCGCTCAAGTCCACGCTGACACCACTTCGCAGCTGAGTTCTGAGAGGGTCGCCCAGAGGCACAAAACGGACGACCACAGGCGACACTTCTTCCGTCTCATCGGTCTGCATCCCGAAGCAGGCCACGACCTGCTGCAGCTGTCACGGCAGCTGCTCAAAGCCCTCAATCACCACACAAACTCGCGGTCTGCAGCAAACCTTCTGCTTGTCTCGGAAAGAAGGCTCGGCAGTGAGAGGAGTCTCATCAACTGAATCTCCTGTCCGGACACAATCATCCTCAGCTAATGTGCACGGACAACCAATTCATCGCTCCTGCCACAGCCGTCGTGCCTCCAGCCGGCAGCACACACAAGGCTTCGGCAGCCTAAGCTGCTAAGCTGAGTGGACTCTGAGTGCGCCGGCGACGGAAATGCAATGACTCACAGATGCCACCGAGAGGATGGGGATTTGAAGGTCTCGGGCGCGCGCACCCTCAAGGCATCGGCTTGACATGGACAGCCGGGTCTGTTCTTCACTCTTGCCTTCGGAAGTGCCGCAGGACGCTGGCTGTTACTAGCATGCCGGCATGCCTGGAGCACTGGCACGTGGTTGCAGAAACATTTTCCGTTTCTGCTCAACAAGCCCACAGTCGTCCTGGCCGCATCTACCACCGATGTCAGCACGTCTCGGGCTATAGTTGCTTAAACGAACAGGCCTGGGTTTCGTGCAGCTGTACACATGACATCGTAGTACCGCACTTACCCCGACGGTCACAATATCGACTGTTTGGTGACATGCTGGCAACACCGATTTTTCAAAGGCGACTTAAAGATCGTAATGGGAAGCTTCCAGCTCAAAGATACAATCCCGAGCTGACAAGCCATGCACAGAATTGCATCAACCGGCTTAAACGCCTCAGCTGATGGCCCTGAGCGTGCTGGTTTCGCAATCGAAGCCGAGCACTCGCCAAAACGGGGAGGATGCTAGTCTAGTTCTTGGACGCCTGAAGTTGCGTATTCTGTTACCACTGTCACACACTTCTACCCTCACATGCTACTGGCTTGTATCCTACATTTGGAGGCTGTGGAGGTAAGCAATACTAGCTCTCACCTAAGACAGACTCTCCAGGCGATGTTTCAGACTAGCATGAACTTCATGGAACAAACGGAAAATGATGCGCGTTGCATGAAACAGCTTGAGTGATTGCTCCACCGACTGCAATCATGGCCAGCCTTCCATGCTTCAGTTCCTGCGTCTTGAGAATCGATATCTCGTCTTCGTCCTGGAAAAACGGCTCGCCCATGGCATAATCGCCTGCGGTGTCCAGCGTCAGGAGCTCGAAATCCACACCAAGCTGCCAGACACGCAGTGCCTCTGCCAGCCCACAGAACCTGCTAGAGACAGAAGCAGGAAGCAGAAGTGCGAGGTGCTGCGAGAGAAAGTCTTAAGGCTTAAAAACCATCGCTTGATGGTACTGCCGGGACACATCAGTAACCACCACATCGGACCTTTGCCAAAGCCAGCGCTCAAGAGAATTGAGTGGGCGGTGATAACGTCCGTGCCCTTCTGGTGGAAGATTGCATCAGGGAAGCGAGCAAAGTCAGGAACAACCAATCCAACATAAGCCAACATAGCAACACGCCCATGCTTTACCTCTGCCTCTCTATACCAGGGGAGATGCTCGGGGAAGTTGTTACAAAAGTCCAAAGGATCGAATTCGTAACGCCCTGCCCCGTGATGATCACACCCTTCCAAGCCACCGGCAAAAGCTTGGAGCTTCACCCTCGACTCACTTGACTTAGCGGACTTAGCGATTGGGATCAAGAAGGCACGTGGTGAAGCTTTCGGCAAGCTGGAGCCGGAAACTTGGCTCTTTGAGGCAGAAAGGGAAAGGCTGAGAGTGAGGATCAGACCGAGGCTCAGGGGCCATGACCACTTGGGTTTCGCTGGCGGTTCGCAGGTCTTCCGCGATGGACGCCCAGCGTGGTGGGCAGGCGTGAGACCGCAAGGCACGACCGGAGCTGGTCGCGATGCATGTGATGCCGCTATGAACGTGTCATGCGACAAAGCGCGTGCAGTCGGACTGATGCGGTGCACAACCAAAATCCAGCACAAGAAGGTAAGGAAGATGAGCGCCGATATTTGGATCCAAAGCTGTGCCCCGGAACGCGTAGAAAGCACCCCATTCAGTCTTGTCCTGCGTGGGCTCGGAAGTTGCATCTCGCCGTGCCGCTCAGACTGCTGAAAACCGATGGGTCCGAGTCTGTTTCCTCTTCAGCCAAAAATGCTGCAGATGCATGTCCTGCATTGCAAGTCACGCCTGCGCCATGTGCCCTCCGTGCGTCAACTGACCTATGACTTGGCCCTGAGAGGTTGCTCTTGCAACAGTGCGGTCGTAAAGAGTTCCACACGAAGATTCCGAAGCCTTCAAAACTCGAAACAAAATATGCCACGACCCTGGCCCCACCCCTGCCACCGCCTTCTCCCAATGAGTTCAGCGCCCGCATAGCGCAGGAGGCCAGGGACTCGTCCAGATCTGCAAGTCGCGCCGCATGGTTCCTTGGCCAAGAATGCCAAGAGCTTTGTCGGACACTTGTCGCATCAGCGCAGAAAGAAGGCATCTAGCTTCGCATGAAATAGCTCTTGCAAACTGCAACAGACATATGTCAACAACCGCCATGCTGCCGCAGTTGTGATGCCTTATTTCATGTCATCACGGGCAAATAGGAAAAACAAACGGACCATGATTGCTGCCTACTGCAGGAGGCCCACTGTATCAAATGTCCGAATGTGACTCTGTCAATGCAGGCGCAAACGCACAGAGATGTAGAATAACTCCGGACAACACTGTTTGCATCTCATCAACTGGCGCAACAAGGCCAGATTGTCAAGAACTGTGCGGCGAGCACCCCATGATCATGCTTGCCAGGAGAAATGCAATGCAACGATCATGCCATGAAAGCTGAAGCTGAGACAAGGATCTGCTTAAGAAAATCCTCCAGATCCGCGCTAAGCCTTGGGAGAGGCGAACACGCACATTGAGAAGCCGCCCTACAAATGCCTCAGCACTCCAAAAATTCTGCCAGCACGCGAGGCCAGCTCTCGCGGCGGCACAGCCGCTGTGGCAGCTGTGCGTGAGGACCAACGGCGAAGAGCCTCGTGCGGCAGCTCCTTCTCCTGCAAGCTGCCAGCTGACACAGCAACCTCTGAGCATCAGCGCCGGCCGGGGCTCCCCGTGCACCATCCGATGAGCTTCAAGGATGCGGGACATCACCTGAAGGACGCCGTTTTCGTGATCAGCGAAAGCAAACCCCAAAGAAGAGCAGCCTGCAGCAGCTCCGACAGTGCCATGTTGTTGAGGACGAGCTGGGCGGACGGATGAGTCCTGATGGGCTTCCAGGCACAAAGCTTGTGCGCCAAAGTGAACCGGCCATTGAAGTGAGAGTCTCAAGATCGCGAAGAAGTTGCATGCTGGGCGATCCACCAGCCTGAGGTCTCATGACGGAATCGCCCGTGTCTGCACTTCAGGGATCTGTTGGCCAAATGATGTGGTCACATAACCGGCACACACATCCCATCTCTAAGGTCTCAGCTAAAAGCTCGAAGTTCAAGCAGAGAGTTTTCGGTTTGGAAGTTGCTCGTGTCAAGAACTCCTGCGACGCGCGGCGTTCACCAGGGTTGCTTCGGACAAAGTCTCCATCAGCTCTAGTACGAATCTCAGCAAGAAAAGAGTGATGTAAGACTGCAAGCAACTCCTGAGCCACTCGCAGCAAAAACTGCAGGATCGAGTTTCGAAGTGCCTCGGCAACTGAACAAACACAAAAAGATGTAGCAACGAAACATCAGCTTCGCAGCTTAAGAACCGAGGGGCGGGGTCTGGCTGCTTGTTGGCTTCCTCCACAAGCTGACGAGCCAAGGCCTGTCCAGCCTGGGCTCATGTTCTGACCCTGACGAAACGCATGTTAGAGCACAGGTCGGGTCGGATGGGCTAGGTCCAGATTGAGGCACCGATAAGATACAAAAAGCATCCAGGTCCAGGATGGCAAACGGGTCCGACAAACACGGGACACAGTCGAAACATCGAAACTTGATCCTCAATGTGCGGGACTCGAGGTGAGCGGTACGCCGCTGTAAGTCTCTAGATTAATCAGGTCTAAAAATAATGCTGAGTCCTTACTGTGCCGTACTGCATGCTACCACACTCCTTGGCTTTTGCATGCCTGCAGGCTTCGGCTCTGACTTTTGTCACAGTGTTGCAGCATGCTTGAGAAAGCTGTCAAAATCAGTCAATCGTCTAGTCCTTCCACCAAGAATCTGGTGGCAAAGCTGCCTCGTCCACCTCACGAAGCACTCGCCTTAGGCACAACAATCTACGATTCCAATTCTTGCAGTACCTGCAGCAAGATACACTCGGGCCGTGACGCGGCCAAGCGGACGAGCCTCGGCCCACACATCTGTTACCAAATATGCGACATCACGCCACGCTACGCCGCGCTACGGCGCGCTGCTCCGCGGCTTAACGGAGCTTGGACAAGCTAGTTGGTGGAGCCCTGCCCTGGTCGCTTTGCAGACCGAACGCCTCAAGCAAACAGGTCTTCTCTTCTTGCGATCCGGCGTCGCCAGTGTCGGCACTCGGCCCTTGAGTGCGGACGGGACGAAGCCAAGCCTCAGCGATCTCGGAAGTCGACCAAAAAGCAACTGCGATTAGGCCATGGCTCCTGGGCTGGGCTGGCCATGTGCACCAGATGGGACATTTCGCTTGGGCGTGAATCATGCTGTAACTACATCATGCTAAACTGCTGGTTTATTCGCACCTTCCAAATCGATGCCTACATTTTCGATGCACTCGTGGCAGTTTGCGGATCCGCACTGTTGCAATGATACGGGATCCCTGAGGCACTGCCATCATCTCCCAAGAAAAGGTTTCCTTGCACAACCATAAGGGCCCGAAATGTTTCCAAAGTCAACACTCGACACCGACCCAAACTTCGCTTCAGAGCTGATCTTCTACTGAGTAGCTTCTTCGCTGCGGCATCGAGTGCTCCCCTGGCCTGCGGAGACACAGTCAGTGGCCATGTCCAAGGCTCAGGCTGCACTGCGCAGCGCCAAAGTAAACTACAAGTACCGCTGCAGAAGCTCTGTGGGCCTTTGCAGCTTCTTCTGCTGCCTCTGCTGGTTTGAGCGACACCGCATCATTCTCCTTGCGACCTACCTGAGGCGTGACAAGCGTTCCGTCGACAGTCTTGAAATGACAACATGGACAGATCGCTTCAGGCCGTTCCGAAAAGTATAGATAATTTGCGAACCCGGCCATGCGGCCCCTTTACCCTCCATTCAAGCCAAACCCTCATCAAGGTTATTTCGGAGTGGCGTACGTACCGATTTGGACGGATTCTGGATTTGTGCGTGCCATCCCTGCGCAGAGTCTTAGGTTCAGGGTTTCAGGACTGGTGGTCCATCAGCCACACACAACAAGATTCCGAGAACACGGTGAATCTCAGGGGACTCTCTCGATGTAGAGCTGTATCTTGCCAGCTTCGCAAGCAAGCCCGAAGGTGTTCCCTTCGAGACAAACCTCCACTGTCGTCGCAACAAGCGAAACGAAGTCCTCCTGATGCTCATGATGCTGGCTCCATGGGGTTCTGGGCTTCGATGCTGGTTGCTGGCGGTTCAATAGCACCTTTGGCTCCGTGTCTGTGTGACACCTAAGCCCTGCAATGTAGGCCCAAACCAGAGTCCAAGCATGCTTCTCACGGCACGCCGCGACGAGCAACCAGACAGCAGCTGTAAAACTGCGCTCCGACTAGTTGCCTGTCGCGCCGCCGATCGACAACCCTAATGTGCCAAGAGCTGCAAAATAAACGTTTGTGTTTTACTGGTGCACAGTAGGGATCTAAAGTCTGGAGAAATGGATTGATTGGAAACATGCCCGCTGGAAGAAAAAAACTTCCACGAGAGTCTCACTGTGGTAATGCACAGGGCACGTTTTTTTCTGCAATTTTCGGCAGCCTGGCTGGTACCGGCACTGTGATCGGATCCTTCAGCTTGAGCTTCTGCCCGGCGAAAAGCGGTGCCCAGGAGCCGACGGATTTGAAGCAGGGAAATTTACGCAGGAAATGCAAAACAAAGGGAAGACCCAAGACATAACAGGAAGATTGTCGGATCCATCGGGTGCTACGCAAGATTGCCTGTGCTTTCACTTAAGTGACCTTGCACACGGACTGTTGGTGTGAGCTGTCCGATCTTCACCACGAAAAGTCCTGACCCTCAACTTCATGTCACACGATCTTCCAGACAAGTAACACTCTGCCGATAAGCAAGCAGCGTGTTCTCTGTGATCTCCGTGCTTGCCCAACAAGCCAGTTTCTCACCGTGCCGCTGCAGCCTCGCCACCGAACCTGCAGATCAGGAAAATGCCTGGTGCACAACACCGCCAAGGAACACGATGACGACGAGCGCCTTTTATGTCATTGTCCAGCAGGTCTGCACCCAAGCAACGCAGTATCTCGAAAGAGCGCACCTCGTGGCTCAGGTGTTATTCATGCCCGAAATGGCACCACGACAAATCCCGCGCTTGGAGAGCAAGTCTATCCCTAAGAGCCTAAGATCATGGACGTGTTTGCGCAGCAAGAAAGCGGAGAGCAAATGGGAGCAACAGCAGTGCACTCTCGGGCACGAGTTGTGGATGCATGGTCAACGGCTCCGAGAGGTCTGCCGCAGCAAGAACTTGACCTCAAACAAAACCAACCCGGAAGACGGAAGAATGCGGACGTTACGGCTCAGACCGCCAGGTTAAGAGGAGCGGCTCATGACCGATGCCCGAGCGTTGCTCCAAGGGAAGGGCGCCAGCAGCGCTTTCCAGCAGTCGAGCTCGGCGCGCCACTGCTCATTGCCGTCGAGAAGGGGAGCAAAGTCCGTATCCTGCTGCAAGGCCATTGTCAATCAAGCGAGGGACCAATCTTGGTTTCTCTATGTTGCTCTGTAAAGGCGGCTTCGGGCATGCGGCATATCTGCTCAGCAGACAAAATGACAGGCAACTTCCTGCACTGCGTGCCCCGAAGCATGAACCTTAGCAGCCAACACTATAAGAAGCTATCCTCATCCGAGCACTGCCTCACTGAGATCCACAGAACGAGCAAAACACACCTTCCCCCGGGTTTCTGCTGGGGCCAACATGACCAAACGAAATTCATCCCTTGTACCTCGCTATCTGTTCGTCTTTCTGTAGCGCTTCAGACCCGCACGAACGGGACTGGTGGCTGAGGCACGTGCGACCCCTTCTGTACTTTCAGGATACAACAGCTCGCTGGCGACTTGTGTACACTTTTCAAGAGCAAAGACACCAAGGCCCTGGATCATCTCTTGGCCCTTCCGACACAATGCAGAAAGAGGACCAAAGACGGTGGCATCAAGAGTTTGACCTTTGCTAATCCGTTCTGTGCCAGAATCGGAGGCTCCTGGAATCTGCGGGCTACTGCTTGGCAGCTGCGAATCTCGACCACTCGGCGAAAGGCTTCACAGATATCTTCCGTCAACATTTCCTCAGATCCCAGGACAAGATGAGCACATGATCCCTCGCACAAAGCCCTGCTCTGCAGTCGAACGGCACACATGGATAAAGCATAATTAAGAATGCAATGGCAAAGAGTGTGGACGCACCGGCCAGGCAGGCGTGCCACGCACTCCCCCTCAGCGGAGATGCTTGCAAGCAAGGGGAAGAAGCCACGTGAGCCAGCAATAACAGCAGAATCCCGAGATGTCCACCAGGCCGTGCAAGTCCAGAGCTGCCAGTAGAGGGGCTGCATCTGTGCCTGGTATGCTGCATCTGCATCAAACTGCATCGTCTGTGGTTCCGCCACTGAGGCCGGGTCTGCTTGCTGCCAGCTGGCGAACTTTGGCCTCGGAAGAACTGGCACATTTTGGCGTTGTCCCATCACGTCACAAAGGATCCACTGCCGGCGCGCTGCCGCTAGCGCAGAGAGCTCTGAGGATCCTGTGGAAGCTCCCACAGCCAGCCGCGAGAGTTGCAACACCTGGCATCGCTTTGGTTCTCACACAAGTCTTCAATCTCCCGGTCACGTGACCTCTCGCAGCACTGGCCTGCCATCTTGCAACCGATTGCGGTCCAGGATGGAGTCGGATCACAAAAGCTCAACTTGGGCAACTTAGGATCAGGCTGCAACTGTTCGTCCTGCTGGGAGATGAAAGCCGACGCACGGTTCCTTTGCTTGCAGACCCTCGCAGTCCCTCCATGTCGCCCCCTTTGGGTGGATTTCCGTGTCTGAGCTCGCAGCTCAAAGCCTCCCATAGCTCCCACGAGCTCCCAGCTGTCACTGCCCGCATCACCATTGGGCGCAGGCTTGACAAGAAGCCTCCAGCGAGTCCACAAAGACAAAGCTCGATCTTTCCCCCCTGTTGTGCCCAGGCTCCGGCATTAAAGGAATTAAATAATTATTCTGCGGCGCAACTCAAAACGGCGAAGTGCATGTTGCGCTGTAGAGCTACTGCTCCTAAAGAGTTCTTCGAGTCGGATGTTGTGAATACCGCGCAGTGCTGAGAGTACAACACTGTGTTCCGGACTGGCTCATCTTCACTTCCAGGACAAGGATTTTGTCAATCTTGTCTCTTCGAGCCCTAGGCTCCTTGCAAGAGCAAAAGATGCACAAGGCATATCAACTCATCATGCGGCAGGTCAGGACCTTCCACAAAAGTATCGGCAATCAAGGGACCTGGACCTTTCTGCATCAGGCAACTCGTTTGCTCTCAAAAGCGATTCGAAGGCTGTGCAGATCTCTTGGGCCATGTCGCAGTTGGATCCCTTCATGAAAAAAGCATGCAGAGGCAGGCCCCAAGAGCTCCGCAGCAGGCCGCATTAACTTGGTGCCGAAGGCACTGGGCACGACAAATATGCCATGCAAACGTGCAGAGCACGTTTGTGCTCATGCGGTCTACGACATATGTACACAAGGCTGGAACACCTCCATTGCCATCACAGGCACTGCATCATCAATAGCACCACATCCGCTCTATTCGAGATGATCAGACGCTCGTACTATTGACTTTCTGCAAGGTGAGCTGGGCGGAATCGATCGCTCCAAGAGCCTGCAACGTCTGTGCACCATCAGTTCTCTCACCCAGATCTGCAGGACATCTCCATTGGGGCTGCTACGGTCTCGAAGCTGGCTGCGATGGCTTTGACCGCATCCCTTGCTTTTTGACCTTGGCGCTACATGCGTCAGGGTTTCTGCATGTTAGGGCATCTCCCTGCATCTGAGTTGCTGCGAAGCTTGGGCCCTTCCTGAAGCAAAGCTCCGGTTCACGAAGCAGGATCAAGTCAAGCCCCGGCCTTCTCAGCTGTGCGTGGCCCTTCGGCTGCTCTAAGCCTTTTCATTCGATGGGAGGACGCAACTACCAGCAACAGGCGCAGGGACCCGGGACCACCTCGACTCCAACTCTTCAATTTTGGCCGCCTGTGGCATGGAACAAGACAAACTTGCCGCACATTGCCTTCGCACGTGACTGATCTGGCCGAGCGTCCATCGCTGCATTGTCTTTCTGGAGAGCTTCCAGCGCATCATAACCTGCTACGAAGCTGTTTAGACAGGTTCAAGCAGAAAACTTGGAGTCGTAGGACCGAGCCACAATGGCCCAGTGCTTCGTGCTTGTGCCAAGGTGCCGGAAGTGGCTCGTGCCGCTGCAAGCCACATCTCTTCTGCACTTCTGTCGGAATTTGACCTGTGTTGCAGTCCGTTCAGCGGATCACAGTGTGCAGGCGCTGCATTTACAGCCGGTGTTGAGAACGGAACGGAGAAAGTGGGCAATAATTGGATACAGGGCACGCGTTGGACTTCAGCCAGTTCAGGCGTTTCTTGAGTTCAGTCCTCAGTCCGATCTGGCAACTGATGCGCCCGAGAAGGTCCGCCTCAGGACTAAAATGACTAAAAGAGGTGGCCAGTAGCCGTTGACGGCAAGATGCAAGTGTCGAAAGTACAAGCAGCTGAGAGGACGCCCGAAGCGAAGTCTGTGCAAGCTTGGCTCAGGGGGATTCAAGATATCGATCATCTACTGGTAGATGGGTGTGCCGACTGGCTTGGAGCTGCCTTTCAGAGCCCCCAGAGCCCCAGAGAGCCCCAAAGCCGACGGACATCCGCCACGCACATCGCCCATCATCGCCCCTGCAGTCCGAGGTGCGCAGAACACCAATCCACCTTCCTCTCTCCAGCCTCGCTGGCCTCAGACGTGGCTACGCTCAGGTTTTCTATAGGACACGCGGCGATGCCACTCGGCCATGGCCTCGGAGGACTCGCTGCGCGGCCTGGCCACATCTCGACACATCTCGAGGCAATGCTCCTCAGAACTTCGTCCAAACTCATCCAAGTCACCAGGCCCAGGACGACGGCAAGGATTTCGAGGAGGCCGCTTGCACCACCAGCCCCGCCTGGGACATTGGAAGAACGCATCCAAAGATGGGAAAGGTCCACTGCAGGCACCTTCGCGGCCCAGCCTCGAAGGTCTCCTCATCCATCGGATCGACCACCACAAGGACTTGAATCGACATCTCGCCTCACAAAACAGAGCACAGCAAACAGCACTGAGACAGCACCCTTTCTGTGTGATGCCTCCGTTTTCGCGGTTTAGGAGCTCCTGGGTCTCCTCTGCTAAGCGCGAAAGCTCCAGCACTCGCCTGGCGAATGTGTCCCGTGGGCTTCGGTTGTTAAGACTGCGGGCAGCTTGTCACAGGCTTTCGGAGGGTGCTCTTCTCTCACTTTCCAACCCCCCACATACTGAGTTTTTAAAATAACCTGTTTGGAACATCTCTTGCCACGAGATCAGGACATACTGAGGTTTTTAAAATAACCTGGTTCGAACACCATCGACGGAGCTTGGATGTGATGTTGCTGCCACATGGATAGCACCGTGTGGTGCGATCATGTCAGCATTCGCGCTCGCATCTTCAAAATCGCGTGTACTATATCATACCGGAGTAGACCCGAAATTCAATCGGGGCGGAACAGAACTGAAATCCATTCAAGATCAAATTCCCGTCTGAACCCACTACCCGATTCCGAAATGTTTCGCAGCGCAAACAAATCGAGAGCCGCAACGAAACCCATGAATCGAAAGATGCCAGCATCGCAAACGCCAAGCGAAAACCGTTCGCAATGCCTCGACCCTGACCACTCACTGGCGCGTGCGTGCAAGTTCAAGCAGGTCCCCGCCTGTTCAGGTTCTCGGCACGCGGCCGTGCACCTTCCCTGAGGAGGCTCTGAGCCATCGGCCCCACCACGGCCAAAGAGCTCCCTGAGCTCTCAGGGGCGTTGCAAAGCAACGGTCTTCTTCTTTGCCACATGGGTCTGAAACACTGAAACAAGCAAAGAGTCGAATCGGCGCGCACAAAGACGGTCTCCTTGGCTGCGACTGTTTCATCACGAGAGTGAGATAGCTTGAGCTTCGCTCCCATGCCAGACAGGTACTACGCGCAGCAGCAACTTGCGAATCCTACACGCATTAGAACGCTGTACTGCTCGAGTGCAGGAACACGGCACCAACACCACACAGAGGGGGACGGCAGTCCACTTTCTCCACGGAGGGTGGGCGGGAACTCACTCTGCACGCCGCTGCTGCGACTGCCACGCAACGCACACTTCTTCAAACTGTGAAACCCTTAAACATACCGCGCGTGATAGAGAGGGTTTATGTCACTGTACGTGACCAGTGACATCTTGCACAGCATTCCTGGAAGTGTTGTCCAAGATAGTCCAAGGTTCCCTCCTGGCGGAAGCACATCGGGCGGCTTGCCGAGCTCCAGCCTTGAAGAGCCAACGCTGTGATGTGGAGGCGGACGCTTTCAGGGCGGATCTAGCCAAGTCGCAGAGAGCAGGTGATGGACTCCTGATCCTCCTCCATATCCGCATCCTCCTTACTTCTGCACGAAACGGGACACGGTCTACAGTCTCGGGTTAATCATGCAGGGCCTTTCGGCAAAACTTCGAAACAAGCCCGTTGACCTTGCCATCACTGCAATATTGCGATGCTTGCATGTGCTGGCACCGACTTGCTGCAGACATGCTTGCAGAGGCTGCCATCAGACTGTACACGACTTGAAGAAGCTTCTGATGCACATCAGCTTCTCTACTTCTCGACGAGATGCATCAGAGCTGTGGTCCTGAGAACAAGCGAAGGGTCCCAGACTTTCGAGGCACAACGAGCTCCTCAACCGCAATCGAGTCTAGAACTGGCTTTCAGACTTCCGCCCTTCCGAATCATGCCTCGCTATCCGGGAAGGAAGGCTTGAAGGGTCTTGCACGCCGGTGTGTTGATTTCAGATGTACTCTCCTGCCGCTTCTCTGACGGCGACTTCTTGACCCTGTCGCCCAACTTGGAGGGATGCAGGGACGTCCCTTGGCTCAACGGGCCGGATGCAGCAAAGAAAAGGGTCAGCAATTGCCGACCGTGCGCAGGAGTAAGCGTAACAGGAACTGCCACAGCATGCGTGACCTACGGCAATGTGCTTCCTGCAGTCCGGCGACTCCGCGTGTCCATGCCTCGCAGCACCAGCAGCATGCGCTCTTTTTTTTCGCACACACACACACACACGCACACACGCACACACACACACACAGCAGTAGACTCCGTAGTCAAAAAATGCATTCGCCGTTGTCCAAATCGAGACCAAGCTTCGTTCCCTCTCCTCGGCGAGAAGGCTGTCCCAATCCTCAGCGTGGTGCAAGCGGTGAAGGCTGAAGGATGCAGAAGATATCTCTAAACTCAGGCTGTCGCCTTGCCATAGTAGGCACAGAATTGTTCCTGTTCTTCCAGACGCCTCACGGCTCACGACTGTGAACAGCGGCCGAAAGACGCGAAGGCGAGACACGTTTGTTGCCACCTCTTCAAGAACACCAACTCCTCGGAGGAGACGTTGGCAGAAGAAGTGGGGGATCCCTCCTGGTCAAGACTGCTCGCTCTGTAATTCAGTTTGTCGAGTCTGTTGCAGCCCTGGGCAACTGCATCAGGGGACAGCCCACCTCGTACATCTTTAGCTGTGATTTCCTGAAGTGGCTGCTTGACAGGCTTGCCAAAAATTAGCTTGATCACTGTCGTTTTCTATCGTTTTCATGGATGCACCACAAACGGAGGCAACCGCTCCCAGAGCCAGTAACCCCATACTTGATGCAACATGGCTGCTGCGACCGATCCGATTTCAACTTTGTCCCAGCAGCAGTGCATTCAGTTCGGCGCGGAGTTGCGCCTCCACGCTGGACATGTTAACAGCCTCGGTGCATGATAGCTCCGTATGTATGTGCGTTCATCTCTTGTAGAGGAGCAAATACACACACTCGCATACAACAGCCACGACATGTCTTGGAGTCTTGCTGGCATCTTCAGGCACGGCAGGCATACCAGAAGCTGATGGAGGCTGAACAATGCCTTTTGAAGCTCTGAATGCCCATAGAGTTGCGATGTGCCCCCAGCATCCCCCAGCCCTCGGAAAGCTGTTCACAGCCCTTGACACCGAAGCAAGAAGGCTTCTGTCGCATCCAAGACACATTTTGAACAGCCTGGCGCTGTCGAGCAAGAAGCATATGCGGTTGGAGACAGTTCATAAGACTTAGAGACTTAGAGTCAGAGTGTGACGATGTTGCTCGTCTCAACATCTCACTGACATATCCGGCGAGGCCACAGGCCTCAGGCGTCTGGGGGTTTTAACTAAGCACCCTCTACCTCATCCTCCTCCCTACAGCCCGAAAGTTCAGTGACTCCCGCTGACTGCTGGGGTCGCCTCGACCCCGCCCCCTCCCATGCAGGTGTCTCCCCCTTTTCCGACCCGATTTGACTGCCCCCAGAAAAGTGCCCCTACAGAGGAGGAGCAGTGGCTTTGCAAGGCTCGGGCCGACAGCTCGCAAGCCGAGCCGGGCGGCTTCGAAAGCGGAGCAGAATTGGAATCACAAGAGAGCTTCAAACCTGTACCCACTATGTCACTATGCACCTACACATAAACAAACACCTGTCTTTGCCGGAATACCCTATCAGACGTGTGTCATGCACCCAGGGTGCCTTCGTCTGCACCTGTTTCACGGACTGTGCGAATTTTAATGTCGACAAAGTCTCGTCCTTGCCAGTCACCAGCCAAATCCCTATGCTCGAAAAGCACTCGTGGATTCCTAACCTCATTCTGAGGTCTCACGTGTAAGGCTCGTTTGCTCCCAGGCTCGAAGTCAAGGAAGTTAGGAGAGATGGCCGCCATCATAACGGTCTTGGAGTTCCCACAAAGGGACTCCTGAGCCCGAGGCCTACAAGCATGGACGTAAGTCTCAGGGTGAAGCAGCCAGGAAACGGCTCTCCTTGAGGATGTAGGTCAGTTTCGATTCCCTGAACGGAGGGTTGGGTTTCTTCTTCGTCTTCGAAGATTTCGCCAGCTCGGAGATGACCCTGCCACAAGTCCCATAGTGAGACATGTCCCACTCGCCAACTCTTTTTGTCACCAACCCGGTCCTGGCCAATGTTGACAAGCTCTGATTAATGGCGGCTCCTTCCTTGAGCCTGCACCATGTCCAAACAGAGCCTATTCAAAATGCTGAGGCTATGAGTCTGGCGTAGGTCTCCAGTTCTCAATGTATGTGAAGGCGATCGCACGTGTTAGCTCTGAGACTCAGCAAAGTACTCTATCACCCTGCCCCGGTCTTCGCGGTCCTGTCGCCCGTAGCTTTGGTTCGGCCGGCACGCTCTGAGCCCGCGAGATCCACGAGGTGGGTCCTCGGGCTTGCCGGGATCGACTGCCGGTCTGACAAAGCGTAGACACTCCACATGTTCGGCAAGATTCTGTGAAACCTTCGATGGCTGATCTGGTTCTGTGAGTGAAGTCTTGAAGGTGAAGATGCAGTGGCCTGTAGCAAGGCTCCTAAGACTTCTTGCAAAAAGGATCAGCTTGGGGGTTCTTGAGGAGCAGGCTTCTGCTGCTCGTCGCATTCCTGAGCAGCGCATGAACGCAGAACGCTTCTTTCTCTACCCACTCTACCCACTGCACCTTCGGTGGCACATCCACATTAACCATGTGACCGAGGCACATCGCCGTTGCCGAGACATGCCTGGATTGGCCAAGGACCCTAACGCGATGTCCGCAGGAACATGGAGCAGCCCTACCGTGCACTGCATATTCACGCGCCTCATCTGTGTACCGTAGTCCACCAGGTTCAGCACCTCCTCACAGGATGCAACCGCCGCCTCCGTCAAACCTGGCATTTTCGTCAGAAAGTTGTACATGTCCATCTGATGCTACAAACGCTGGACACTGTGGCGTGATGCCTGGCACAATGGTTCCAAGAACCGGGTGCTGCTTGACTTCTAGCTTCTTGTTTTCACTGTCTGTGGCAGGTGCCTCGCGAGAACATTTGCTGCATTCGTGGAGTCTTACTCACTGATTGAGTCACTGTGCAATCGTCTCACCAGAGGCATGCAGCCGAAGTGCCAGTAGGTCACGGATTTGCTCATTGTAAATCTCCATGAACCCAACCTTGAGAACTGCACACCATCACCACATGGACCCTTGGACTGAACTGAACCATCCTAAACCTGAATGCCGGCTCGTGAAAGATTCGTCCCCTCAAGACTTGACACTCGGCTGCATTTCGCACAGCTGTGCCCCTGAACTACACCAAACTAGCTGAGGCGCAAGAGTCTTGTACGTAGCGCCCTGGCTGGACAGAGCAGTACGTGCACAAAATGCAACTCGGTCGTGAGATCATGCTGATGTCCTCAGGAAGCTTTTCGAAGTGATCGAACAACCTGCAAGAGCTGTTGCTAGACAAGGCCAGCATAGGGCTTGAAGCTTCCTTCGCCGAGACACCCCTCTACGACGCGAGGAAGAAGGCCCCGCTCTTCACCCTTGCCACCAAGCACGCTGTAGGACTTGCCGCCTCAGCAACTCTGCTCCCGGGCCCAAAGCGTCGCGTGGCTTCCAGCACTTCTCCTGGGCTTCTCCTAAGGCCCTGGCTGCCTGTTTGCCCGTAGGCGAAGATGCAATTGTTGAAGCCGTTCATGGCGTGCTCTAGCCTTCAAGCGTTTGCACAGCGGCCGAGTTGAACCATTCCGTGCGTTTGGTGTTGTGTTTAACCGGGATGTGCACAGCCCGCAGTGTGCGCGCGCCCGCATGCACAACACGCATCCCACGTTTCGGACGGCCGGCCCGCTGGCTGAGCCCGGACCCGGCGCAGCTGCGCTAGCCCCCCCCCAAAAAAAAATGCTTGTTGAACACGTGGGCAGCGTTGACTGCAGACTTCCCGGATCTGGTCACGAAGCCGGAATCAGATTCAAACGCAAGGTCGCAAAGTGTCTTCGCTGAGGGGCATCGTCTCTCCCAGCTCCTGGCTTTGCAGGTCAGAAAGGCAGGGAATGCCTCAAAGTCTCACAACGGCTCTATTTCCGTGACCCCACGAGTCCTTCTGCAGCGTCTCCTGCGTGGCATAGAGAGGATTGTCTGAGCTGTGCGACCAGTAGCATCCTCGAGCTCTGAACCACGTAGCGTGTGAAGAAATCCCCCGACATGCGTCGGAATAGCACAGATCGACGAAATTCGCTGAAGACGGATTGTTGAAACATCGCAGTAGCACTCGAAGACTGTCGGCCAGGCGGCTGTCGAACTCGAAGGCGCGCCTAGCCGAGAGGAAACAAGCATGCATCTGGAAAAATGATGGCGATGTGAATGTCCTCCATGCACTAAGAAGAACAAAATGGACATCAAACTCCCAGTCTCATGCGAGCGACATATCTTCCTCAATCTCTTCAGGATTCCACATCCTCACAGATGTCTCTGTCCTTGGTTAGTAGGCATGCGCTTTGCGAGCCCTGCGCACCTCGAGACTGAAGCCTAAGGTCGAACCGAATTTGCACACCCTTGCAGAGCGTCGGCATCTCGACGCAAAGCTTGCATTCTCCGCCAGACCGCTGCCCCTCCACCTTGCCGCGGATTTCCAACAACATGCTCTGTGAGATACAAGAAGTTCGTTTGTGTGCCAATCTTCACAGGATGATTCTTCAAGCTTCTCGTGAATCCACTGTCTGCATGCCTCCTCCTTGATGAACGGTCGAACTCGGACACATACCTTGATTGTCGGGGAGTCCTGTCTGAAGAATGACGCTTCGGTTTCTTATGGTTGATGTAATCAAGCAGACCCTGCAGATCTCCTCCAGCGCAGAGTCCCCCTTCAATGCATTGACCTCGCATCCCGTGACCGAGTCTTCAACTCAGTAGCAGCATGCGAAGCGATGCAAATCTTTGCAGCCTGTTTGACTTGAGAAACTGCGGACTGCAGTTTGGACAGCCCACCCGACTTCATGGCATCGGGCAACCTGGAGACTGCATCCGCTAGAAGGTTTTGACGATTCGACTTATTCAACAACAAGTCTCGGCCTCCGCCAACAACTTATAACTTACGCAACTCTGCTTCTGACAGTACTTCCGGCTCGCCCCTGCACCGACATTTTGCTGCAGGCTTTGAGCCAAAACTCTGCTTCGGACGGCACTTCCGGCTAGCCCCTGCACCGGCTGCACTAGCTTTGCTTTGCTTGCAGAAGAAGATCCGAAGTACGAACAAAGTTTCTTGCAAATGCACTTCGCCATTCTGCACGCTACGCAAGGTACGTCGTTTGGTACCTGGATAAGGAGCTTGTTAGGCTGGTCCGAGTTCCTGAAGCACTCAGGAGTTTGTCCACTTCGTCACGTAGTAGGTGCTGTCCTTGAGAAGCTCAGCTGAGCAGGAGCTGCCGCTGAGCTGCCCAGTGTGGACAAGGCCCCGGGGCCCCAGCCTTGCCGGTGATCACATAAGTCCGGCCTCGAGGGGGGGCGAGGGTTCCGCTTCCGCCCACATCGCGCTGCAACTTTGAGTGCCGCACTGCCAAACCTCACAGTAATCTGCACCATGGATTCCGTGGGAGGAAACAGGTGCCTCGGATTGGCTTGATGTGTCGTGTCCAGGTGTCGCTTCCGGCATTGATCTTGGCAGGGCAACTGACAGGAGGCGTGTGGCGCTTCAGTGATGAATTCTGGCTTCAGAAAGTGGCGGAGATCAGGAAGTAGTGAGTTCACAAAAAATGAAGACGTCAGGCGGGCTTGAGATCTCGGAGCGAGGCTTAGCATCCTTCAGCAGCTGCCAAACGGTCGACCTAGGAACGCTCTGCACCGCAGAGACCACGGAACTCGAATGCCTTGCTCTTCTGCCGAGTCCCACACACGACTTGATCTACTTCTGGACCCCAGTTGCCATCCTCTTCTGCTGCACACTGCAAACATCCGCAAAGCGCGTACTGCGGAAACTACACGACGCCGCGCCACCTTGCTAGCCAAAGCCCCAGAGGCATTGATGACCAGCCTTTGACCAGTTCATGGTCAGTCTGCATCGTCCACAGTCACCTTCGTTCTGAGGCGCCAACTCCCCTTCCTTTTGTCCTTCAGCAGCCATGGCCGACATCGCATGCTTGAGCAGCAAGCGGAACACACCACGCAGCTAAGTGGGCATGTGCTGAATCTTTCAGCAGCTCAGAAGCATGAACTTGTTTCAGTCTTTGCACGGTGAGGCGCATCGGCGAGTTTTTGGTGCAAAGGCTGCCTAGGCCAGCCCGTGGGATTCAGGCTGTCCACACTGAACCTCGCACGGCTGAAGCACGTGGCTTCGTAGGCTAAGCCATCCTGAGCTTGCTTTTGGACAGTGTGGCAAACCTGGTTTCCAGCATGCAACGTCCTTTACTGGTGCCAGCGTCACAGAACGTTTCTCTTAGGTGCATCCCGACATGTTTAGGCTTTCCCTAGTTTAGACATATTACATATTGCCTGAATCAACAAACCAGAGCACGCAGCACTAATTTGCTGAGAAGCACAAGAACGTGCCTGCAAGAGTGGACAATAATCGCGGGGCATAAGCCGCGTCATCTCTGTGGACCATGAAAACTTGCCAAGGCTTTCTTGGTCGTGTTCCGGGTGCAGTTGTGCATCCTGACGTCGTATTCATGGTCGCATTGGCCTTCTCACCGTCTTGCATGAGCAAACCGGTTGCAGAAGCGGCCATTCTGTCAACATTTCTGCATTGCCATCACAGCCCGCCCCATGATCTGAAGATCAGGAAAATTGACTGCAGCTCCAAAACAACAACAACCTCGCAATGGTCGAATGGGTGAAGGGCTGGAAGGCACGCAGGCAACGAGGCTAGCAGCTAGCAAATGACGTTCTCGAATTTGATCTTGATGGCCTTCCCATTCTGGCATGCAACTTCGTATCCTTGGACATGCAAGCACGCGAAGCAATTGATTATGATACCCATCCCAGGCAACCTCGCACGCGAGAAACCAAGACAGGTCGCTGGATGTATCTTCATGCACGTCCGTAATGTTTGCCATCCTTGGTCGGGCGATAGTGCAGACCGCAATGGATCGGTCACGTCTGCCTTGCACTCTTGGGCCTAGGCAGACCATTGAACTCCTCCTTGCCCAGGTTTGCCAAAACAACTCTGGTTCCCTGCAGGTCATGTTGTACAGAAGCAAGAGGGGCAGTGTCGGCAAATTTGCTTCACTTCATCTCAGCGCATCCCTAGATTCTACTCAGTCTCAATTTGATGATCGGTGGCACTTTTTGTGTTTGCATCTTTGCTGGAAGTTCTGCTGGACAAAATGTCGTCGGCAACAGCGTGCGCTAGCAGATGACTTGTTCCACGTGTGCACCGCTCCCTCAAAAGCAAAACTGGGGCAGAACTCCGGCTGCGAAAGGTTGCGAAAGTCATGCCTTCGGCAAGATCACATTGCTCGGCTGCAAGCCGAGTGCATCCCGGCCACTTGCGGGTCGCTCCTGAGTTTTGACGAGGGAGGAATTCTTGCATGTGAACTGCAGGTTGCTCGCGCATGGTATCAGGCAAAACTCTTGCCATCCTGAGCCATAGCTGTGCGAGAAAGGTCTCAATGACAGCGGATCTGGTCCTTTTCGTCTCCCCGTTTCATTGCAGCCAAGCGGCCTTTAGTCGAACTGTGTATCGCCAGTTCCTTGCAGTTCAGCCGATGCAAAGCCGGCCTCCTTTCCCCTCCGAAGGCTGGGTTCCCTGCTCTTTGTCGAAACTCAGAATTTGTGCCGACTTCCCGTTCCTCGGTATTGGGGCAGGGGCGGCAGGGCCCTCTGGATGACGGAGCGGATGCAAAACTGAGACTTCGACAGGTCGGGCTGCGACTCAATTCCGACCTGGCCGTTTCATTCTTCGACGAGGGCCGCACATGGAACGCAACTGGGGCGCCGGCAATCTTAATCGTGCATCTCTGCGTGAGGTTCGCAGGCCTGGAAAGGCTCATACGGCAGACTTGAGCGACAATCGGGAAGGCTGGCACTAGCCGACACACGTCTTCAATTCGCAGAGTCTTTGCGGATGATGGTTTGTCGTAGGCTCCCGGCCTCAAGGAGAGTGTGACCTCCTCGGAATCCAGCGAGACCTCAGCTCGCAGAGAATTGCCCTCGTGCTCCCGTGAAGCAGCGGGGATGGGACCTCGTATCTGCCTTTGCTGTCATCCCAGGCCGTGACTTTCCTGTCCGAGGATGTGTCTTCTCCAAAACAATGCTATAATCTTCGAACTGCGGAGCTGTCCCTTGTTTGGAATTGTGCTCCGGCGACTTCAAGCCGTGGATGACAACGGCCTTAAGTCGACGCGAAGCACACGGCATTGCCCTAGCAGACTTATTCGTCAGCCTGTGCGCACGAGACAAGCTGTCCTGAGATCGCGGCAGTGTTTACTGGCATGGCCCAGGCAGGTGGGGCCGGCCTCGTATGCTAAAACTCACCTCAAGCAAATCTAACTAAGAAAGCTCAGGCCTGCTTTTGCCGGCACCTTTGCCCATCATTCCGCCCATTGGCCCCATGCCCATTCCACCGAAGCCTCATGATTCAAAACACGACTGCCAGCTGAGCACCAAAGCCTCAAACATGCCCACGTTGCAAAAGCAGGCAGGCCTGGAAAGCCGCTGAAGTCACCTCCACCCATCCCAGGCATGCCGCCCATGCCTCCCATTCCGCCCATGCCTGATTGCAGGAAGCTGGATTTCCGGCGGACATATTATGTTGTATGGAGGACGTGACATGATGACTTGTGCAGAATTATGATGCTGAGGAGTGGACCCGGCATGCCGCCATTCCTGCACTGGAGAGATGGCCGCAACAAGTCGCATTGTGAGACGTTTGCAGCTTTTGGCGTCCTGAAGATGACTCTAGCTCCGCCGGGCCTGCTTGTCGATGCTACTGTCCGACAAAGCTACCAACACGTTCACTCGCTCGGAACTCATGACCTGTGCAGTGCAGAAGATTCGTGCATCGCTCAGGACCGCACATGCCACCCTTACCACCGAAGAATCCTGCAGCTTACGAGACGTGGTGGCAGACAGTGCACGAGACACGTATCAAGGCTGCCTGCAATGTCGTCATCGCCGTCGCCGCCGAAGAACGAGAATGGATCCCCTGCACCGAAGAAGGCCTCACAGGATCCCAAATGGAACGAAAGTATGGAAAGTTTCTGTTTGTTTTTTCAGCGAATCGGCGCTCGATCATACAGTTTCGAACGTTCAGGTTTTAGCTTCTCTGATTCCAAGCACGGCCTTGAAGATCTCATCGGCATGTTGAAAAGAAACGCCTGGTCCTGCAACTGCTCGTGGCGAGCCAAGACAGGCCCGGGAGAGAAGAACAAGTTGCGAACCAGAAACAGCAGAATGATCAAACTCAACTGCTCGTAGTTTGTCAGGTGGACAACCAGCTTTGCTGCACTGGTTCAGGTGTCACAGTTTTGGTAGGTCATGCGGACCGTGAAACAACCTTCTCGTGGCACCTCCTCCCGGCCCTCCGGCCCCACCGGACACGCCAGCTTTGCCAAACCTGCGTTTGTGATCTAGACTCTGGCTCTGGGCTAATCTGGGCGACTCCGCAATCCAAGTCCAGGGCTGATCGTAGGCTTTTCGCTTGTCGTGGTCGTGGAGAACTTCGTAGGCCTCTGTTATGACCTGCGAAGGCGGCAAAGCTGAGGCTCGCTGCTTCCTGCCTTGTGGCGAGAGAATACCAGAAACGAGCGCCGGCCTTAAAGTTTTCTTCTGCCTGAGCTTTATTGTCAGGATTCTTGTCAGGGTGGTACCTGCACGGCAGCAGCACAGACTTGATGTGCGTTTCGGGTGCCAGTCTTCAACCTAGGTTGGCGCACTTCAAAGCCAACTTCTTGTAAGCTTTGGCAATTTCGCTGTCGGATGCACTCCGATCCACTCCTAGAACCTCCAGGGTTCACAAACGGCTGAGTCTTCATTGCAATTGGGTTTTCATTGTGGCGGATCGGAGCCTTGTAATAATCTTCTGCCTTTATGTCGGGAGTCGTCGGCATTCTCACCTGAGGTGAAGCTTACCTTTGCTTTCGCGACTCCTGTCAAGCTCGCACAGGCAGCCCCTAATCCTCCCAGGCTGCGTGTGTGCACGAATCAGTCCTGGAGCCTCATCACCCAGGCCTGGCTCTGTGCGCGGAAAAAGCTCACCAGAGCTTATCTTCTGAAGAGGCCGAAACGACTATCTGGATTTTACACAAGAGCTTCAGGGTTTTCAAGATCCCACCAGAAAAGAAGCTCGAACAAAGGCAGCCAGAAACTCCCATCACTAAGTCACTAAGGCTTCCTTGCTGAACTGTTCGGTCATTCCCCGAATGGGACAGTGTTGCAAAATCAGAAGGTCCATGTCTAAGACCCAGTGCAGAAAACAGCACTCAACGCCAAAGCACGATCGAATGGAAACAGTATGCATTTCAATGATGCGTCCACTGCCAGACATGAGTCCCTTGCGAACCAGGCTTTGGATGTTACATGACGCCCAATGAAAACCCTACGGTGATCGCCGGCCCTTGTCCATCTTCATCACATCTACATGTCTCTATGATCCCCATCCCGAAATTGACCGCAACAATCTTCACTTGCAGACTATTCTTCACCACACTTGATGCGCATATGCACAGGCACGGAAATCTGTCTTCATCTGGGCATGTGCAGTAGTCTCATCACTTGCAAACAAACGCCACATACACCCCGCACGTATGCACAAAGGGTAGTGCTCTGTCCTGTTGTCTGTCATCGGGGCTTGGTGATCATGCTTCCCGCAAACAGACTCAAAGGTCATCTCCGACATTGAAACCAACACAAGGCACCAAGGTTCCACATTCACTTCAAACTCCACAGTATGCAAGGCATCGTCCAATTCTAGATTCGCGGGCTCCCTCTCCAAGAACCCTCAGCCTCACACGAACTGACCTCTGCGTCCGTCCACTTTCTTCTCTTTGTCAATGTCTCCCCTTGTAGCAACAAATCTTGCAATGCAAGCAAGGCTCCTGCTAAACGTTGGCCGCAGGGCTGGGCCACAGCTACGCTGTGATTCAAGTTCCGGCAGCAACACAAGGTCGCGCAGTTATCATTCGTGACCCGTGCTCTGGCGCTCAAATCAAGCACATGGATGCAGAAAGAGCCGCAGCACATTTTAGCTGGCACAGATCCCCTCACTCTTGCGGGCTGGAACCCGCGATGAAACGACGACACTTGGTGAGATGGATGGAGGCTACGAGCTATGTCCACGATGTTGGAGTTCTGCACAAATGCTACGGCCATGGCTGGTAACCTCTTCGGGTCGCAAGACGTTACTCACGACCGATTATGACCTCGGGCAGGGCAAACTTGCACACGGCGTACAATGTCTCCTCTTCTGTGGCTGCTTTGCAGAGGGACTGGTGCTGCCGAGAAGCAAAGAAGCCCATTGAACCGATCAGAACATATTTTAGCCACGGATAGTCGTTCAGCCTTAGCTAGGTCCGAAAATCCGCTTTGAATGGATTTCACAGACCCTCTGTGCACAGAGGGACGTGCCAAATTGTGACCATTCCGACGTATGGCAGGTATGCCTGCGCCTGTGCGACAAAGATATCTAGACCAGGGAGAAGGGTGCTGCCAGCTTCATGAACCAAGTATCTCGCCCGTCCCATGATCTCTTTTTTACTGAGGAAGAGCTGCCTCCACTTGAGACGAGATGAACTTTGCACAACTCGGCACCATGAAGTAATCTTCTGCCTCGCCGCATAAAGACCTCTGTCATCCACCTGGCAGGTACTCCGCTGAAGCGGGCACACGATACTCCAAACATCGACGACATGCCTGGTTGTTGTCACCTTTTGTGAGCATGGACAGCGTTCCATCCTGGTCACAGCTTCTGGCTCAGACATGGCGTGATTTCTAGTCTGTACCTTGTCGAGCACGGAAGGTCAAACACGGATAAGTTCCAGGCAGGCTTTTCATGCACATTCAAGAGCCTGTGGACAATCGGGATGTCCTTCAACAGGGAGTTGACGATGGAGGCGGCTCGCATTGGGCGTGCAAGTTTGCCGGCAGCACCCGCCCCTCTATCTGAAAGACAACAACATCGCCGGGCTTGAACCTGAGAGTGCACTGCACCCCGATCCGGGAGCGAGAGTGATGGTCCAGCTTGCTCAGTCCCGCGCGGCTCACCAAAGAGTGTGAGAAACCTCAGCTCCGAAATGAAGCCCAAAAACAGAAGGAAGCACAACGAATCTTTGTGGTTGTCTGCCAGATCTCTCAATATCGCTTACACAAACCCGCCCTGCAGCTTCAGGCCGGAGAGCAGGATGTCGCCTCTTTGAAGCCCCGGCTCCATGCTGCCGCTGAGCACGACTACCTCCAACAGACACGGGAAAGAAAACCACTAGCACATCATGGTAGATGTGTTTGGTGAGTAGCTTTCTTTCTTCCTGTGGTGCTATACTTGCAAAGGTCTTGGTGATTCTGGTGAAAGACTCGTGTATCTCAGGTCCTGGCAACTGGGCTTTCGCTCTTCGTTACCACCATGAGGCCCTTCCAGAGCATCAGCGCGGAAAAAACGATGCAGCCCAAATTCAGCACCTGTCCCAGGACAACTCTCTGTTTCCTTCTGTGCAGAGGGTTGGCGCCTGCGTAAGGAAGGACCGAGGTCTTTTGGCCAGATCTCGAAACTCACCCACATATTGTTGCACAGACTCCTTAGCAAAAACGTTCGTCAATGGCGGCTGTGTCTGCACTCTGCGTCACAGTATGTCTCAGGGTCAGGCCATGCCTTCCTAAAGTCAACACTCCGCCAGCGACAAAATTCGGCTGGCGGGCACCTTTCCGTAAGTTTACTCACGCTCCCTTGCTGCCGCTCTCGGTCGATTGGTTGAGAACTTGACTTAGTTCTCTACTGCACGTGCCAGCCGCCAAGCGGGGCAAAATGGACCTCCTACCCGACATATGACAAAACGCTGCGCTCAAGCAGGTCGCAGAAAACACCAATCATCACAGATGATGAAAGACATGACTCTTCTGCACAATTTCTCTCGTGAAGCTTGCGAAATTTCGCCCCAAAAGTCCAGTTCAAACTCTGGTCTTGACACGGACGCCTTCATGCCGTCCTACGCATCACTACCTGGCTTGCGAGCTCTGGAAGCCAAGGCCAACTTGCAGCAAGAGCCTCGCTCCGTGACAGGCTTTTGCTGCGAGCATCCCCGGTCCAGGTCGCCGTTTGCCGGCAGGAACGAGGCATCGCGAATTGGAGCGCTTTGCGCTGAGGAGTTGGCAGAGCTCATCAGAGGCCCGAGGCCGCCCAAGCAGCATGCTTGCTTGGCTTGCTTGGCTCGCTTCGCCACCGGAGCTTGCCGCCTCCTGCCATATGTCGTGTCTTCCACTATCGTGGCACATCATGGCCCCATCATACAGCAAGCTTGCCTGTTTCATCAGCTTCTGGCTGCGAAGTGCTTTGAGAAGTTCAAGCTTGTGCTCGATGTTGCGCTGAGCTGCACCCGCGCCGGCCCGGAATGCACATTCGCCGAATCAGACGAAGAGATCTCCGCAGACCATAACGGCACGCTCAGCTCAAGATGATCGCGTGGGTTGGCGCGAAGCAAATCGGATGCCCATTCGACCAGGCTGATGGTGCCGACATCCAAGGCGCCGCAAGACATGTTCTGGAAGATAAGTCCTCTCTTCAGCTTGCAACGGGATTGGCTTTGCTCCTACGAGCGCCCCCTGCCTCCGCTCAGGAAGACGAGGCACTGAAACCGGCCTCGAAGCTCAACACTTCGAGCATGATGAAACAATGCACAAACACACAGGGAAGGGTTTCTGTGGTTCCTCTTTTCCGCGGGCAGCAGGTGCACACTGCACATGGACTAGCTCAGGTACCCGAAACTTTCCAGGCACATGCCAGGTTTCTGGACACGGCCCATCATCCGTCGAAGGTGCCAGCGGCCAGGACAAAGCTGAAGGCTCTGCTGGAAAATGGAATGCGCCTCCAGCACTTTCGTGCATGGTGGCGGCCTTGTTTTCTTAGAACTTAAACATGTCTTCTGCGCCCTCGTGGCCCCAGGACTGGAGACGGACGGAAAATGCAGCAAGCTGCAAAGAATTGCCTGAGCCTAGGCTAGAGTCCTAGAGTTCCCTGCGGGAGCCCCCTTGCGTAAAGCCGTAGGCACCGAGTCCCACTGCCGAGAAGACGAGCAACGCCCCCATGGTCTGCACCGCAGGCACTGCGACATCCAAGGGCTCCCCTCTCAAAGTGGCCACGGCAGCGGCACCTATGACCCCGCTGGCAACGCTGCCGAGGATCAAGCCGAATATCTGTCTCCGCTTCTCTTGCAAGAAATCAAGATACTCTTCAGGGGCATCAGCAAACGTAAAAGGACCGTTCATGTTCCATCTCAGCGCGGCGGCACAGCCTCAGAGACTCAGAAGACCACTGCCACCAAAGCCCACGGCGTTCGAAAAGAGCAAAGAAAGTGTTGAGTAGCTCGACCCTGCGATGCTGAGAGTTGCCTCCCCCGTGTTGATAACAAGAAAAGCTTGCCACACGTAGAGAACGAGGAAGAAGGCTGCCAGCGTCTTGCGTACAGCCTCCTCCTCCAAAGTGATCATGCGGCCCTCGGACACTGCCTCTTTAATCTCGGAGGCTGACGCCCTGGCCCCACTGGCCCCACTCTTGCGCCATTGCTTCACGAGCAGGACAGCGCCTGCGGCGCTGAGGCCCGCTATCTTCGAACCCTTCGAAGCATCCTTGGAAACACGCAGGGGCGCCCCTGCTTGTACCGGCAAACCAGGCGGCACGCCTTGCCGCCGTGGGACCTCTGGCAGGGTGACGAAGTCCATTGTGCCAAGGATGTCAAACTTAAGCCAAATCGCGGAGACATCAACCAACTTGCAATGTGCTTGGCGCATCGAGAAGACACAAGTAGCTAGATGTCGTTCAAGCTTCAAGGATACGAGTGCTGAGCAAGCGGCCAGTAGAGTTCTCACCCGCATCTGCGAACTGTGCCGCTCCTCGTCATGTGCACAAGCTCGGAGTGTAGTGTTACTTAGCTTTCTCAAGTGCAACCCTGCATCTTGATGAGTGAGCTTGCAAGTCACGCATACCTACTGTATCACTGCTATCGACACCACTGTATGCCTTGCTTTCCAGAAGATCAGTCCGTCAAGCAGACTTCGCAAAAGAGAAATCCGCGAACCCCAATTGCTGAAATGCAACGCCGTGGCCTCCGGCGCTTGAGCAGAAGTAAGGCTCAGATGGGTGCCAGGCCATGAAAGGTAGCTGATAAGCGAAGATAAGCGAAGACTTCCCCCTTTGCCCTTGTGGGTCCTGTGCGATGCGCTGGCACTGAGCTGCCAGGGCCAAAGGGGCGGCCTTGAGCTGCCCCCGTAGCAAAAGTGCCTGAGACCTCCAGGGACGAAAAACACTCGTCAAGAGCCCAGGAGGGCCCATGGCATCTGCCATCCTAAGCCCAAAGCCACCGTCTGCCTGTGGCTTTGTTCCTGGCTCTGCTGCTCGGCACGCTCCGAGCGAAATCGCTCCTCCATCTCGTTCTGCGCCAGCCTGGCCTGAAAGTCTCGCAGCGCAGGATGGGGTTTTTAGGCGTTCTGGAGTCGTTTCGCCGCCTGCTGGAGAACACGGGCGCCCTGGCTCTCTAGCTCGAAGACTTTAGCTTCGAGTATACCTCAGCATCTCACAGTCATCAGGCGGAGAGCAAGACGCAAAGAACATGCCCCGGAGGTGACCGGTATGATCCCAGTACAATTTGTTGCAAGGGTTTTGCCGCTTCCAAACCTATCCGAAATCCGGCAGAATCACTTAGAGAAAGGGCAAAGCCCTGGCTGACCTCATCTTGTCCGACCCCTCGTCTCGCCACCACCAATCGGTTTCCGCTTGGAAGTTCATTTCTGTTTGCAAGTGCGCCGATACATCGTACATGTATGTCAGATGTCGAGCAGCATTCCTTCAAGGGGATCCTGTTGTGTCCCGCAAGCACCGCAGCCGTTTTGACTCAACGTACAAGTCGGGCCCCAGCTTCAGAGGAGGCCTTTCGAATTTTGACGTGAAAAGAAACATGGGGTCCGAGCTGAAAAGCAAGCAAAGATTTCTTGTCTCTTGGAGCACGCTTGGAATCCTCTGTAACGAATCCAGCACATCTTTTGACACAGCCGAATTGAACCCAGCTCTGAGCGTGCGGCGGGCTTTGTCTTCTGCCATTTTGCGCCTCGGTTACGACAAGCCATTGGAGTCTTCACCTTCCCGCGTATTCCCAAGCACCCCACACTCCTTCGAGCTGCCGTTCTGCGAAACTGTTCCGCTCTCCTGCGCTGGCACATTTACTGACTGTGCTACAAGCCGAGATTAACGAAGACACAACAGATCACAAGAGCCCCGGTCCTTTCGCACGCACAAACTTAGAAAGCTTCACCTGTGCAGAGATGAGGGACAGGCAGCCTGGTGCAGAGTGCAATGACATCTTCACCGACCGGCATTGCTTGAAAAGTCTCAGTTTCCCATCGCCCAATCAAGCATCACGGAAAGCGCAGAGTCATCTCAGACGACGTGGCGCAGGCAAGGAAGGTCAGGAGGGGGTGGCAGAGCTGGATGCAGCAGCATGGGAAGCAGTTCAGGTTGACCCTAGGCAAGGCTGTTCCAGTGGCCGTGGCAACCCCGCGAGCTGCAGCCGACGGGACACTCGAAATGGACCACTTGCTGCTAAAGCAGAAAGTTCAACGGCGGTGTGCTGTACGCGAAGAGAGCAAAGCTTTATGAAGTGACTGTGCGCGCGACCAGCACTTGAACGAGGGAGGCATGCATGGCGTGCAGACAAAGCAGGACACGCGTGCCCATGAAGGTATACGGTAATAGACTGTATCATTTACTATACTATACTGTATAATGTCATATAGCATACTACCCAGTTCGCAGGCTTTGGCGAATAATGCGTGCGCCCTGAAGTGGGGAGCTTGTTTGAAGGCTGGCTGCTGACAAGCAGACACAAATTACCGCAGATATAATAACACTATATACTACTTGTACTGCACCAGAGATATACTGCTCCAGCAAGCGATGCAGTAGCATTCTCTCTCCCCTTACAAGGGCCGTGCTTGGGATGCAGGGGGCGCCAGGCGCACATCATGAGCAGCTAATGGCCAGCCACAGAGAACAAGAGGCGCAGCTGATGCTCATGATGCTGGCCGCAGGGGCCAGCATCATGAGCATCAGGTGGTCGGGCCGGTCGCGCTGAAAATCATCATGCATTTGGTAGCACGCTGTGGTGGCTGCAAATTTGCCCCTTTACCCTCTCTTCGGCTGCCATAGCTCTCGCTGCCCCCCATTTTTGAAGCACCTCCGTGCACCACCCTTACGGTGCCTGGACAGCCAAATTTCTGCGAATCCGGTGCCCCCCCCCCGCACCCGCCCGCCAACGTCGGTCCAGGATTTTGCGTTGCTCCCCCGACCCTTGCAAGGACCAGCCAAGTTTGCTGCAATTCCGGTGCCAAAACCCCTCCCCCACACGTCAAGCTGCGCTTTCCGTCATCCAGATCCGATGTCGCGGTCTCCCACCTGCCCCCCGTTTCAGGCTTCGCCCGGCAACCCCAAGGCGCTTTCCCACATTTGTAAATTTTGTAAGCCATGAGTTAGGCGGCCTAAGGCCCTTGCACTCTCCTCCTCCCGCTCACGGTCCGCGGCTTGCAGAACATCCACCTCTTTGAGGCGGGTCTCTGCCGCCGCCGCATCCTGCTCTTCACTTCCCATCCTTTCCCGAGAATCCCCAACAAACAGTGGGTCCTTGGCAAGCTGGTCTCTCCAGAGAACATCCTGCCTCAGAAGATCATACCGCCTATTCCGAGATGTTCACTGGGTCTGCGTATGTCTGAATCCAAGGCAGCGGCTCTTGCTGCTGAGCATCAGCCTGTCTTCCGTGCAGCACTGTTACGGTGCGTGGTCATGTTTTGTGCCCGTTGCTCAGCGGTGCCTGCTGCATCGAGCCCGACATAGCACTCATGCGGCGGCGGGCATCGGCCTGCAAAACAACGGGAATTCGACCAGAAGCTCTCACATGCTGTGCCACTCACAACCGAGCGAATCACGATCATCTGCAACTTGATCTTCAACCTCGCACGTAGCACATCATGGCTGCAATGTTCCAAGAAGGACCCTCGACAACATGTCGCAAAATGCATAGCCCTCCCAGTAACATTCAGCTTTCTGGCTTTCTGGCATACCTGGGCTTGGACTTCTGTGACGTGTCTTCGCCGGCATGGTGGTGCTGCTGCAACTCTTCCAGAAGCACGCATAGATCCTGCGTCTGAATGTGAGCAGCTTCATGCAGAAGAGTGGGTCCACCGATCGAACTCGAATCTGTCGGGCCTCTCTTCGTTTCTCCAATGCCACTTGAAGATCCTGCAGGCTGCATCGTAGCGAAGAGTCTGTGTTGCCTGAGCGCATGTAGGATGCAGCGGACACCGGCACAAAGCGGCGAATCGCTTCAGATCCAGGCGCAGCTGCTGCAGTTCGTGCTCTGCGTTTTCCGCAGCCTGGGAAAAGCTGACCACAGGGAGCTCGGAGGACTACACAGCTCGCTCTGACATGCACCCAACTGGCACAACCTAGTTTCCCGGGCAGCGCCTGGCAGTGCTCCTGATATGCCGCCCGTGGCACGCCAGCATCTCTCTTTCGTGCCAGCTCCTGTCAAGAGAACACTCCACCTCGCTCTCCGCTGCACGGCATCGAAGGTGGATCCTCGATGTCCTTCTCCGCTTGGCAAGCGGCTTCGCTCAGGCCCTCGAGCACCTTATAGCAGCGACAGCGGCAGGGGCAGCGGCAGCGAGGAAAAGTTCGGAGCAAGTTGGGGACTTGGCGACGTTCTCTTCGACCTCAGCCAAGCCTGACACTTCGCTCGCCTGCGAAGCCAAACCACAACACCTTTGGCTCGTGCCATGCTCATGCACTGAGTGCCTGGAGTCCGGCCGTGGCCACTTCTTCCTTCAAAGCCTCTAGCCTTAGACGCAGCACAGATGAGTCGGAGTTCGGGGAAGGTTTCGGGGAAAGCTGCTGTTCGCCCATCTTCCTCAGCAGCTCAGCATCGAGGTCTTCCTGACCAAGGCATGGCCACGCCAAAGCTCCCCCGCGCCAGTCCCCAGGCCTGCTCCTGAGCCATCTGGAGAACCTCGCACCAGAGGCTAAGCTCAAACCGAACCCGGCGCGACCCCGTATACTTATACGTGCACCTTGCCCTTCTGTGCCAATGCAGCTTCCGCAGCTGAAAGACGAGAGCGGCTTTGTTCCATCTCCAACATTGCCTGGAGCTTGCACGTCTGCAGACAAAAAACCGCAGCACGCGTCGGCGCCTGCTCCAGGACGGAGGCCAATTTCTCCTCACAGGCTTGAACGGGAAAACTTGTCCCAATCGTAGCCAAACTGCCAGTCTTTTCTGGGGCTACAGCATCCCTCCAAGAAAGCAACCGGATAGTGAAACAACATGCGCGAGTGCCTTAAGAATACCGACGGCCCGGGTGCCATCGTCGGAGTCACAGCGCTTTTCCTGAAAGAGTTCGTGCTTTCGTAGAGGATTGAGAGAACGAGAGAGCGAAAGAGCCTAGGGCGGGAAAGCGACAGTGAGAGAAAGAGAGAGATTCAAACTAACTTACGATAATAGGCATCATTGGCGACGGATTGGAACACCGAAGGTGACGGAAGCTTGTGAACGAAGTACAATGAAGAGCTTGTCGGGCTTCTGGCTGCACTGTGAACAAATGAGCTGGCAGTACGCCTTTCTGCTTGGGGCATTGGTAGAACATCGTGCCAGGGTAGCTGAAAAATCCTATTGTTCATGAAGTCGGTGCAAAGAAGTCGAGACACCGGTCTGGGGAAAGTAGAGTTGTTGAGGCACCGGATTACGTGGTACGATTCGCTTGGAGGTTTCTCGGTTTCTCGCAGCTCAGGGCTAAACGCTGATGATGACATTCTCTGTTGGAAGGACGTTTCTGAGGGCGACCTGCTTTGCGAAACAGACTGTTTCAGGCAGTGAGAAGGGGCTAGCTTGGAGACGGTAGGCTATGGGAACATGACTCTGTCTAGAGTCTGGACATTGAGCGATGACGTCCGGAACGATTTGCCAGCTTGACTCGCCTCGACCTTTCGCTGCAGCTGCCGGTGTTCGTGCAGCAGGCTGGAGCCTTAGATTTGGGGGAGAAAAACTTTGGCGGAAGCTGAAACCGGACCCGGGCCGCCCTGGCCTGGCTCTTCGGAAGACCTGGCACGGTTCTGAAGCACCGAGTTGCCAGCTTGCGAGCGGAGAAGCCTTGCAGTTGGTGTAGAACTGTTGAGCAGGTCGGCCTGCCCAACTTGATGCGAGTTTCTCACTCGCGCTGAATCTGCTCTATGGCCTCTTTCTGCACGAGCTCTTCTTCAATAGCCCAGTGTGACGCATCTCAGAACAAGCTGCTGTGGTCTTTAGCAGCAAAGGTGAGCAACACGCGAACACGGAATAAGCGTGTGAGCGGCGGGCTTTCTGCAAGCTTGTGTACCAAAGCGGAAGCGGATGCCAGTGCTTGAGCATCTGGCAAGCAGCTCTGATTTTCACACGCACAACTGCTACAGCCACAGAGCCTTGAAAAGAAGGGGCTGAGACACACATGTCCAATGCCTTCTCTGGCTTCGTCGGCTTGACGTCCTCGCATCTCCACTATGCCTCCGGCATGAAACAAGCTCAACCCCGAAATTGAGCAGTTCACGAGTGCGGCTTGGTCACTTCTGTAGTTTGGTTTATATCTACACTTGAACGATCTGCTCCTTCTTCAATTTTTCCGCTTATCTGAGACTTTGGCTGGCAGCAGCAGCCGCTGCTTCAGCAGTCCAGGCCCTGGCCGCACTCACGGACTTAGCGAGTTCCTTTTGCTGCGCAGCATTGCAATTTGTGGGATTCATGCTGAGAAAAATGACCCCCGTCGGTCAATGGCTATGCTCAAACACTATCAGCAATGATTTTTGGGGGTAATACAGGGTCGCTAGACATTGGACAGAGCTGATTCATGCCAGGTGCATGCAAAGAGCATGGACTCAGCGTGATTGAGTGTGCCCACGTCTGCGTTACGGCACTGGCTGTAGCAATTGCAGCTGCTCTGGCACAAGAGCACGCCCTATGCTATGGTGCCGGGACGAGTTCAAGCAGAATGCGCCTCTGCAAGCCGTCCAGCTGTCCTTGGAGGCAGGAAAAATAATCGAAAAGTGTCGCACCACTCCGAGGCTGATCATGTGCTCTACATCCTTTTCCAGAAGCCCAATCCTGTTTGAATCTGTTTGACACAAAGAGCCCAATCTCACACCTGTCAGCCCCGAATATGTCCTGTCCCCCTTGACCCCGAGCATGGCAGCTCAGCCAAATCGCCGTCTCCGGGCATTCAAAGACCCCTCAGACATGACACGCTAAACCTACTCCCTGAAAACCTGCCACCATAATAGCTGCCTGTCAGCTGTAATGAAACAATGAACCCTCCTCGGAGCTGTGCCTCTGATATGGCCGACAGGACAAGACTGTAATACGATAGGACCAGAGCGACACCAACATGACCAACAGAACTGCAGGGACAATAGCTTGCCTCATTGCGTTTTCCAGACACACCTAGTTTAGGACTACATTTCAGAGCATCTGCGAGATTCCTGAGAAATTCTCTTCGCGAATTCGCCCAAGAACTCCCAGTGTGAAGCAGCTGGAAGGCAAGAAGAAGTTTTGCTCTGTGAAACTGGGGCAAGGGCCCAGACGAAGTCGCAGCTGGGCGAGCAACTCCCTTGGAAGTCGAAGCAAGCTCCAGGTGCTGAATCACTCTGCTTTTGATCTACTGGGCGTGTATCCACCTCACATGTGGAGGGATTGTAAGGTGGATGTGGACTGACGGTCTGTTGCGGGCGAGGATCCGTTGGTGGAGCGCGGTCGAAGTGGCTGCCTGAAGCTTGCCTGCCTCCTGGTCTTCCAGATCAATCTTTGAGAGGCGCAGCCTCTGCACGCGACGCACATCAAGGGGACTTTTCAAAGCCACGGCCGAGCGGACAGTGCACAGCCAGAAAGGCCGATCGGCCTGGATTCTTTCAAACGCTGGGAAGTTTGGAGCAGCTCGGACTTGAGCCCAGCCTCAACACGCAAATAAACAGCAAGAGCGAATGCTGCCTGCATGGTATCAGAAATCCAGAGCGGGCCCCAGGCGTCGGCACAGGATGCCAATGGACCACGGATCTGCTTCTGCCATTGGAGCAGCCGCTGCTCGGCATCCGCCTTCTCACCTTCTTGCCGGAACGACCCAGAAGCACGAAGCTTCTCCTCCTTTTCCTTCTCGCAGTCAAGGTGCCTTTGAAGCGATCTGCCATCGCCGACTCGTGGGTCTCGCTTATGCTGAGCCTTGGCTTGGCGCTGCGGTGAGCGCCGGTCGGAACCGGTTCTCGCTCCTCTTTTCAGTGCAAAGTGCAGCCAGGGCTCGCCTGTAGCTGCTGCTGCTCGTGTGCAAGCGCCTCCGACTCCTCTTGCCGCATCGCTTGTGCTGCAGCCTCTTCTTCTTCCTTATCGGGGCTATGACTGGACAGCTGAAGGCTGCGAAGGGAATCCAATTATTGCAAGCAGGCATCTGCGCGACTCAGTCGAGCAAGCTGCTCAGCAAAGCTCTCCTCCTGCTTCTGAACGGCCATCACAATCCTCGTTCTCGCATCGGGCACATGATGCATATGGTCATATACACCAATCACAGCTGCAACTACAGGAAGCAATCTCAGGACAGGCTTCTCTTCCAGATCCGAGTGGATCTTGGCCTCACGCTCCGATTCGGCTTTCTTCATCGCCTGGGTCCTTTGGTCTTGGGCCTGACCGGCTGCCGGCACAAAATGCTTCCGCAAATGCTGGTCGCGTCATGTCGCGCCTGTCTCGCTGCTTTCTGTGCCGTCAGAGCCTCGGCCTGTGCTTCGGCGGCTTCTCGCTCAGCTGCCTCGTACTGAGCCTCCAGATGCCGACTCTCCTCAGAGTTTTTCCGAAACTTGCTTTAGCAGAACATCTGTCTCTTTGTCTGCCTAACCCTTGGAAACTCCACATGCTCCAAGGGTCGTCAAGGAGTTGGGAATTGGGATGCCGAAGGCGATCAGAGTCTCTGCTGGAAACGTTGACTTGCTGGCTCTCCTGCACGGCTTACCATGTCCAGGCGCAGGATCGGAGACGCTTCACAGGGCAGGACAACCATCCTGAATCACTCGCTGTGCTTCTTCAACTGCGGAGCCATCCAGAACCCGCAGCCACGGAACCACTTGCAGTGCATGCATGCCTCGCAACACCCAGCTCTCTTTAAGCCAATTCATATGTCGCAGGCTTCCTGCTGTGGTGTACTGCACCAAAACGGCAATACATTGCATTGCAGACCAGGGACGGTAGTTTGGCTCTCTGCAAATGGGGTTCGAATCTTTTCCGACTTCCTCCTGGGCACGAGAATCACACTCGCGGTACGAGGTGTGCCTTGCTGTCAGTGTGCACTTAGACTTGGTCTCGGATCCTGGAAAGCCAGGGTCTCCAATTTCGTGCAACCTCCCAGAAAAAGCAGTTGGGCCATTGCCCCGATCTTGTTGGACCTCGCAGAGGCTGTGCAGAGTGCAGATGAGTGCAGAGCGCTTAAACTTCCTTTCACTGTCGAACCTCAGGTCCAGCAATCTCAAACGAAATCGCTGGCCCCAGAACTGCTGCAGGCCTGCAGGGCTTCAGGCTTGCGCCGAAAGAGTGACCACATGGTGCAAAAACACCGGTCGGCACAGTCGTGACTTCCCAGAGGCTCCTTCGAGCGTCTGAATCTGATTGTAGGCCAAGCGCCTCAGAGGCGACAACGACACTTCAAGACAAGACCACGCTCCACAGCTTTAAGTCCACTCCGAGCTGCAGCTCCTCGAGGGCGTTCAGGTTCCGAAGCCCCGTGAGGGTGGTCACGGCATTGCAGCTCAAGTCCAGCAGGCGCAGACTCGAGAGCCTCACGAAATCCGGAGGCCTGAGCAGCGGCCGGAGCGGGGCAGAGCGAAGCATCGATTCGGGGCACGAAGCTTTGCCGATGCCTGAGATGGCAGATGCAGTTGCCGGAGAGGATCAGCTCCTGCGAGGGCCCACAAAGCTTGTAATTCTTTCTCTGATCGTCGCATCGTTCTGCTTTTCATGTGCTGTGTTTGCTGGCCTCAAGGAGAGCAAAACGGCTGAGGCCGGCAAGATCCTTGATCCTCACCATGCAGACTTCCAATCTCGGCTGGTGAACTTGAAAACAGCCGAGGCACTGGTTCATGTGCAGATTCAGACGCCGGGCTCGCCTCGGACGAGACTCGCGCCATACAATTTAGAATAAGGGTGTTGTGGCGCTTATATTCCACTGCTGAAGCTTCCACTCTCCCGGATCACCATCACCAGCTTTGTCGCAAAGTCCTCCGAAAAATGCTGCGGGGGGGCCGGAGCTTGCAAATCAACACCGAACTCCGAGCCTCGAATTTGATCCAAAGAAGTGATGCTTGCACCGAGTAGATCGATGACAGCCATGGCCCATTAACAGCCAAAGATCAGTGTGTCAAAGTCTTTGTCTGAGCTGTTCGTGGGCCCAGACAATCCGAAGTTGCTGCTCGAGTGCTGCTGAAGCTAGAAGGCTTCAAGATCCAAGCCAGCACATCCGCCATGGCAGCACATCCCTGTACTAGTAGCAGAGTTCATCAGAGTGAGAACACTGGCAGTCACCGCTCCCCGCACCCTTTTCGCAGTGTCTGGGAAGGTCAGTCTTGTCCAATACTCTTTGGCAGGAAAGGCTTTCATGTGCATTATCGAAAGGACACTCGCTGTTTCTCCGCATCTCTCCAATTCACCTTGGCAGACTCTGAGGCAGGCCGCCATCAACCCTGCAGTCACTCTCACAACATTCACTCGGATGCATGGCAGCACATCCACTACTACAGCAAAACGTTGATGTTTCGTCGTGCGGGTGGCTCGAGTGGAGCTCTGGCAACATGGTTCGGCGCAAGCCTCGTTTATCACCTTGACATGGTGCCCTGTGCACCTAGAGTTTGGGCACCCTGCCCGGCCACAGCAGTCGCTTCGGGAACCTTGGAATCATGTCGAACGTTTGTCTGCACGCAGCGCCACACCTGAGATCCTGGCCTCTTTGATGAAGCTTCCTGCAAGCTTGCAAGCAGCATCCCCCCCAAAACAAAAGCAAAAAGCTTCCTTCCCCGTCTGTGCCTTTGATTGCATATGCTTCTAACTGGGTGGCCTTCACTGTCGCCTTCCAGCACGATGCTGCTGGCAGCGTCCCAGGAGACAGGCGAGGCAAGCAGCGGAGCCGGAAGGACCTGACAGCGCAAGCCCTCCCCAGACGAGAGCTGGAGATGGAGGTGATCCCCTTCTTCGTTGTAACTTCGTCTAGAGTCTTACATGTAGTGTGCAAGCATCAACTGAGCTGGGCATCCCACGTTAACATCCTTTGATGCAGGCGCAGGTACGGCCTCAGATCTCGGTGCCCTGAAAGCCGTGTCGAAGGAGGCACCAGCCTCACAAAAGCCGGACCTAACGCCTCGAAAGTCTGCATCTTCGTCTGGGTGGCACACTCCATGTCCGGTGCCTTGGATCGCGGCATGAAATCTCTACAGGCTGTGCAAAGTTTGCCAATTGCAGCGGAGGTGCCGAGGTTCGGCAAAAAAGCTGGAGGCGAGGATGGAAGGATCATTGGACCTGCGACCTGCAAGCGCATTGAACCGAGAACATCTGAGATGTGACTGTATGTGTGTATGCGCCTCACACCGGCGATTTCACTATGTGCCGAGAGGGCCATGAGTCGCTTTGAGCACTGTACACAGACCTCTAGGTCCGTTGCTCACTCTTGCTGAGGAACCTCCATAATTAATGCGCCGAGCTGCCGGACCCATTCGTCTGAAAGCTCGGCAGCGCTGCTTTTATCTACAGGGCAGAGACTGGACAAGAAGTTCCTGTAAGCACCTTCGGGGAATGGCTCTGGCTGGACTTCGAGGCAAGCCTTTACAGTGCCCAGCACATGCTTCAGAATCGAGCGGGCCAGTCTGCTCATGTTGAGGTGCTCAGGAGGCAGAGCCTCGCCAGGACAGTGCTTGCAGGAATTTGCGAATTTGCAGTGGCAGCGGGCCGTTGCGCTCTTAGGCTTCGTCAAGGCAACGGATTCTTAGAGGTGCAGAGGGAAGGTTCACAAACTATCTGGTTCATCAGCTGTGGCCTCCAGCAAGACATGAACGGACTCGACCAGGTCACTGATGAACTGTTCACATTGGTCTTGGAAGACCTTCTTGATCTCCTCTTCCTGCAGTTTAGAGTCGGATTGCGAGATGGTCAAGGAGCTGGAAAGCTCCTTAACGAGGGTGACCTTCTGCTTCACAATACTCTCGAAGCATGGTGGGCTCATCTCCTGCTGCATCCAGCACGTGATTGCTTCCGGTAGCAGCTTCAGTTCCTTGACATGTCCACCGCCATCACCAGAAGCTGAGAAAGACGAGACGACGGCCAAGTACCATATCTTCACCAAGCAAGGTACCTCTTCGTGGTCTTCCAGGCCCTCAAGCTCCGTTGTGCAGTAGCACACTTGCGCTTCGATGGGCTCCAACGCGCGCTTGTCCTCCTTGCTTGTTCATGTCTGTATCAGCTTGCCAAATTAACTGACACCAGAACAACACCCTGGAATCCAAATACTACTTTGTGCGTGTAGCTTCATAATACGATAAGAGGACATCGACTGCAGCCCCATAGACCGGGGGAAGGAGCAAGGCAGGGAAAGTCTTCTTGAAGATCGCGATTGTGTGGCTGGCCTCTTGGAAGCAGCTCATTCTGACAAGCGCTTCCGTCCGAAAGCACAGTAAGCGAGCCAGTACGAAACCATCAATCGTGTCTGTGCGGGAATTCTCACCGACATAAACACTGGTCTGACTGATGATTTTGGACCACATCCTGGAGATGCGCCAGCTGCAGCAGGACACGACATCCTGACCAGCACGGGATGCCAAACTTTCGGCCTCCATAAACCTCTGCACATGGTGGCAACATTCTGCTAGTTTTGCGCGGATCTTCTCCAGCAGAGGTAAATCTGGGAACAAAGTGTGCAGCGCTTCTTGTGATGCTCCTTGCGTTAGCAGCAGCTCACTGAATTTGAAGCGGAATCTCGCGGCATTGGACAGAAGCTGTGATCTCGACCGAGCAATGCACGCCTGAGTCAGGATATTCCAGTGGTTTGTGCGCTTGATGTCCTCGATCAGTTCAGCCTGCGCCGTCTCATAGTACCAGAACGGGTGTACTTCAAGGGCATACTTCGTTGTGAATCCGAGGACTGCAATGGCTCCGATCGCCGAGCTGACAAGCCCAACCAGTTGCAAGGAAGTGAAGCTGACACCCAAAGAACTCAGAACAGCCGCACCGGCTTCGGTGGCTGCAGCGCGGCCAGCCAGAAACGTGGCGCCGGTTAACATGGTGACAGACTCGACCGGGTACCGTCCTCGAAGGTGATCCGTCTCCGGTCGAATGATCTCGCTCTGACTGCTAAGATTGGCACCTTGAAGCCCATCGAGACCAGCTTCACGCAAGAGCCGCAGGGCCACTTCCAATGTCTTCTCGTGTGCTCGCTGCATCGCCTCACCAAGCCGAACCTCGAGCTCGTGCTCAATCTTGGGAGCCAGCAAGGCAAGAACCCGCTCGATGTAGCTGTGACGAACCCACGTTACCTTTCCGATTCGTCCGCCTTCCTGCAGCACTTCCTGGCTTGCCAGGTGACAAAGCTCACCCAATCTCTTGGCACGCAAAGTATCGACTTCCTGCTTAATTTCACGCTCAAGACAGGCTGCCGCATCTTCAGCTGCGGTTTCCATCTCACGCGCATAGAAGTCGCTCAGTGCAACCGTGCCTTGGGACGACTTCACCTTGTCTGTGTATACATCCATGAGTTCAGCTGTTCGTACCATAGCTTGCTGTGCCTGGGAGCTGAGCACTGTCTGTTCTTGTTGCATTGCCATGAAGCATTCCTTGACGTGGGCTTGTATGTCTGCGATCCAAGTTTTGGCCTCCTGCAGGGGAAGATGCTCTTGCAAGAGCTTGTTGATGCTATCATCTGGATCCAACATCAAGCCAGCTGCATGGCGGAAAACTCGAGCGGTGTTGCCCATACTGTTGATATCCTTTTGGTACTTTACAACCAAGCTGTCAGCAACTTGGCGGTTCGACATCTTACTCAAGCGCTGCTTGCCCGTCTTCAGCATCAGCGCCATATCAAAACGCGTCAGCACCCAGAAGGTCTTGCTGTAGGAATTCAGCCTGAGCATGCTTTGAGTCTCCTCCGGCAGCGCCGTCCCTTCTGTGAGTGGGCACACCATGCAGGCAATATGGGAATGATCCTGCAAAAAGCTGGAGACCAGCTCTCGGTATTCAGAGCTCTCTGTGAAGCCAGGTGTGTCGACTAAGCTGTAGTGGCAGCCGAAGGGGTTCAGCAGCTGCAGAGGGAGAAGGACGGAGATCTCTCCTCGATTCAGAGGATTGGCATCCCTGGAGAAGCGGCGTTCCAGAAAGCTGGCGATGTCGGCTCGGATATCCTTGGCCTCTACACCTTCCAGGTTCCATTCTTCTTGAAGCTCTTGATTTAGATAAACGCATGCTTTTGCACCCGAGCACGACTCCACCTTCCAAATGCAGCTGGTTGCTGCCTCGTCAGGGCTCAAAGGTGTAGTCAGCGTAGTCTACTTCATGCTTCATGTCATCTGTCTGAACTTGCAGCTTTGTGGCAAAAAAAGCTCACTACCCTGAAGCGCCTTGTTGTCCACTGGAAGCATCATCTCGTACTCATCCAGCGTCGTTGAGAGCAGCATATTGATGAGAGTGCTCTTTCCAGCTTTGAGTGGACCTATAAACACGATTCTTAGCTTCTCCTTGACATGAATACGCTGGACCAGCGACTCCATGTTCCGCACATGGCTCGCGAGATCACAGAGCTTCGTCTCAGAGCCTCGCTCCAGCACTGCACAGACCTCCGAGAACTCTGGCGCGAGGTCTGCGAGGGAACGGAAGTTTCGCCGGGTGAACTCCAGGATGCAGCCACAGCTGGCCTCGGCTCAGTCTGCAACTCTGCAACACTCGGCTTGCTTCATTCCGCAGCCTAGGGCCTAGACACCCATCATCTGACAAGCGACCTTCAATTCACTCTGAAGCTGTGCAAATCTGACGAAGTCGGCCGTTCGAGATCCCCGGACTTTGTCGTGAGGCAGCACTGGCCCAAGCGTTTCCCAGTCACTTCCTTGGCTCTGCTGCATTCAGAGAGTTGAGAGTTGACGCTCCTCGGCAGATCTTTCCGAGACACCTAAGCCCGCATCATGTCCTTCCCAGGTGGCCATTCACGGCAGCACTACCCCCGTGTGCCATGCAATGAGGAGTTGAAGCGGCTGCGGTGAAGAAAAGCTGCAACACCGTACAGAAAGGTCGCGACTGAGACTGCACAGTCGTGCGTGAAGAGAACAGCCTCGTCCTCGTCTTCGTCATCTTCTTCATACAGCAAGGAGCCTGGTGGTTTCAAGCATGTCCGATAGCACGGCTGTCTGTAGGACCCAAGCCCCACGCTGTTGCCCTTCAGTTGATCAGCCAGCGTCCCGACTGCCTGTTCATAGTCGACATCTACAGGGTGCAAGTTTTGCCAGGTCATCTTCAGAAATCGTTGCGGAACCCTTCGTCATTTAGGGGCACCACCATTGCGTTCTGCGCATCAGCACGAGGCCTAAGGTTCAAAAAGGACATCGCTGTGTGCCCGCATATGACTCACGACAACATATCTCGTTCCCAGCCAGACCAAGCAGTGAATGGCAGGCCTCTGTAGGCTAAGGGCCATGCTTGGCACCACCAAAGCCCAAGCCTCTTCCGTCCGTTTCTACTGGGCTGAAGCCTCATCAGCAGCTGCGGGGACGATTGTTCTGCACCACACGAAGACTCTACGTATGAGTTGCCAGCTGTCGTCGGCAGCACAGCTTTTGGCAAGATACCGGAACTTCGCCTTGCACTGAACTTTTGCAGAATCGCTTGCTCCAGAGCCACTTTTGCAGCACAGCAGCACCAACGTTCTCTGGCTCGTCCTCAAGCTCCTGTCGCCGTCCGACTTCTCCAGTTGGTCACTTCATGGGCGGGATCACCCAGACCTCGTCGAAGAGCTCGTCGTACTCCCCCGGCGCGGAGGTCGACGCACTCCTCCGTTCTGACCCCGCTCGGCTGACCTCTTTAGTTTAGCTCTTCAGCATGCCTCGCCGTGGGCTTTGCACAGGCGGCTGACCTACCAGGGAACAAAGAGCAGGAGAGTGAGAGACTTCCTGCAGCGTCCACATGGCTTACCATTCAACTTCTCTGCAACTGAAGCTGCCTGCTCGTAAGGCCAGTTTGATCACCAGCTCCTGTTGACATCGTCAAGATCTGAAAACTGGAATGTACAGCACGATGCAGCATAAGGCCGGCTGGGACATAAGCGCTCGTGATGCCCCACCGCAAGATTGCTAGCCCTGCCTGGCGCTGTTCGCACATCGCCTCGCTTGCAGAGATCACACGACTGTAGCTGCAGTACAGGTGCCATGAGTCCATTTGAGACAAGCTACGCTGCCAGCTGGTGGAGGAGCTAGACGCTCGGCTTGACTTGGAAGCATCCAAAAATCTCGCATTGCAGAGTCACAAGTCACAAGCCATCATTGAGGGGCGCTGAAAACGATGAGTAGCGACGCAGAAAGGCCTCTTGATCTGGTCGGGACTAAGGGCATCCGCCTGAGTTTCGGCAGGTTCACAAATGGCCTCGATATCCTTCCGTCCTCACGCACCCTGCCTGGGCTTGCTCGTCGTCACTGTCAATGACGTTTCCGAGCAAGTGGTGTGCTTCCTGAAGAAAACTGCACTTGAGCTTCCAGAGCAGGCAGATGGGCGAGGAGTCCTCTTCGTCGTAGTCTTCGTTCTTCTTGGGATCGGCAAAGTACGCCAGGGCACGACTCCCTCGACAGCGCTGCATGCCAAACAGTTCACCGCAGACGGTGCGCAATGCCCACGATGGAAATTAGGCACCAAGTGCAAGCACTGAAGCGCGTAGATTGCATAGCGTGATCGGACAACCAAGCACATACCGAGATCCACTCTGCTTTGACACAGCTAGTTGTCGCTGCACTCTGACCAAGGGACCTCCAAAGGGCCACATGCAGCGGCAACCTTGGCTGGATCCGAGCTTGGCAAGTTTAGTGCTGCTTGTGCACTGGGCTGTCCGAGGTCTAGCAGACAGAACACTAACTCAACAGACCAATGCTCACTCTCCAGAGGAGGAAGGCTGGTGTAGAATCATCACCAGTGTTGCAACGAAGCTGCATGTGTGCACAAAGGATGTCGCTGCCATGGTGCATGCCAGAACTTACTGCCATCAAATTGCCATGAAATGCCGACCCACTGCTAGTGCAAAGTCTGCTGGTCTGCCCTTGTAAGCTGTTTCAGGTCTTCCCTTTGCTCTGCACCCGACCTTAGCTCTGGAACTGGGTGTGGTTCATGTTGCCACGGGCTTGAAAGAAGGGCACGTGCGTAGAGCAATCAACGATGGCCACTTGTCAATCGCCTCTGCCAATGACAATGAAAGGAGATCTGAAGGGACACAGCATCCTGCAAAAGTGCTGCAGGGGCGGGCCTTTCGCCAGATCATCTTGTAAAAACTACAGAACTCTATTAGTCAAAAAGGCTTCAGACATGACATTGATTTCCCCGCCTCGGGCCACGGCAAAACAGCCCCCTTTCAACTCCTGTGAGAGTTTTTGTGTACTGCAGGCTGTCGCCGTTGGAAGCAATGGGCATTATCGGATCCTTGCACATCTTTGTTGCAAGCACGGTGAAACAGGATATTGGCTGGAGGCTCATCACTCGGCGGCCTGCTTGCAGAGGAACCGATCACTTAGCAGCCAGATATTTGCACAAATCGTGTGACCCACCTGCCCGAGCTTGATTGACAGGTCCAGCTCCTCCAACCTGAACCGAATTGGAATTTTGCTCCGGTTCAGTCTTCGGCCCGCGCTCTCCGACGCCCGAGGTCCCGTCTTCTCGCTGTCCACATCGGCACTGGGGCGCTGCAGGGTCAGCTTCACCGTGTCGCCTGGAGCCTCGCAGCGCTTTGTCTGGAGCCTTTAAAAAAGAGCCCTCTTCTTGCGCTGGCGCATGCTGGCGCTGGGGGAGCAGCTCTTTGCTCCAGCATGCCGAACAAGTCATCCGTGCTAGAAATTCGCCTTGGCACACAAGCTTCTCTGTCACTGACGCGGCAAAACCAAGCATTTCTTGGGGGATCGAACTTCCCATCCATGGCAACCACCACATCTCCCAAACGGCCGCCGCCTTGGTTCGGACCCCGCACCAGGAGGCAAGGCACTGTGACCAGGGACCAAGGGACCAGGGTTCAGACGCATGGCACGCACTCCAGCAGAGGCAGCTGGCCCGTCTGGAATTACCTGGCCGGGCAAGTGGGCATTTTTGCTGGTCAGAGGCAGAGGTCAAGTCGATACAAATCCATCCCCGTCTCCGAATGTAGCTCATCTCATCTTCGTCCGCAGGTTGAGCCCTCGCCCTCCCAAGACGCTCGTCCGTCGCAGCTCGAGTCTGACACCATCTTAGGCCTGCCTGCCTTATAGAAAGTGGAAATGTTGCTGTTGTATCGCATCGTTTTGGGTATGACCATCGAAGCAGGTCAGTGAGCCATCCCTCGTCCGCCCAACTCTCCCCGGTTGCACGAGTGAGATCCAAGGCATGCCACAATATCGTGTGGGGCGCCGAGTGGCGGCACGCCAATTCCTAGAGCTGTCGGACACCACACTACCTCGAGCACCTTCTGTGTGCTCCTCGCACGCCGGATGGGGCGTGGCAGCGGCCAGAAGCCATGGAAGCCGTGGAGGAAGGAGACCCAGCAGTGGTGCTCCAACGACTTTGCCCACGTCGATCAGGATGCTGGAAAAGTTACAAAACGATTTGAAGGAGAGAATCGAAGCTGGGCGGCATATCAGTGCCAGCTTCACGTCGCCTACGCTGCCGAGAAGAAACATGCCACGGCGCTGGAGCGCATTCCAGAACGAGACAGACCCGGACTGGAAGGGACTCCAAGACAGACTACCTACGACAGGTGGCAGAAATTCGGCTTCAAAGGCTTGCTGCCGTGGCATTGGGACCTCCGGGTCTGACCGAAGTCCCAAGCGGAGGAGAGCGAAGCAGTGGGCCCATCAGGTCTCGCAGCTATTCTGCTGTCTCGTCTGGATCGGTTCATGTGGACCCTTGCTCAACAGAGGCCGGGACAGCCAATGCCGGAACTGCCTCAGCAAGCCCCGCTGCTCCGTCTACCAAGCCCTCCAGCCCAGCGGTCAAGGTAAGGGGTCGAGCTGCAGCACAGGCAGCCGGCGAAGTTGGTTGTGACAAAGGTCTCTTGTCGACAAGCGGAGGAAAGCTCTGGCTCTCTTTAGCCTTGGACAGCCTTTGGGAGAGTAGCTTCCGCCGATGGACTTTCAGGTGTTACTTGTATCTTCCTAGGCACGCCGGTGCCTCATGCTGCGAGCTTCGGGCCAGACAGCACACCTGGGTTTGTGCCCCTCGATCATCAAGGTTCGTTTCGCATTCGGCCCCCGGCTCTCTCTACTCTCGGTTTCCCTCGTCCTGCCATCTGCCCCGGCGGATGTGCCATCGTGTTGGCTTACCCGCCTGCAGCCGCAGGTCTCCTCTCCCTGCCCCGTTAGCGGTTGACGGCCTCCCCCTCTTTCGGATACCCAAGGTCGCACTCGGGGAGCACATGTCATTCCCTGGGCGAGTCCTGCGGATTGAGGAGTGCACTGACGTTTGCATCCCCTGCCACCGCGCTTTCATCATCAAGTGTCCTGGTCAGGGCTCGCTTCGAGATGCCACGGCTACAGGTCACAGGCGCGCGTTTTGGGTCGCGATAGACTTTGCACCGGATCCGGTAAGCTATATGCTTCAGAAGCGAGGTAACGACGTCACCTCGTCGCAGCCTCCAGCCGTAGAGCGCGATGGAGCCCTTCTCCGCTGTTCCGGTTGCCGACACTGGACACGCCCAGGCTCCGCGAGCTGTTGCGCAGGGCACCTTCCTAGCCGACTGCCCTGGCAGCCCCAGCGAAGAAAGTGGCACCTCTTACAGTCCTCCGACACACTGTCTCCATCTGGCCGCTTGAACCTACAACGCAGCTGTGGGCCCTTGAGCTCTTGACCTGGTCCTGCTTCTGGATCCTGCCTTGTGTCGGCCGTGCCCGCCCTGCAGACACCATTCCAGAATAAAGTTCAGTGCCGCGTTTGGCTTTCGTGTCCACTGGGCATCCGTGGACTAAGGAGATCCCAGCTCCACCAGCTGTCCTCCCACTCTTTGGGCCATGCTGTGTACTGGCAACTTGGTTGGAGGCCGCGTCGCGTCTCTGAAGCCGTGGAGGCCTCGGCCAGCCGGCCGAGTACGAGGAGCACTCGGACCAGCTCATGGGTTCAAGATGCCGGCTTTGTGGTACAGACATCTCGGATCTTGTTGTTTAAGGCGATTCAGGCACTGGAAGGACCGTACCTAGAATTCGCGCACTGGGACCCTGATGCGCGTCCTGGGGCCGGGGGACCGTGCGGTAATCATGCGCCCACTTATTCTGGGGATTTGTGTTTTGAACAAGCCAAGACAGACATGCAAGATACCGAACATCCAAGCAAGCCCAGGCCCTAAGCCCGAAACCCCCAAAAGCCTAAAACCCGAAAACCTCAGACCCTAAACCCCAAAACCCTGAAGAGTCGGCTTTTCCCTACCTGGTGATGCAGCCTCATGCCGACATGCGTCCCTGAATCCCATCATCCTACACCCAAACCCTAAAACTCAACCTTGCAATCAGCTCTCCGAACCCTACACAAATTGCTGGTAACACCTTGGCGTCCAGTTTCCCTGCGAAGCCAACAAGCAGCTCAAGCAGCTGCAGCACAGTAGCCATACTGTTGAACGATAAGTGCTGGCCTACAGGATCCCCGCCCTTCCTCCCTCCTCTGAAGGAGATGGACATTAAAGAACAAAGAAACCGAAAGCGAAAGGTAATGGCAGCTGGAGATGGTGGAGCTGCATGGCTTACTGGATCAATCGCACATTGGTGCTTGAATCGCAGGGCTTCGCGCGACTGCCCGAATCGGTCAAGCACCAGTGGTGTTAAAACTCGAATCGGCGGGTGTGCTTGAATCGCCGGTGCTTCAATTGAAATTGAAGCACAGGGCTCGAGTCACGTTTTCACGGCCTACAGTCTCCCTCCGAGTCTCCAAGTGCATCCTGTCTCATTGCCTCCGCGACCTCGACCCCGCCACACCATGCCCTATGCCGCTGTTCAGAAAGTCCCCAGCACCACCCTCCCACATAACTTGTCCCCACCCTGAGTTTGCGGTACGAGCCTAGCTTCAAAACCTTGCTCAAGACCATGTCGTCAGAGTCTGTTTATCCAGAGATTGTGGAAACTGCAAGAAGCCCTGAAGATCGGACTGACCTAACATCACCACTTTTCCAAGCACGACTCAGGTAAGTTGAGTTGGGACAACTGTCTCTCGGATCCTGCCTTCATCACCATGATGCCATTGAGTTGCAGTTCCTGATCCATGACCTTGCTGCAACACGGCTCTCTGAGCTCCCGTTCTGTGACCACTGCGACAATCCTCAACGGACATGGGCTGATCTACCCTGATTCATCGAAGCCTTCACTGAACCAACTTAATCCACTCTTGCGAAGACTTTCCGAGGCGCATCTGGCGCGAAGACGAGCCCAAGCAAGGGTCGCTTCACAAAGCCTCCGCCACAAGGCAGGGAAAATACTCCAAGCGTTACGCAGCAGACCGTCACACGGTGACAGTTTGAGCATACGATTGACAACCAAGTTAGCCACAAGCATCCTTGAAGTCTTCTGGGTGGAGGGATCATGATGCAAGTCCTCACTTCGTCCCGGAGCCATTTTTGGGCGAAGTAGATGGAACATAGGTTTTCAGATGAGGTTTTAGATGGCTACATCAACGTATTCCGACAATACCACACATTACAGTGCGGCAGCATGTGCTGCATCTTCAGCTTCTGTCTTCTGTCTTCCTCTCTGTGATGGCGAGCCTTGATGGTTTTGGATCCATGGAAAAACTCCTGCTGTGGATCCCCGAGCCCTTCCTTCTACGGTGCCTTACCACTCTCCATTGTACAGAGTCTGAAGAAAAAAAGGGAATGGGAAAGAGCCGTAGGAGTCAAGGCAAAGCGAGCAGTGTGAAACATGGCAAAAGCAAAAGCAGAAAGTGAGTACTTCTGGTATCAAAGAGGGATTGGGCAGCCGCAAACAGATTGAATGATGTAATCACGGGCTCAAGCGCCAACGAACTAAGACCGAAGGCAAGAATGACTTCATCTGTAGATCATAAGCTGCAAGTCACGAATGCACTTGTTTACACAACAGAGTGCAAACAAGCCATCTGAATAAATCTAAGCACGTATACTGTATAGTGTGCACAAAGCTATTAGCCTTCTTCTGAATTACTGTACGATGCTGAACTGCTCGACTCTACTGCAGACATAGACACTACTACGTGCTGGAGTGCATACTGCATTCCGTGGGCGAAATGCCTAGTTAATTTCAGGTCATGCTCACATAAAGTGTGTTCAGCAAACTGACTAGATGTATGATATATGTCGTACAACACTATTTCATGTTGTCTAAGTCAGCACATTACCTCGAATGAATTGCTGGATGCATGCCTTCATCGCCATTTCGTACAAACTCGTGCTTACGCCGCAACGTCGAACACTATCCGTTACTTTGCGGTGGTCTGAAAAGTGCGAATTGCTTCTGCACCATCCTACGGATGATAAATCATTTGAGACTATATATGGACTGTGTTGCTATGTGGCCGACAGCACCAAGACCGTCACTAGAGTTTGAACTATCTCGTTCCGTGATGTTAGATGTTCTGCGTGTTCGAATATATTGTTCCAGTCTATGCGGCTCCTTGCTATGACATGGCATATAGCATAACGAAGCATACGAGAATATGAACAGAAATGATAGGCCACCGATGTACACAGCAAGACATGCAAACAGCTTTCACTCGAATGTGATGTCTCGTTGGGGCCTAAAGTGGAGTGCGTGGCGCTGTAGCTTGAGAACTTGCCTGGGTCCAAGTTTGAATTATATGAAACTGCATTCTGGGATTTGATGCTAAGTTCTGCTGAATCTTCTTCTACAGCGTGCTTCACTGCCGCATACTCTCCCGTGATGGTACAAACTGCTACAATACAAAAGCACAGCCCAAACTGATGCGAAATCGGGAGATCTGCGTAGGTTGAGGATTCAGAGCTGCTGATTGCCAATCGGACCAGGAAAGGACGGTGAAAAGACGGCACAAGGTCCGAGAGTGCTCTCGAAAGCTCGTGATGGCGAGATGCGAGCATGCCGAAACTTTTCACTTACCCATGAACTCTATGAGGCTTAGCCCGGACGAAGCGAAGTTGTGGACCGGGACGGGAAAGTGATTTCGATTTGTTTCTGCAGGTGCATCGCCATCCGGTAGCTAATCCAATGCCGGTGACTGCAGGCAGAAGTCCGATGCCTTTGGAGATAATGCTTTCGACATTCTTGTAGACGGTGTCAATCGGGATAGCAAGGCCTGGGCTATCTACAGGTGTCCCGATAACGGTACAGTCAGCTAAGTGCGGAGGTCCATATCAAAAGAGACCTCTTTAAGTATGCTTCTTTTCGTTCCGCATGCCATGCTTTAAGCAAGTGGCCAACTCCGGCGAACATGCCACTGCCAGAGAGGATTGCTGTGTTGACTCCGATCACCTCTCAGACTTGCTGTGCCCCCACCAATCCCCCACCACACCACGCAATCAGTCACCGCCTCGCCATCACTGTTCAACAACGGCCCTCCACTATTGCCTGCACATCGGAGTGAAGTTTTAGACTCCCTGTGACACTCTCCAGCTTTCAATGAGGCCTGGATTGATGCTGGCATCAGTCTGGATGACTCCACCTACCGGGGACAGGTCTTGCGGATCGTTGACGTGGGAGTGGGAGTCCTTACTGAGCCTCCCGCTAATTGGCCTTCCACCAGCACCTTCAAGTTTCCGCGACACCTTCAAACAGAAGCGGTCGACACGCCAAAGCGGTGCCAGGACCGAATCCTCTGAGCTGCCTGCTCCGCTGATGATCCCCCTACTGAGAGAATGCTCCAGGCCTCAGCGCCAGCACGCAAAAGCATGCCAGTGTGCACTTCGCCAGCTGAGCCTGGTGCCGAAAGGATTTCCGAAAGCGAAGACATTTTGGCCTGGGACTTCGTGGAGCATTACAGGGCACATAGCGCGCAAGGAACCCCAGGAGCAGGGCCGACCAGAAGCCTGTCAGACCGACCGCGATTGAGGGGCTGCATGAGGCCTGCACACAGCATGCCCACCGAGTCCGGAACAGTCCACCAGTGTGCCAAACAGCGGCCTCTTGGGATATCCGCTTCCTTCTCCTTCTCCTTGTCCTTGCTATCCTGTTCCGGGCACTGCATGCATGAGGAAGGGAAAGGTTATGCTGCACCATAACCCACACGTGTCGTGGAGTCCTGGCTGCCAACTTCCAAGACGGCCACATCACTTGTTGCGTCGTAGCCTGTTCTGACTTGCTGGCTAAAGGACTCAACAAGACCCATCACGCATTACTGTCGCTCTGAGCCCTGTGCCAACTACTTGAGCCTGGTAACTCAGTCGCTTGGATCCTGAAGGCCGAAAAGCTTCGAAAAGCCAGTTTCCCCTACTTTGCAGTTGCTACTGCGACGACGACGACTACTGCTACTACGACCACTACTACCACTATCACTACCAGTATCAGTACCAGTACCACTACCACTCTACGTCATTCTACGTCACTGTACCACTACCACCATACCACTACCGCTATACTACTACCACTCTACCACTACCACTATACCATTAACACCACTACCACCACCACCACCACCGCCACCACTACTACTCCTACTCCTACTCCTACTCCTACTCCTACTCCTACTCCTACTCCTACTGCTACTGCTACTGCTACTGCTACTGCTACTGCTACTGCTACTGCTACTGCTACTGCTACTGCTCCTGCTGCTGCTGCTGCTGCTAGTGCTACTGCTACTGCTACCACCATCCGACGGCGAGGAAGGAGCCAATCAAGATATCAACCAGAGCACGTCTTCTCTACCAACACGTGCCGCTGCCCCTCTGCGCGTTGTGGGGAAGCTGGCCATGAACGCAGCATCAAAGGACGAGAATCCAGGCTGGGGCTCTCCAGTTTGAAAGGAAGCACTGCCAAGCATTCAAGGACAAGTGCTGGGGCTCTTCGCGCCTCACTCTAGACAGATGCGCGCACATGGCGGGATGAGGTGAGCTGCACGAACTTGGCCATTTTACGAAAAATTCAGCGGAAGACACGCTGCCCCGTCCTGAACCATCCTTTAACAGAAAGGTCACGTAGGGCCTCGTTCAAACAAGTGATGCTGTGGTTGAAGGGTGACATGATGTGACATGGTATTCAGAAGTCTGAGGTTGCATGCGTCTGGAGCTCGTTGATGACGTGGTAGTTTGTTACAACCTCTGGCTCGCGTCAAGTTGGCGTGCAGCAAATGCACAGCACAAGCTTGCTCACGAGCAAGATCCGAGCGTGCTTCTTGTCCCAAACGAAACCGGAACCTGCTATTCCGGGAGATGGCTTTTCTCCCATGCTTTCCTGCGAATGCAGTTTCCGCCCATGAATGCATATGTATCGCTCTATAGCTGCAATCGAGCCTTTGGAGGTGCCTCCCGAGCAATTGAGACAACGCCAGGAGTTACACGCTCGAAGAGGGAGGTGACAAGCTGCTCGTCGCTGCCTCTGGCTCGCGCTTATGCTCTCAGCTGCAAGCCCCGATCTTCAGCCAGAAAGCTACAGTGATATAGTGTCACAAACTGCCTGTACACATCTGCCAAGGCTACGCCTACGCGAGCATGCCTGAGACCAGGAAAGATGATGGAACGGCAAGGCAAACAACCCCTCGCGAAGGAGCGAGAGAAGGCCGCGACATCTATCAAACCCTCGACCTGGAAGGACTGCTGGCTGCCATACCCACACCAATATTACTATATCAAGAAGGACAGCTCGGCACCAACCTCAAACGTAATGTGCACGAAACCCTGCAATAGTCCGAGTCCAAACAGACGAGCCCGAGCAGTGCCCTGCAACGGTTGGCTTGGGCTCCGAGCATTCTGAGGCACGACCCCTAAGATCACGAGCCCGAGACCGCCCGAGACGCCGAACAGCGAGGCCCAGTTAGGACTTTCGACACTTCCCTGACTCCAGAGGACACGGTCCACCCACGTTGTGGAAACAGCGCAGTAGTCGAAAAGGTTGTGCCACAGCGGCAGCTGCGGGACTGCACTTCCGATGTTATGTGGGGAACAAGTGTAGCAATACCTTTCTACTCCGGGCCCAAGAACTGCATAGTGTCACATCATCGTTTGGGGAATACTGATTAGTAGCAATAAAAGACATGAACCTAGAATATGCTGAGCATTCAGACCTATGACCGTTCGGTTCAAGAGGGCTGGTGGACGACATGATCCGATGCACGATTGTCTTGGGGTAGTTATCGCAGCTCTTGTGGCTTTCAGTTCCTGTCACCGTCCCTGGCCAAAAGGAAAACCAAGTTTTCCTGTCTGCTCTGATGGCTCATACTCAGGTCAGGACTGAGAGCCAAGGCAGGAGCAACCTCACCGGATTTCATGGCTGAGGGCTCCAGCGCGGAAACCAATCCCCGTGCGCATACCCTGCGAGTGCTCGCCTGCAGCGCGCTGCAGAGCTCCAGTACCGGCACCTCAAGTCCAAGCCCGAATGCGACTTGGGCATGAGTGTGGCTATCGCTGCATTGGGCCGAGCTGCTAGAAGCTGCCTCCGAAGCGGATGCTCAAGCCTACGATCCGGCACGAAGGGCAAGGAAAAGACAAGTTCAAACGACGAATGAATCCGCAAACGAACTGCGAGGCAGCGGGCAACAAGGGCGGCTCCTGCCACTCGAAGCCAAGCCAGGGCCTTCCGGCAGAAACGCACAGTGAGTCGTGAGACCTCATAGATTGTTTTCACCACCACCATAGATGCGAAGCATCCGCATTCTAATTTGCTGCACTTGTCACGAGCAAGGTGAGACTTCCATTTGGCAATGTGCTGCTAAATGCTAGAGATGTGGCAACTACGGTCGAACCTCTTCACGCGTCTTGTTGACGTCGCTTCGGCTCGCTGATGATGGCTGATCCGCTGCTGGGTCAGTAGCTCTGGGCACTCGAGTGGGAACGCCTTTCTCCACCTTGCGTTTCTCCAGAGCTTGATCGATTTTTCGTTGAATCTTCTGCTGTATCAGAAGCTTGTGACGAACCTGATTCAGCTCGTCATCAACTTCTTTGCGTGTGACCAGCTGCCGACCACCATCAGAGATGCAGGAGATCCAGCCTTCCCGTGGCTCGAGGATTCTGGCTCGCACACCTCGCAGCTCCGAGACAAGCACCCGCTGCTTCGCCGGGATCACTCCCAGCTGCGTCGATTTCAGTGATGCACTTTCCCGTACTATCGCCGGGTCTGTGGTCCAAGCCCAGCCAGGGCGAATGACCTCCAACCCCTCTGGAAACTCCCGCATTTCTAAAAGGTCTCCTGCATTTCGGAGTAGCACGTACATGGAGCCGGCCGAGCACGCAGCAAAGAGGAGCGCAGCGCAAGCAATCCGTCGTGTTGATTGTGCCTCCTTCCTGGTCTGGAGGATCGAGTAGTGAGCAGTACTCTCACCCTCGTGGCACTGCCGACCCCGCATTCTGAGATTGGCCATGGCTTGATCTGTGGTCATCCCAACACACTAGTCTCGCTAGACATGCGAGAAATCTGTGCGACCTTCTGTACCCTAGATGGATCAAGTCGAGGACGGCTTAATCGCATTTCCTAAACCAGGTCCTAAACTGTCTCGTCTGAGGCTGAGTGGCCAAAAAAATGTCACCACTGACAAGCACGCAGCTGCAGCTCTAGAAGATGTAAGATTGCGTGCCTGCCTGCAAAAGCAGAGCCACGGAGCCACACAAGGGCACATGCCAGCAGGGCGACGAGGAATCCTGGTACACTGCTGGTGCATGTTTAGTAGCCGAAGTATCGCAGCAAACCCCGGCCTCGATGCCGGCTCTGGTGATGCAGCTTCATGCCGCCACCAGATGTTGCTTGGGCTCAGTTTGGTGTGAAGACTTCACTGCTGCTGTGGTGTATCTTGCCGAACGAGATTGACATCTTCTGGCCTCTGAAAGCTGCTGGATGCATTGCGGTGCCAATGCGGGCGACCTCTCAATCCCAAAAGCACGCACTTTTGCTCCAACCAGCTGGAAGCATCGTCCAGGATGTCGGAAGGATGTCTCCTCTTCCGCCCCTGTCCACACATTAACAGAGTCCCATGGACAGCTGCAGCTGTGGCACTTGGTGACCTGTTTGGTCCGTGTCAGGTGTTCAGGGCTTGTCATGGTTGCCGCTTAAGGTCTCAAGGCCACGTATGCTGGAAGGCGTGCAGCTTCCCATCTTTAGGGACACGCCGTCAAGCGGCTGACACTAAATCCACTGTCATAAGAAGATCTGAGTGCAAAGTGTTCACACTTCACACACAGTTCGTCATCAGCATCTCACTTTCGCCTCATCAGCACGACAAGCTGGAATGGAGACATTGCAATCCAAATGACTTGACAGTTGTACACCTCATGGATCACACAGTGCTTTGACTACTGCCAACAAGCATGTGACACGTAAGACCAGCCAATCTGAAGTGAAATCATGTGTGGACGACAAAGTCGCGACTAACCGCGGCACTCCGATCTGGCATTTCAGCTACAAAGGGTGCAAACTGAGCTCTGAATGATCCTTAGCAGCCGTGACTCCTGGCTTCATTGCGACGATTGATGAAGCTTGCATTTCTCCATGGAAGGGGCCTCTTGCCATGTGATCTGGAGCTTGAGGCACTTCTCGCGCGCTTCCTGGCGGGAAAGGCCAATATGGCCAATCTTGATTTATTCTTCCACCTGAACATGTCATCCTTGCCTGCCACTTGAGTCAGACGAGTGGTGGGATTTCCCTTTGGCTTTGCCACTCCTCTTGGCCTTAGGATATCGACTCGGACCAATCTGACTAGTCGAAGACACTCCCTCTGTCTCTATCCTTTTCTTTTGCCAGGGACCGGAAGTCTCATCTGCGACTTGAGTGATCGCTTTGCCGTATTTCTTCGCGAAATACTCCCCATTGCAATGGCTGAGTATCTCGGGCGGACGCCGGAACTTTCTCTATGGACGTCGACTGGCTTCGCTTTTGGTATGTCGGCGGGTCCGCAGCTTGGCTCGGGGAAGCCTTTTGAGGGGCAGGCTCAAGTACGTCGGCGTCAGCGGTTCAGAAATTAGGCGTGTCGGTGGCGGAACGTTTGGCTTTATCTTTCTACGATCTGCATACTTCCCCAGATCGCTGATCGCTGGCCATGCGAACAAGCGCTGAGGCCAAGAGGTGCGGCGGCTGAGCTTCGCTTCTTTCGTTGCAGTTTGACAGAGATCTGAGATCTCACGAGAGTCGTCGCTGCTACAACAAAGACCTGAACAGTGGAGCATCAGGCTGCGATGGCTGAGGAGAGGACTTCTCTGCGGTGGCTGTGACTTCGGGACTTGCTTCGGTCCCTGCTCCGGAGCCCAAACAGAGCAGGTGTATGCACTAGTCTGGAGCTTGCGAAAAGAGGAATTCGTAAGTCCAGCCCTGCTGTGTTGATGCCTTTGCGCAAGCTACGCACTCAGGAACTGCACGCAACAGAGGCAAAAATCCAGCATGCTGGCATAAGTCAGGGTGAGAATCCCGATACTGTAGGGTGTCAGCGGCCTGTCGCTGTAGCTGGAGGATGCAGTGCTGCGCCTTGCAAGAAGAACAGTCTCGGCATGTGACGGATGCATCCACAATGTGTTGCAACACCTACGTGGGTTGGCAGCTAGCTCAGGCGTATCTGCAATGCCGAAAGATCGGCAGGGATCTGTGAGCGGTTCGAAGCCTTCGCAGACGCATGTCACCCTTCCGACACAACTTCATCGGATGCAGGCGCAAAGAGGTCTGAATGTCTACTGGAAGAAATTCTTGCTTCTGATCAGGAAGAACCAAAGTGTCTTGTCTTGAAAGCCGGGCCTGCCATGTCTTCTGCGATCATGCTTACTCTTCTTATCCTCAAGGACAGGACATGCATAACAGTGAGATGGAGAATGTCAGGCCAAGCCAAGCTGGCGGTTCTGCTGTGGAAATGGCATACACTGGAGAAGATCCTACTACAGTCCTTGTCCTTAGCCTTCACCTTCTTCGCTTTGTCTTCGCCGCTGCCTTCTCTATCCTTCAAGCCATTCTTGTCTGCTTTGCCTTTGACTTTGCCTTTGACTTTATCTTTTTTGGTCTTTGCCTCTCTTTCCTGCTCCTCGTTGTCCAAGAACCGGCATGCAGATGCGCACATACCGTACTCAACCAAAGGGACTTATGTTTTGAGTATTGGCCTTCTCATCCTCGGCTTTAGCGGCCTCTGCGATCTTCTCGGCGATGGTGCCTTTGATCTTCACTGGTGGCTTCTTCTCCTCGGCTCAAACCACGGTCTCTTCAAGCTGATCTTCCACTTCCATCAGAACTTCCTACAGGCTTGGGAATCCAGATCAAGCATCAGCTTTTGTGTCGAGCCCTGTCGTTTGGGAAGATTGGAATGGAATGTTGTGTCAGCTGGATGACACCGCCCTCCACTCCCTCACCATAAAGGGATTTCAGACATGGCTCGAGCGGTTCCGCGCTCGCTTCAGCCACCTGGCCTGGCATGGTGTCAAGAGCGAGCGAACAACATCCGACAGCAAGTTTCGACCTATGCGCAGTGCCCTCTCCAGCTGTATGTGCACGACGAGTAGCCAGGGTCCTCATGGTTGCCACCATCACTGCGGCTCCTCATATGACACGAATCACTCCTATTAACTTTCCTAGCCTGCGGCAAGTCTACGGTCATGCAAAAGCGGGAGTCCGCCCTTTCCAAAAAGTCCTCATGCGTCTGCATGCCGAAACCTTGAAGCTGGGGGCGGAACTTGCTGGCCTCGCGTGCTGGCACTCCGTCAGCTGGGTTCACCGATACCTCAACGGCTGGCCTACTGTCCTACTGCCCATGTCCACAGAGACTGCCACACCAATCACGACATCCACTTAAAAAGGTGCCTTCACATCCACAGCATCCTGCAGCGAAGGCTCCGGAAGCTCGGTTTGGGTCCTGGGCGGAAGCTGGGTGCTTAGGCTTCCTAAACGCACGTCCCAGGAAGCCGGCTGCAAGTCTGCCGGCTCCAATCCAGCCTCTGCGTCTTCCTGCAACACAGCGAAGCACTTCTTGTGCATTCATTTAGAATTCAATCTTGGCTTCGGCAGTCAGTTAATGCGCTGGAGGAATGAACGCACCCTTGATGTCCGGGTTCACATGCATCTGCTGAAGGATCCCGAGTGCGAAACCCTGAAAATCGAGGGATGTCCATCTGCGCTTCCAGCACTCTGGACCGCTCAAAAGGTCTTTTGTTTAACTGCAGGGAATTGCCGTTTCACATCTGCCCCTATTTCTCCCGGAATCGAGGTTCCGACAGGGCAACAAACTTGCAAAGGTACCTCTTTCCGGCTAATCCTAACCCCGAGTGGTCTCCAATCCGCAAACCGCATCCTTGATGGAGCTTGAAATCTACCACTCATCGTTCTCTCAGCTTGCTGCGTTTCATCACGTTTCTGAAGCTCATGCATGCGCACATGCACACGGGGACACAGACACAGATATAGACGAAGACATGCAATTTCCTTTTACTCTGGACACTGCAAATCGGATTCCAAAAACAGCGAAAGCCAGTGTACTCAGCCAAGGTTGTGGGGGTTTCGCAGTGTTTCGGTGCCAGAACCTCACCTCAGGAGGGGTTCACATCTCTAAGTATACTGCGTCGTGCTGATGTCCGAAACACCTTTGCAAGCATGCTTCCTGACAAACCGTCAACCTAAACAAGTGGGCAGTAACCTCCAGAAAGAAATGCCGCAGGTAACAAATCCTACGAGTAGACACTGAACAGCCAAAGACCGTGAAACTCGCGACGATGTTACGAGCAAACCCGAATGTCGACAAGCCCCCCCTGCATAGCAGAAGCCGTCCCTATAAAAGCGGCTAGGACAATGCAAAACCCTAACCAAAGAGAAACCAGCAAAGCACGCAGAAGCAAGCTGAGGGCTGCTACTTTTTCGCGGTCGCTGTAAGTCATCGATGCTGCCGCGGTCACGTGTGAGGATGCCACTGCACACTGCACATCAAGGCTAATCCGTCACACCGGGAAAGAAAAGTGTTGACAACGTCTCAGACGATGTCAAAGCTGGCGCATCCGAACTTTGCGCCTTTCGCGCTGGGCTTTCCGAATCCCAGCACGCCTTTCCTCCTCAACTCGGTCCGCTTCCGACTCCTTAAGAGACAGCCGCCCGGTGGTCCGAAAGCGTTGGAAAAGCTCGTCCGCCATGGCCTTGGTCAAGCCATCCGCAAACTGTTTCCAAGTGGGTACCCAGTGAAGGCTGAGAGTGCCCTCTTGGATCAGCTGCCTCGTTGCTAAAATGTCCAAAGCCGTCTGGCGCTCAGAAGCCATGGCCGTGCCTTGGGTGTGATCATACACCGACTTGGCGTCGGTCACCAAGTGACCAGGAACACGAAGCTCGGACCTCCAGCCAGGGCCCACGTCCACCAAGCCGTGCCACAACGCGTCGAACAACTTCTGGTTGTACAAAAGCTTGTCCGCTGCCGCTGTCATGCTGCAGCACTCTGCAGCCATACTGCTGCGGACCACTCGGCTGATCTTATTCGAGTGGAACTCTAGAATAGCAGCACGGCCGGGACCTTGGAGGCAGTCCTTCGCGGCCACAAAGTGAACCTCGCCACGCTGCGCCGAAGTGCTTCCGGTCTTTCCCAGGCTAGCGTCGAAGAAGGTCACCAGCACTGGGTCCTCTCCAAGCGGAGGAAATGCCAAGCAAGCACGTCCTTCTCGGGCAGCTGCGTGGAAACGATCCAAAAGTTCCACCGCGGCACATAGGTCTTCACGGGTGGCTCCCGAGACTCGTTGGGCCAGGGCACTGACCTCCAACAGCAGCTCCGGCAAGACGTGGTGCGCAGGCCAACGAAGCTGTGCGACAAGACGGCGGTAGGCCTTCAGCGACTCTTCCTTCAGCACCTCGTGCTTCTTCAGAGTCGCAGTGGAAGGCGGCTGGATGGCAAGGACATAGGCAGTCATGTCGTTGTAGAAGATGCCACCCTTCATAAACACCTTAAGGCCTAAGTAGTCCAGCGGGATCTCTTGGACCAAATTCCAGACCTTAATCTGAAACCTCGCGTCGATGGCTGCCTTGAGCTGCCCTATGGAGCCACGGGCTCCCACCAGCATGCCATCGTCAACATGGAGGCACAGCACCGCCATCACCTTCCCGGTCTTCGGATCCTTCCAGACAAAGGTACACAAGGCGAAGGGGAGCTCGAGGAAGCCACACTCAGTCAAGAGCTCCTTGGCGCGCTCATACCACAATCGAGGAGCCTCCGCCAAACCATAGGCACTGCGAAGGATCAACCACAACTCGTGAAGAGCTGTTCCTTTCAGGTCTCTTGGTGGGCGGACGTACAACTCACGGCCCACTTCCTTGCCACTCAAGAAGGCGGTGGAGACGTCGAACAGGTAGCACAACCACTGGCGCGAAACACAAAGTGCCATAGCCATCCTCACCGCAGTCGCCTGGGTCGTTGGAGAATCTGTTCTCACTTCCCCCACATCTGGGTCCATGTGGCCGGGAAGCACTATCCGGCTTTTAGCCTGAAGCTTCCCCGACGCCAGAGCTGCCTTGTTCGTTCTCACAATTCGGGCAGGCACCTTGAAGACCCGGTGGGCAGGGACTCGTCGAGCTTGCTCTGGGCCCAATCGCCTCACCACATTATTCTTGGTCCAGGCCTGCCACTCAGCGCATCAGAAGCATCGAAGGCCTTCTGCTCCTCACTGCTAAAGAATCGGGGATCCAATTCTTTGCCGCTCGCCTTCAGGCGAAGAAGAAAGGCCTCAGTCTGGGCGACGCTCTCCTGAAGGTCGTTGGCCGCGGCAAAGAAAACCCTCTCATCCACCGCAGCGGTCTCGTAGATCACACCATCCTTCTTCACGTACATTGGCGCCGCCACAGAGGAGCTATGCAACGTAGAGCTCGACTGCTCTCGGCCCAGCCACTCGTTCATCAGCGCTCCCTCCTTCTTGGTTTCATTCTCAGCAACAGCCGCGAAAACGTAGTTCACAAACGCGACATCTCGCATCCGCTTATGGGCCGGGCTTTCCGGCTCACCTCCTTCTGGTCCCTGCTCTCGGCGGCGCTTGTGGAAGGCCCGCACAGACTCAGGAAGGTCATCCATCAGTTGAGCCCGCCGCCGCTGGAGAGTTTCAGGACTTGGTGGAGGCCCGCGCCAAAGCTCCTCAATCTCGGCGTGGTCCAATCCAGAGCTCTCCTCGGAGTCCACGTAGTTGGGAGGAGGCCCGGCCTCATTAAGCTCAGCTTGCTCTCTCTGCGGCTCCCCTGCTTCATGTTCGGGAGCATTCTGCAAAGGAGGTTCGGCTTCCTTTTCCAACTTTTGCTCTCCACCAGGAGGTCTTCGAGGGCGAAGCCGGCGCACACCAGACAAAGGGACCTTGAGCATCTTTTTCACACTCTTCAGACTGCTCATCATCTTTCTAGACTCGGTCATTTTCCGGCCGAGGGTGTTGGTGTGCATAAACACCAGGGCCTTGAACTGCACGATTCGTCTCTTCCTCAGCTGGGGCCCCTGGCTCTTCCGACAAGTCAACGAAGCCCTTTTCCAAGTGAGCCTCGGCCTCGCGCAGCCTCCAAAGAAGCCACCTTCACATTCGCTGCCGCCACCAGAAGACACCGCCCACGCCATGATATGAAGTACTTCTGGGCACCGTCCGGCATAAGGATCACCGCGGGGCCGCGCCATGCTCCAGCATCACGACGATATCGCCTCCGCTTCGGGTCCGAAATGGGGGCCCAGAAGAAGACCATCTCACCGGGGGCGAATGCACGAGTTTGCCCGCCGGGTGCTCGCCGAAGGGCGGTCTTCAGCTTCTCGTGGATATCACCATGCAGCAAGGCCACCTTAGCTGCCGCCCGCATCTCCGCCATTCGTGCGACTTCGCCCTCCAAAGACAAAGCCTGACCGAGACCGGCAGCAGACCACACCTCCTCGTCCAAGAGCTCCGGCAAGTAGGCTTGGCGCCCAAACACAAGTTGGTGGGAGCTATGGCCACGGCGGCTGATCGTAGAGTTCTTTGCCTGCAGAGCGCAAGGGGCTATGAACTCTGACTCGAACTCGCCGCCCTGGTCCAGGACAATGGCCACCGGGATGCCGAAGATGGACAGCCATCCACTCATGAACTTGGCCGCCACATGTTCTGGCTCTCGGCAACGTAGCACCCTTGCCGCATGAAAACAAGTCGCAGCATCCACCATAGAAAGTGCCACATACAGCTGCCCTCCAGCATCCTTGATGTACTTCAGGTCCAGGTGCACCTCGTAGTTGAAAGCAATGGGCCTGGATCCCGGGCGCGCCGGCAAAGGTCTAGTCGGCTGCTTCCGCATTTGACACGTGGGGCACTTCAAGGTACGAGCCATCTCAACTAACTCCTCGGTGGCACCGCCCATTTGCAACATCCGGACTAAGGCTTCATTCGAGGGATGTCCCAGCCTCCTGTGTACCAAGTGCAACCGTTCCAGCTTTGATCCCGGCTCCACACCAACGCCATCAACCGGCTGAGGACCTGGATCATCATGGGGTACATCTCGTGGACCAGCTGCCAAAAGATCCCGTAGCTGATCTACATGTTGTTGGGACCCTTCCGGATTGGAGTTGTTGTTGGGAACAAGGCCGTTGTGGGTATCGTCTGTGCCCTCTGCGGCTTCCGTGCCAGGCCCTTCCGGATTGGAGTTGTTGTGGGGAACTCGGTCGTTGTGGGTGTCGTTGTCGTGCCCTGGCCGGGGCTTTTCAAGGTCCCCGCGGTCCACCTCCAAACCATCCAGCCAGCTCTCGTCACTAGCCGCCGGATCTCGGGCAACCGGTGCCTCGTGAAGCATTTCCTCGTCGCCCTCAACAAAGGCCTCCTCCGGCAACAGGGGTTCGGTCACAAAGGAAGCAGTTCTCACCAACATTCTGCCCCGCTGCTTCAGAACTCGCTCCGCCGCCTCCAGCTTGGTGCACCACCCCTGCGGCAAAACTCGACAGTCATCCGAAAACCATCGGCCACGGGAGCATCGAGGGCCACGTTCCGAACCAAAAGAGTGTCGATGGTGAGGATGGCCAGGACAACGGGCGGCCAGGGAGCGTAGCAAAGCAGAATCGCCAGCCAGACGGGTAGGTTGTCGAAGGGCAGGGCGGCCAGTGGCAAAGGCGCACAAGTCGGTTGTAGCACCCGCCGCTCCGGCCACTGCAGCTTGTAGTAGAGGATGTTGCCAGACCGGGTCGCCGGCGGGACCAAAGCCACCGCGCGCCCGTTGTGCCAAAAGAAGGTCATGTGCAAATCTCCACAATGGCTCCCGGCGGTGTTGGTCGTGGTGCTGGGCCTGCAACACGTGGGCGGTCGGGACCCCAAAGTCACGAGCAAAGAAGGTAGCAGAGGTCGAAGGCCACGCCACCAGGAGCAGGTCCGGCTGAAAGTGTCGCACGTAGTGCCGGGCTTCTTGTCGTTCCGCCGGGCGGCTCAGGTCGAAGGCTGGAATAGAGACAGGTTGTCCCGCCTGCCAGCCCCGAGCGGCAGCCAGGAGGCTGACCGTCATACTGCACAGAAAGACTTCCAGAATTCGCCAAGGCCCGGCTCGACGAACATGAGGTTGTTGTGGGCCTGAGGTTGTAGTACATGTGGTCGGAGAGGCCGCGGGACGACCAGAAAGAGCCATATCCCGAACAGCCCGGGCAGCCTGGTTAATCGCTCGGCGCCTGTCCTTGTGCAAGAACTTGGCTGTTCCCTGCTCCAGGAAGATCTCGTCCGGAATCATTTCCTCCTCCGACCCCTCCTCCTCAGAAGCGGTCAGCTCCACACCAAACTCATGGGACGTCACCGAAAACCGATCATCAGCTCCACCCTCTAGGTGCGACGAGGCCGTACTCGACGCCTCGCCGAGCTTCTCTTGCCGGCAGCTCCTCAATGACCTTAACTCCGAGGTCGTTCTGCAGGTATTCCAACCAACGCTGCTCCTCATCCTGCTCTCACCGGCGATGGTCATAGTGCCAGTGCCGTGGGTCATCACCGTGGTCTGCCGGGTGCTCTTCCTCCGTCTGCTCGTCGGAGGTGTCCTGAAGATAGGTCTCGTGCTGGCTCTCCGGTGGAGCCGCAGCCACAAAAGCCAGGCTCTGGGGTGCTTGTCGTAGAAGACGTGCCTTCTCAAGGAGGCCTGGCTGCTTCCAAGGGTCACCGGGAGGCAAGCACATTGTGAGGTCCAGTGCCGGGTGCCTGGTCGGCGTCAGGTGCGTTGGCTGCCTTTGGTCACAGACCAGCTCCCGGGTCCTGAAATCGAACTGCACCGACCATCTTGAAAGCTCACTTGGGCCAACAAGGCCTGGGCACGAAGCCGCCTGACCCTCAACTTCCGACATTCTCAAAACATCCAGCTGGCCAGGCACCAGCGCAACCGGGTAGAGGAAGGCACGTCGTGACGTCACCGGGGCGCCACTGCCGAATTGGAAGGTCTCCTTCTCCTCCACGGTCTGCCATGCAATCCCCCGGCGCCGGAGTTCGGCCTGATAGGCCTGATGCCACCGTGCTCCCCCGACCGAGGTACGGCAGCCCGTGTCTGCCACAGCCAGCCCAGGGGACCATACTGGTCCTTGCTCGTTGTTGTCGCCACTGGTGTTCTCAAGGACCTGGTTCACCATCAGCACACCATGCCGGATGCTATAGTAGATCACATGCTTGAGGTCACACCGGGAGCACCGAGCAAAATGCCCATGTTGATTGGCTGTCCACAAAAGGTCCCCAAACTTGTGCACACACCGGGCCTGGTTCTCAGAGGGACGAGGTGCAGCAGCACTGGGGACACAGCGACCCCGCTCACATTGGCGATCATGGAGCTCTCGCCGGAAATCATCCAGCTCCTTTTGTTTCACCGCCTTCGCCTTGTCCCTGCCCCATGCGTCTTTTGGCCCAGGCGGTCGGATCGGCTCGAGATAGGTAGCCCCTTGCCCCGAAGAAGGCCGCACCGGCAGTTGATCACGGGCTCGCCGTTCATCCTCGGGCCGTGGGCGCACTGGAGGCGCAAAGTCTGTGGAGCCACGTGCCCCAGACTCCGAGGCATAGGGGCGCACCGACTCCAAAGAAGCCCATGCTGCCTCGGTCTCCTCCTCCTGCAGCAAGGTCCGGATCGCCTTCTTCTCCTCCTTGCTCATCTTGTCCACGGCGCCCAACACCTCCAACGGCTTCAGCCGAACCTTCTTGTCCTTCTCGTGTGACTTGCCCACCGTGGTCTTGGAGATCTCCAGCCTCATTGGGCGAGGGGGTGCTGGCTCCAATGGGCGAGCAGCGGCCCCCGGGTCCGACACAACAGTCCAGTCCCTCTTGTTCAGCCGGGTGCCACACTTCGAGCAGAAAGCCGCTTCCTCATCACAGAAGTGCCCGCAAGAAGGGCATTCAGCCAAGGTCCCCACCATGAAAGTAAAGTTCACGAAGTTCACTTCGTTCGCCGGGTGGTTCGGACCCGTGGCTGGCCTGTGGGGTGCCTCCTGGCCACTCTGCACATTGGGGCACTCGGGCTCTCCACGCCAATGCCCTCTCGCCCCGCAGCTTGCACACGTAGAGCTTTTCTTCTTCAGCGCCAGGTTCTTGCCAGCCGGGCTGCCACCGCCAGGTCTCGCAGAAGTTCCCGCCGACGGCTTGTAGCCCCGAGCTTTCCGCTTTTCCCCGGCCTTGGACTTGGCCTTCCAGCCGGCCTGGAAAGCCTCGAAGACGTCCACCTCCTCCTGGGAATCATGGTCAGGCTCGCCCTCGCCTTCCTCATCAAGGTCACCGTCCTCAAGCAGCGGCCCGCCCTGGTCCTGCTCCTCCTGTTCCAGGTCTTCTTCGTCGTGGTCCTCCGCCTCATCGTCGTCAGGGTGCTCGGCCACATGCACGCCGTGCTTCTTAGACCCTCGGCTCCTGAAGGAAGACGCCGAGGTCGAGGCAGACACCGAAGAAGCCGCCGAGGAAGAGGGCCGAGATGAGCGAACCGACCTGGTAGTTAACGACGGCAGGCGCCGCTCTTCTTCATGAACGTGGGAGCACCTGTGCCGCAAGGCCCGCTCAATGGCAGCACTGTCGTAGCTACCGCCCGCCGAGTAGAACACATCCAGCCTGTCCCGCCGCGACAGCCCAGCTCGATTCAGCAATCGTTGGGCCCAAGCTTTATCACTCCAAGTGCTGTCGGGGTCCTCGATGGTGTAGTTCATCCGAAGCCCCTTGAGCCCAGCCACATAAGAAGCAACACTTTGCCCCGGCAACCGGCGGTAACTGGACAGCTCCTTCTCTGCCCGTTCAAAACTCTCCGCATTCGACTCGCCAAAAGCCTCTTCAAGAAGACGCCACATGATCGTCAAGCCGCCTGGCGCGGTAAAGTCTGCCAAGGCCTTTTGGTCGAGGATGTCCCGGGCCTCCCCCTTGGTGCTCAGGTAAAGCAGCATGGCCAGCTCGGAGGCCTCAAGCTTATACAAGTGCTCTTGGGCTTCCGTAGCCCGCCGCCATGATCGAAACCGTTTTCTCTCGCCACTGAACTCCTCAATCCTCACCGACCCTATGCTTGACTTGGGGCGATCTTGATCACGAGCTCGCCTCCGAAGCATACTCTTCAACTCCGACGTGCCAGCACTACTCGAGGAGTCGGTCGGAGCCTTCGCTGCCAAAGGAGACGCGCCTGAAGCCAGCCGGGGAGGAGCCAAAAGAGATGCCCCTAAAGCCGGCCGGGAAGTAGCCACAGGAGTTCTCACGGTATCCTGTGCCCCATCTCCTGCCAAAGTGGTCGCCGGCGGCATCTCAGAACCCACTTGGGCCGGAGAACTCACAGCAGCTCCTGTCGCCGAGGCCGGTCCAACCCACGACCAGGGGGCTGACTGCCATCCCGAGCCAGCATGTGGAGGTAACCCTTGAGCACCGGAAGGGTCACCTGCATAATGACCAGGACCTGGCGGTAGAAGATAAGGCCACTGTTGGGGAGGCACAGGGTAAGGTGGTACTCCAGCATGCCACCCTGGAGCAGTTCCCGGAACACCTGGTAGAGGAAAATGTGGCTGAACTCCAGCAGGCCACCCAGGAGGCACAACAGGAGGTACAGGTACTCCATGGGGCCACCCCGGAGGCACGGCAGGAGGTACTGGTACTCCAGGAGGCCACCCTTGGGAAGCCCCGTCGGAGAGCGCCCAGGTTCCACCTCAGCTCCACTGGGTGGGCGTCCAGGCTCTGCTTCTTCATCACCATCGCCAGCGCCTGACGGAGAAGCTTCTCCATCCTCAGACTCTGGCGGTGCATCCGAGGCTGCTTGCCACGGATCACGATCGTCCCATGGATCGGCTCCATCAGCCGGAACCGGCACATCCTGCGCCGCAGGCGCAGCCATCACGAAAGCGAGGCCCTAAGCAAGCAGCAGCCTAGCCTAGGAAACCCCCCTAAGCTCCGCTACCAATATAAAAGCGGCTAGGACAATGCAAAACCCTAACCAAAGAGAAACCAGCAAAGCACGCAGAAGCAAGCTGAGGGCTGCTACCTTTTCGCGGTCGCTGTAAGTCATCGATGCTGCCGTGGTCACGTGTGAGGATGCCACTGCACACTGCACATCAAGGCTAATCCGTCACAGTCCCTAACAGTAGAAAACATACTCTTGGGCAGCAGACCCTCCGGATAGCTTAGCAAAGACCATATCGCGATGAGTGGCAAACAAAGTATCCGACAAATTCACGACAATACACTCAAAACCGCGGACGTCAAAGTAAAGTTATGGGTTGCAGACTCTGAAGCGGCAATGCGATGTCGGGAAACAAGCTCTAAACCCTAAACATCAGGAACTGCCTGGTGGCAAAGACCACAAAACCTTCGACAGTGAAAGTTGTGACAGAAGCACACCATGTGCTGGAAACTGGTGAAATGCCCCGCCGCACCCTGAAGGGTTCCACACCCTGAAGGCTTGGGCACGAGGACATGCACAAACCGAGTGCAACAGGTTTTCTGTGCAATGAATTGCTTTGTAAGTGGGCTCCATTGTGCCCGTGTTTTGATTCTCCTGTTGCTGAATCTCGTCTGGGATTCTTCCGTCTTACTGTAAGCTTGTAAGCCTTGCAAGCTTTCCTAGTACTGTAACTTAGTCTTACTGCGAGTAACGAACATGAACAGGAGCACGGAATCCATAAGAGAGACAGATGCTCAGATGCTCCCTCATCTTCATCTGACTGGATGGTAGCGATGGTGGTCATCATTCACTTCAAGCTCGTGTGCGCAGTCCTAGTACTGTAGTTATACAACAACGGGATCTAAACATGCAAATGCTGAGACTTCACCGCTACGTGGTTGCCATGCAAAAATGTGCATGGGGACTTAGGGCGTTCAGGATGTGGAAAATGGAAAGAAGCGAACAGGGATGATCGGAGCTTGTGGCACGGAAGCACTTCCACCAAGCCTGCTCACCTTCTTCGTTGCCTGGGCAGGACATATGGTTCAAATTCGGTGCACTGACAAGTAAGTCCTCATTGCGAGATGCCTTCTTTGTCATTTCTCTCGCCCCTTTCGCTTTGGCGCTCCTGCCATCAGCAGAGAGTTCGGAGACTGTGAAACATTGACCAGATCACGTTAACCCTCGCAGACAAGCCGGCGAACCCGCACGAACGCGCGGCAGCGAGCCATCATGTCCTCACAGACACAGCATAGTTAAAGACCCACCAACTACAACTACGTGTAGGAGGCAGATTGCATACCTTTCGGACCCAAAGTCTCACAAGAGTCTAGTGCGGTCTGCTCTCGGCCTCCATGGTAGCAGCAGCCTTGTCCTGAGGCATGATACCCAGGACCGGATCAAGGAACCATGAGATGGTGTGGCAGTGGCCCGGCAAGGATTGAACTCTAACGGTCACAAACGAGCACTCTGGAAGGGCCCAAAGGGCTCCGTACTTTCTCACTTCGACTTGGATGGAGCCTCGTCTTCTGCTTGAGCTGCGGCAAAAGCCGAGGCAGCGAACCTGACCGGACAGGGGCGGGTGGAAACGGTAGCCGTAGCCATCAGCCGGGCAGTGAGGGGATCTCCGCATCCCGCAGCACCGGGCCCACCCAACCGCCACATGCAACACCAGGCCACACCCGATGCTGGTGGGCATACGGTGCAGAGGCACACTGTGATTCTACATTCCGCTGCGAACAGGCTGCTGCTTTGCCAGCGCGCACTCCTTCTCGAGAAACTTCTGCTGCCGGGTCGAGAAGAGCGACAAGTTGGCGTGAACCACGCGATACCTTCGTCGGTTGATCAAGGCAAAGCACCGGCTCCTTGGCTTCTGCTCCGGGAAAGGGTTAGACACCATTAGACTGCCGAATGCAGCGGAACGCCTTCGCCTGTGCTCAGTTTTGTGCTGGGGGCCCTGAGCAGTGTGTGATTTCAACCTGGGAGGGCCTGTATGGTTCTCACGCATGCTCTCAACGTGGCCACATCTGAAAAGCCACACAGCCTGCCTGGCATGTTACCCAGTGGTTGCCCTTGTGCCGAAACACTCTCAACCGTCGCTTCAGCTGTAGTTTCTCTTCCGTCTGCACCGCTCTTGAAACTGAGCTCAGTACATGCGCTGGCCTGCCTTCTCGCTTACATCATTGGCAAACTTGGCATGCGCAATGATATCATAGATCGTCTTGGGCGCCAAGCGACCGTCCTGACTTTCTGGACTCTAAAGCATCAATCTATCTACATGAGCTTCAAGCAGCTGCTGACGCTTGCAACATTTGCCTGTGGATGCGCTTGTTGCACAGCTCTTGCCAACCACTTCACGCGGGAATCGGGCTTCATGGCCAGAACCTTTGATGAGTCTGCACCTACACCGACCACGGCAAGGACTCTGCTGCGGCCTGCTTCAGATCAGTTGAGACGTTGCTTGGAACTGCTTCCTCCTTCGTCCCCTTTCCAGGCCCTACCTGGCACTGAGTGAGACTCGAAAGGCCCAAGACGACCGGCAAGATTTCGGCAAGGGTGCTCTCTGCTCGTTGCCTTTTCGTCTGCTCACAACCTGTCAGACTGCACCAAGGAAACTGGGCGACAGTCTGTGGACACGTGCCTCAGCAGGCAGTCGACGGTTCATGGGATTCGCATCCTCCGGACCATCAGGCCGCCGCCTCAAGCGCGACGCTTATGGCAAGACTCCTCTACAGCCCTGAACCGGACTGGGGCCCATGCCCCACCCGTGACTTCGTCATGGCAGCCTGGGTGCACTGCTTGGCACTTTAACCAACAGGCTGGCCAGTTCCCAGTTCGTTTTAAGCATCTGGCGTGCTCTAGAAGCGCGCTCCAGTCTTGGGAAGCAAACTATGCCTAGAAAGGCAGATGCCAGTGTTTGTTGGTCCTCGCTGTTGTGGGTACTGTCCTGTGTTTTGCATTGTCGCAATCCAGTGCAGCTTGTCTGGATGAAGCGGAGTACAGCACAGCGATCTGCATCTAGTGTGTTGTATCAGCCAGTGTGGCAGTGTTATGCAGCTCAAGAAGCCAAACAGCTGCATTCCACCTTCGGTTCATGCACGATAGAACTGTACCAGCATCCCGGGTTGCCAGGCGGCTCCTTTCCGCGCTTTCCGCAGGCCAAGAGCGAGCCGACGGCCAAATTGATTCGTCACGCAACGGATGGCTGGACTTGTGCTGCCCAATGCCTTGTTGAATTCAATAACGTTCGACAAAGATTGATGCGACGTGTTGTGTGAGAGACGCAATGAGATACCTGATACACTGTGGGACTCTGTAAGACTAATGACCTGGCCACTGCCAGTGTACCTGCTCACTGCTACTGGCTATTCACCAGTGTCGCAAGCCTTAGTCAAATGCAAGAGGGTTGCAACGGAGCAAACTACCAGTGGACGAGGCCACGACAGATTCAGTGAAACAAGCCTGCAGAGAGGCCTCCAGCTGTGAGGGCGCCTACAATCGACTTCCAACAGCGTCGGACCAAGCCTCTGCGTCAGCCTGGGGCAACTTCGCCATTTGCAGCTCTGATCTCTTGGTCCTGTCAATTGTTGGGAGTGTGCTTGAAAAATCCTTGAAGCTTCAGTCTCCCCGGGACTTCAGTCTAGCTCAACTCCGAATAAAAATCTCACTACGCTTACGCCTTACGCATAAGAGAGAGTCGTGCGGCCTTTTCAACGGCGATCTTTCGCTTGACCGTCTCCCAGTCCTTGCAATCGAAGGACAGGTGATTCTGCGCAGCTTAATGTTGCAACTGCACAGGCGAATATGTGTTGCAAACTCAGATATGAGCTACTTCGACTTGAGTTGCCCATTGCTTGAACTGATCGTTTGTCTCAACCTTGGAGTCACGGAAGGAACGGGAGCCGCAGGCAGACCCATATGACCCGCCAGCACTGAGGTTGCCGCATGCTTCATTTGCTGAAGATGCTGCTGTCTGTAAGCGAGGACAGTGTCCACGTGCGTCTGGTGCTTTAACGCCTGCCGCCGGGCACCGCAGCCAGGAACCCACATGTTGTGAGAAGATCATAGAATCATAGAAATATCATAGAACATCCAAGCAGTATCAAGCAATGCTCTCTGCGTTTTAGTTTGGGGCAGAGCAGAGTTTGCAATGCCCAGCTTTCTTAGCTAGTTGGCCTTCACACGAACTGATGCAATAATCGCCTGACAAGCTTCTAACACGGATGCCACAGGACGCCCTAAGAATCATGCATAGAATTTCATCCACAATCTCGAAACAGCGGGCCAGCTCCAGTGCATCGTTCCATCTGTGGAGGCGAATGTTCATCCTTACCGGCCGCGCACTCATCACTCAATCATCAGGCAGCTCGGTCTCTCTCACTTCCAGCCCCTCAGGCATGGACTTGATGGCGCGATAGATGCGCCGATTTTGCAGCAAGATGTTAAGTGCCTGGCATGCTAGCATCGTCGCAGTTGCAAACACCGCCCGGGTGCTACAGAAGGCTTTGAAAACACGCTTTTGCTACGAACACGAATGCCTCATCCGGTCGTTTGCAGAACAAGGCCAGCTCTGCAGACTTGAGGACGTCATCTGGCCTCGAGGCACATCCGCATTCGTGTCCGTTGCAGCCAGCATGCCCTAAAGACGGATGCGAGATCCCCCAGCTTCGGAGAACTCAGAAGCTGGCAGCTTGTTGATGTGAGCAACAAACCTGGGCTCTCTGATGTCTAGTTCGTCTGAGATGGCACGTCTTCGCGAAGAAGCTGCGAGATTTAGCCGGGATCCTGACTGCACCTTGTCGACCTCTTCTATTGCAGCTAGAGCCTCTGAAGGAATTGTTGAACGTCTTGTGCTGACGGCTAGGAACTGCGAGTCGCACAATCTCGACGGTGTCTAGTGCACGCTGATGTATCGCCATGGCCTTTGCAGTGCAAAGAGTCGAGCAGCGGCGCAGCAGGGGAGCAGCCTTTTTCAGCGAGAGCTCGTAAGATCGGAGCTGCCAGCGAGGCCCAGAGCTCCGGCGACTTCACGTATCGACACAGCCGCACCGCCTCCACTAAACCCCAAAAAGGCTAACTAAGTCGGTGTCTGTGGTCGTTGCCTGCTCCCACTGACCCTTCTCAAAGTGCGTGTAAAGCCTGGAGAACTCCCATGTACTTCAAAATCAGTGGCCCTGTCCGGCGGCTCAGCTCCACACAGCTGAGGATAGGGGGTGGTAACCATGGCCTGGCCCCCACGCTTATGATCAAGGCAGCCAACAAACATCTGAGTTGTCGACCAAGTCCGAGCCATCTGCCTTCACTGCGATCACTGTCGCTATGGAGCTTGAGCTTCTGACAACTCACGTCGCATGAGCCTTTCTGATGGTGCAGTTGGAGCCATAGAACGCGACAATCTGTGCATACCTCAGTCGAGTCCCACGCCACCAGCGGGTGTGGACAAAAGCGACTGTGTGCCGCAAAAGCCCCAAGTACATGCACGAGGGCCCAAGGGCACCGACTCCCTCTGCCTAAGCCCTGAGAATTCGACTTGCCGGCATCCGCGCAGGTCTTTGACTGCAGCGTCTTCGGAAGCAAGTCCTGCAGGTCTCACCGTCTGTTCTGCGGCATCAGGACATCACAATCTGTGAGCAGCGTCCTTGTCAACAAAGCATACAGCCGGATAGATGAAAATAACTAGCTTTTCGTCGATCAGGGCAATAAGCCTCGGTCAAACAGGACAGAGCGCGCGGTAAACTTAAGTCTTCTACAGCCAAGCAGCATGTCAGTACTGTCATTCCACATAAAGGTGTCCACCATGGCCCCAAGCTTCTCAGTCTTGTCCTCAGCACTTTTAATGACCCCTCGCCCTACTTCGTGAGGCACAGGCAGTGCCCAGGCTGCACAGAGGATCTGGCTGCTTGCATGGCCTTGGTGAGATACAAATCCTGAACAGGGCAAGAGATGCCGGATTTTATGTATCCGGGCTACTCCACACCAAGCCTTGTTCTTGTCCAGGATTGCGATTTTTCGATCGCTGCCTGACCCTCGCATGTGCTGATTTCAACTCCCCCAGTTCATCATTGCCAAAAAACACCGAGGACCTGACCCTGCTGATTAAGCGAGATGCGCACGATGTCGAGCTTGTGCTGGATAGGGTTCCTCGGCATAGTCGCGAGATTCAGATAGAGACAGCATGACTGAAGACTTGCATTTGTTCTTTTTGAGGCAGCGGCCCCATGGCACGGCCCGTGAAAACATCGAACACACCTTACTTGCCGAAGCCATCGAGTCTCTTCGCATCGGAGCACGATTTCCGTCCCTTGGGAGAGGACGTATCTGTTTCGGTTGGGCAGGATCTACTAGGGCAACTGCATCTCGGCAAATGCCTGCAGCGGGGGCAGTGGTTCACCAGCGCGAAGTGGGACTTACCGAGCAAACAGCCGGGCAGGCTCAATGTCTGGTGGTTCAAAAACTCATAGCGAAGGCCACTCATCTTTATGGTAGACAACTGTCGGCCTCAGGGAATGAAACAAGCTGCACAGCACATCACTGCTGCAATAAGCACCTTCGTAGTTGATGATCTGAATTCCATTGGCATCGACCAGAGCGAAGTGGTGTGGGCACCTCACACAACTTTGGCTATGAAAAGCACAACCAATACATCTAGCACGGATTTGACTTGCCCTTATCCTTGGACATGTACTGGACAATGAGTGTTGGTGGCTCTTTCAAGTCCTCCACGTGAGGCCTCGATTGGCCGAAGCAGAAGCACAAAATGGGTGCGATTGTCACGAGATTTTAACTTCCGTGACCCTTAGACCCACACGTGTTCCAGTTTGTCGACTGGTATATGAAGCATTGGCTGTTGGTATTCACAACCAAAGCTCCATATGCCAACGACCTTTGACAGCTCGTTTCTGAGTCCTAAGAAACTGCCATGAGGACACTGGCTCTTGGGCGACAGCATGTCGGTCACACGATCACGGAAGTCCAATTCCTGTTGAGAAGCCGGTGCTGCAGGAGTGGTCTGTGCACACACTCTCTCAAGGATGCATGCAACAATCTGAAACATACCTCCTTTGTCTCATTGAGAATGTCCACCACCTTGCTGCGGCTCTCGCACATCATTTGCATGGGCGACAACCACAGTACCACACAGATTCTGCGTGCTGCACGACAATGGCACGCAACATGTCTACGTTAAGGAATACTTCACAGGCCCCGGTTTCGAGACGTGCCGCCAAGTAACCGTAATCATGTTGTTTTCATCCAAGTTTACGTCCATGTTCTGCCACGTGCAGCTTCTTTCCTTGGCTTCACAAGCTTTGCTTCACAAGCTTTCTAATATTCTAATGCTCAACAGCCAGTGACCTCTTGCCGGGGGCCGTGCGACGAGGCTTCCGAAGACTACATGCCCACTCCCGGTGCCGCATGCAAGTTGTGTTCCGTCCTTTCGGGTGGACCGAAGAAATTTGAATTCGAAATGTGCTCACACCCTCTTGAGGGTCACACATTGCACCAGGAGATGGAGAAAATGGAGCCCACATCCGGAGTCTCACGACCTTGCTACAGGATACTACATGTACCGCAGGCAAGTGCTGAAAAGCCCCGAGGTTGGCACAGTAGGACCATCCAGTACGGTCGCAAAGCTTCAAGGTCTCAGCCGAAGCTGCTCATGTCTTCAGCACAGGGTCTCATCACACACACACACACACACACACATGAGAACCGACGAGCTAGCAGGCATCACATCAGGCACAGCTTGGACAGCAACGTTGAAGCTCCCCACAGCAAAATGCTTGCCTGACACGGCCATGGGAAGCAAGACATTTTGGAAAGCATTCCTTGTCACAACTTCCACTTAAGTCGAAACTGCAAGTTCCTCTCTTCCCCTCGAAGAAGCAAGGACACATGGGCCAGCTTAGGCGTTTTTGCCCCCCACCTGTAGGGGACCACGCCTCGGACAATTCAGGACAGCTCTGCCCTGCTTCGCTTGTCGTCACTGCAAATCACTCGCCACAGAATGCAAACTGCAAACTGTGCTCTCAGCAATGGCAGTGACCACATGGTCAAGAGGAGCAGAGTTGAAGAGAAGCCGACCGTAACAGTCCCAAATCTTGTACCTCAGAGTCTTTGGAAGACCATGCGTTCCTCACAAGCCGATAAATCTCAGCATGCAACCGGCAGTCTTCACCGGCAGAGAGGATAGTGTTGTTGACAAAAGACCTGGGACGCTTGCATCTTCAAAGCCAACTCCCCATCAAGCAGAAAGAGGTCATGCTGCTCCGCCTACAACAGGGCGATGCCCTGTGCACAAAGCTGGATGCCGTCCCTCTAGCAGCGGACCAGTCCAGCATCATGACGACACCATCGTGGGCCTGACCATGCGCTGAGTCACGCCGTGGTCGTAGAGGAAGAGAGATAGACGTAGCGGTGCCTTCCACTCGACCTGTTTCTGGCCAGCCTTGCCAGGGGGTGGAGATCAAGCCAAAGCAAGGAAGTAGCAGAAACAAGTAGCGGTAGTGAAGGACTGTCCTAGGAAGTAGCCATCCTGAATGGATTTGAGGTGGATCTTTGAACTGCACGCGAAGAGAATGTGCTCACCTCAAACACCATAGTAAAACTGTCGATGCACATGTGCTTTTCCAGCGCACTCCACCGTGTGCTACATCTCGGCTCCCTGCAATCCGGAGACCAGACCACCGAGTAGATGGCATGCGACCTCAAGCAAATGAAGGGCTCCCACCAGTGCTGCGACGTCATCCGTCTCGGCCAAAGACTGTTGCGCCAGGGCTGACCGCAGCATTCCACTCCTGGACCAAACCTTTGCAGGTTGCGAGCCTCGCTCGACCCACAGGTTTCCTCCCTCTGCTCCCCTGCTGCCTTGACAATGCCGTCTTCACCAGCTGTTGCGATGGCAGATCCTTGAAGTCTAAGTATCAGCAGCTGTTCTGTCATAACGAAGCAGAGAACCCAGCCGTCAAAGCTCCACCGCAGCGAGATGACTGCTCCTCGGTGAGCATCAACCTGTCAGGCTCCCGAATTCCGTCTGCGTGCGTGTGAGAGTGAGCAAGTGAATGAGCGAGTGAGAAGGAACCCGCTTGAAGTGAGCATGTTGAACCTACCTTTGAAAGAGACAGCTCAGAAAGATCCCCACCGTGATGCACGGGCATATGCTGTGCGATATTGTGTGATTACAGTTTCACTGAGCACCACTGCGCCCTGAATCCAAAGCGAACGTCGCAAACTCTCGCCCCAGGATCTCAGACCCTCAGCAAGCCTGGCTCCAAGGACGACAATCGCTGCACGAGAGGCAGACACTACGAGAGGTTGAGGCTAGGGCCTAAGGAAGGCGGCAGCTGCGAGCCTTCTTCTCCTCTCGGCCGGTCTCGCTGACCAGTCTGAAGGTTCCATCGGCACATCCCAGTGCAAAGGTGTTCTCTGAGCCTGACAGGTACGGCTGGCATCTTGCAGAAGAAAACTGAAGACATCTTTTTGTACATCGACTGCGTCGAGCTTACATGCCCTCTAAGGTGTGCCTTTGCCACTGGGCATCCATGCCATGGCCTGACATGCTCATGCAGATGCAGCGGTTTTGCAGCTGCTTTGCTTCTGCCTCATTGCGTGCGAAACCCATGCTGAACCACTTGGGGTCCGGAGACAAACTGATCTCTCTTCCACCCATTCCCGGCGGGCCGTGCAGAAGGACTCGCAGCTTCCCAGCTTTACCTCGGGGCATCTGACTCGCCGCGGTCGAGGGCTTCAGATGAAACGTTGTCCCAAACTTGGACATTCACTAGGTCTCACGACACACACACACATGCTACGATCTGCAAAAGGAGCAATCCATGTCGCTTCTAAGGCTTTGGCGATCGGGGAGCCCTCCACATGCCATTTCCAGATTTCCTTCCGGGGAAGCACTGGACAAACTGCTCGCTTGCAACATGTACGTGATTCTTCACAAGTGAAAGCTGAAAGCACAAAGGGCGGAGACGACACAATGTACCGATGGGCACAGATTTGATGATCCAAGACACGACACTTCGATCCACACGAACTCGCATGTATCCCTCGCATCGCACGTGGAAGGCTTTGCGCTGTCTTGATACCATCGCTTCACGAAGACATCGGCCATTTCTCAGGAGTCGCGTGCCAGTTGCCAATGTTATCCTTATGCCACTACTGCAATCACAATGACGGTAATCACTGACACCATGACCGGGGCCACTAATGGCGGTGACTTGAAACAGTTCCGGCCAACCCTTTCCAGCAGTAAATTCGTTTTGGTGACAGACACCACCACCAGCTGTACATACTTCGCGTAAGTCCATGCTTTCATGCTTGCTTGCCCTTGAGACATGCTCGCATTCCTGCTTTCTGGTCCACCATGCTGCCGTCAATATTTCCTGCTTCGTTTCGCGACTTCTGCTATCTAAACATGCCAAGACCCTAAAAAGAAACAGACGCTCTACCTGTCTGGCGCAGCCTGGTCATCGCCGGCAGATAACAGCTCGTATTGCTTGCCGGTCTTGTACCTCGGCATGGTGCTAGACGGTGATGATCAGACTTTCTAGCCTGCTGCCACCTTGGACCGAAAACCGCAGAAAAATGGGCTTGTCACACATCTCAGCTCAGCACCATCCGACTGCAGTCACTAGCGATTTGTGCTTTGGCACTTCCTGGAGTGAAACCAATCGACCCGAGCACATCAGCGAAGCTCGAGTTAGGCAACTTAACAGCTCCATCCTTCGTTACCGGAGGGTACAGTAATGAGCGGTGCTTTCGGCAGGAATGATTGTTCCCGCTGATATGTTTGCTGTAAGGCTGGGCTGTGCGGACGTCTCAATGCGCAATTCGGCGGGGAAAACTCTGCAGCAACACTGGCAACTTGCTTGTTTCAGCGGGCGCTGGCCTCGTGTGTTAACTTCAGCCTCATCGCACCTGAGTGCTCATGTTTGAGCGGCATGTGCTTCCGAGTAGGCAACAGTGACCATCCGACAGGCCTGTGTATAAACAGGCAGCGTGACGCCGAATCCTATCTACAGAACTGCCTGCACATTCGAGCCAACAATGGGTGCAGCCACAACGATTTCAGACGCGTCTGTCTTGAACTCGACAAGAACATCTTCAAGTCCAAAGATCGGTGTCACTGTGATGACAGCAGCTGCTGTCAGAATCCTGGCTTAGCGCTTCTGGCTCCGACCCAGTGACGCTTAATACACACTCCGTCCCACCTGTCAATGGAACGCACATGAAAAGTAGACGTCTACCTGCGGTAGCATTCGGCTCAGAGGCCGTACTCGTGCAGGTGACATGGATCTCTGCCAATACGCTTTCAACCCGTAGACACAGAATCCCTTTCTCTGCGAACTGTCAGAGCGCGCTCTATCATCCGCAGATTGAAGCAGACTTTGCGTGCCTTATCAAGTAGCATAATAGCACAGCTACCTAATCGCATGCTAGAAGACTCCGGTCAGCCACCTGGATCGCCAATCGCGCAAGTTGTCCTGATAGCCTTGGAACAGATAACTACATCTCAGACAACAATGCTGGTGCTTGTTTTGGAAGGCGCTTGCCAAGGCTGTAAAACCACTGGCTGCTGCTGATTTCCCTCCACTTCGACGTCCATGCTCACGTCCACACTTCCTGTGCTGAGCAGTACAGTGTACTTGCCAGCATAGCTGACACCATCACCGGCATCTGTAAAGACCTGGAAACTCGCGGCTGTCAGCGTGAATCCCAAGGTCGCACTTGTCTGAGGCTGGAGGGCAACCCGCTGGAAAGCAAAGAGTTGCCTGCGCAGAAGTGTGGCGGCGCATCCTGCAGGAAGGGTCCCTTCCACTGGAGAGAAGAAAGCCATTACCACTTCGTCGCCGGCTCTCTCCCCAGTGTTCAGAAGGCGGACATCGACCTTTGCAGAACCTCCTGCCTGCGAGACCTTGATCGAACTTGTGCCGAGGATCTGCAAAGCAAAGGTGGTGTAGGACAGGCCGTATCCGAATGGCCAAAGCGGTTGTCCTGTAAAGTATCGGTACGTCCGCCCAGGAGATTTGGTCATGTCAAAGCTGAGCATGTCGAATTGCTCTGTAAAGTCTTCATCATAGAAAGTCACAGGCAGCTTCCCCCAGCGGTTGCTGTGTCCCAGCACTGCACGGGCGATGGCCCGGGCGCCAAAAAAACCCGGGTACCAGGCTTCCACGATAGCGTTGGCCTTCTCCTTGACTTCTCTCATCGCCACCATGCCGCCGTTCACCAGCACCACCGTCAGCGGCCTTCTGTAACTACGAGTAACTAACTCGTTCATTTTGTGACGACAGGGGTATTTTCGGAGTATAGAAAGCTAACCACGCCAGAAACAGACTCACACTGCGAAACGTACAGGCCCAGGCCTTTTCAGGGCGATCATGGCATCGAGCAGGGTCAGCTGCCCAGGCGGCAGAATCACCGTGTGGCGATCCTGTCCCTCTTTCTCGATGGAGGCAGTGTCCAGGCCTCCGCAGGAGCAGTTGGTATGGTGCAGTGAAAAGATTTTCAAGAAGCTGGACACTGACTGGCTGGGTGGGAAGCAGCTGGGTCCCGGCCTAAAGCCAGTACGATGTACTCGGCAGCCTTCGCCGTAGCTACTGCTTCGGCAAGGATCTTCGGGTCAACTTCGCTGCTGATGCCGGGCAATCCTGGGGCTGTGGTCACATCCTGCGTCAAGTTGGCGAGAGCTTCGAAAATGGTCTCCACACAACCGAAGCTCGGCTTCTCGCCCGGGCAAATCTGACCCAGGTAGTTTCCGAGGAGCTCCCCTCGGGAGGCGGCGTGGGGACCGATGACGGCGATCTTTCGACTTTCAGGGATTGGCAAGGTGCCCTTCTCGTTCTTGAGTAGCACCAGACCCTGCTCCGTCGAGTCAAGCGCGGCAGCCAGATGCTCACTGCTGCGCACAATGTCGGGAGAGAAGTGCTCATATGGTTGGCCAGCAGGATCATCGAAGAGGCCGAGGCGGAATCTGAGGGTCAAAGTGTGCCTCAGAGCTTCGTCCACGGCCTGAGATCGCAGAGAAAGTTCAGACCAAAAAGTCTATGGACTTTAAAAGCTGCTAGCTGCGAGTCACACCCTGCAATCCACCGAAATTGAGAGACAAAGGCTTGTCGAGCTCCAGCCTCTTCAGACAGCTTTCCCTGTCGGACCAAGTCTGGGATGTATTTCAGGTACTCCGCGTTCGTGGTCGCCCAGGGGTGCCCTGAGGGCCACCCAGAAGATTGGACATCTGTACCGGCCTCCACAGCCTTGGCAACTGCATCTTCTATTGACGGAGCGAACCAATGCTGATCGTAAATGTCGGCCACAGCTCCAGAGTCTCCCGTGACATAGCCTTTGAAGCCCCAGTCTTTGCGCAGCTTCTCATTCAGAAGCCATTTGTTGGCGCAACTCGGATAGCCGTTGATTGCATTGTAAGAACACATTACCCCAAGCGCACCTCCTTCCACTACAGTGCTCCGGAAAGATGCCAGGTAGGATGAGGCCAGATCATACGAAGATATATTTACGTTGATTGTGTGTCTTGTACACTTACGGCCAGGGCACATCCCTGTGCCAGGGTACTGAGCGGGACCGCCTGGTCCCCTCCATGTGCCTTCAAGCTCATTCGCTGCGAAGTGCTTGAGCGTGACAATGGCTTGTAGCCGCCCTTTGTCCTCCTTGCCTTCCTGCAAGCCCTTCGTCACCTGTATCCCGAAGCGGCTCAGGATGAAAGGATCCTCCGACGTCGTCTCCATGTTCCGCCCCCAACGTGGATCACGGACTATGTTGATGTTTGGGCTCCAACAGTCCAAGCCTAAAGGTGGAAGCTGCGTGGGTGGATGGTTCTCTCCTTTGCCTTGCTTCCAAAGGCTGCGCAGCTCCACGCCAATGATGTGACCCATTGTCCACCATGCCGACTCATTGAAAGTTGCACCTAAGAGGTTCGGAGCTGCAAAAGAGGTGGGGCATCGAACCGTGCCATCTGAGCCTCTACCACAGCGAGATTGAACACCATGGATGCAGTTGGCTCCCCAGTCATATTGTGGAATGCCAAGCCGGGAAATGTTGCCAAGCGGTGCCAACCGGGCAACCATCAGGAGGGGCTTCTCCTCCAACTGTAACCGCTGCACCAAGTCGTCGACACGATCCGCGATGGGCAACCTGCTATTGCAAAACGGGAGATCTTTAAAGCCCTTGCCACAGCCATAGCGCGGGTAGTGCACGTCGCCAGAAGCCGTGCTTGCCATCCCTATGGCCGCTGCCGCCCATACTGCCAACAACATCTCTGAACTTCGACGAAAGTGACTGGGTGGAAAGCTCGAGATGAACCGCAGCGGATCCCTTTTCCAAATTCTAACCAACTCTTCAAGCATCCCTGCAAACGCGGTTGATCGAGCCCGTTTGCCAACACCCGTTACGCCGTTACGTTTGGCTTAGCACACTATCCTGGTGTCGTTTGCCAAGGTAGTTCTGTTCGAAGGTGTGCGTGTTCACTGTTAATTAGGATCTGATCTATTGGGTCTTGAAATCATCGAACAAGCATAAAACCTAAACTCTACAACCTGAGTCCGCAATCAACCGACCAAAAGCAAAAGCAAAAGCGGACACATCCAGCACACCCTGTCGCACAACACCCAGCAAAGCCAGAAAAAACACCCAAAACAACTCTTAAACTCCGACTACACGGGTTCCACCAAGCCGGACAATGCTGCGTGTCTGCCAAAGTTCTAGAAAGGCTTGCATTACTACTTCGAAAGGCATTTCTGCTCGCCCCCCCCCCCCAAGCCATTATTGGGTATGATTGGAATGCCTTCCCCCACCCGCCCACCTGGGTCCCTGGATAAGGCACATGCCTGAATAGGTACATGTCTCAGTGCGCGCGGTCCGTCGGAGCACAGGGCCGGTACCGCGTCCCCGCTGGGCAGGGCGGTTGGGATTGGTGCCGAAACTGCCTTGAAGCAACCCCCCCATCTCAAGCCGAAAACCGGGGGTTGCTTTGCGGGAAGGGGGAGGCTTGGGCGGGGCAATTGGATTCGCACGCATAGCCGAGTTTTGTTGGGCGTGTGCTGACCGGAATGGTTTAGGGGATAACGGTGTTAGGGTTTAGGGGTGTGCAAGGTGTCGGGTTTGGCATGAGAACATGCACCCCGGAGACCACGGATTCCTTAGACCAGCCCGAATCTGCTCTTAGCCTCCAAGCGAGCATCGGAAATAAAACAAGTTTTCCTGGGGCATCCGAAAGGGTGGGGGCGCAAGGCATTAGGGGGGGTCGCAAGGCATTTCACGGGGTGGAAAGGCATTTTATTGCCTTCCGGGAGCCCCCGTACAGGGGGGGCCGCAAGGCATTCTGCAGGAGTAGTGATAGGCTTGCACTGCTCTATCACTTACTGCCATCTTTTATACCGTATTGGATCTGTAAGGCTCGGAGGTGCCAAGGTCTAGAGGGCTAGCCAAGGCATAAACTCCCCCAAGGCTAGTCTTTGTGAGAAGTCCGTGAAACTTCTGAAAAGGCAAACTAGAGGCGAGCTCCGAAGGAGCGTGAAACTGCTTCTCAGAGGCTGAGAATGCAAGGCAAAGCTGCAAGGGGCCCGATCAGGCTAGGCCCCTGAGTAGGGCAAAAGGCTACCGTCTGGACCTGAGGCAGGACAAGAGCGCTCCGTGAGACGCACGTGAAAGTGAGAATGCTGTCAGTTCGCGACGTGGAAACCGATGAAGACGACGTCGAGCTCGTGAATCGAAGTACCTGGCAGGGCGGGTTAGGGCGGGTAACCGAAAGGGTTAGGGGACTATGGAGCACCCAAAAAGCAGCTGAGGCTGGGCAAGTGGGCTAGACGGCGAACCTGAGGCAAGTTACCGTGGCAAAGGAGCAGGCTCAACTTGTGTGAGCAGCGGGCCTCGCTGGAGGACCACCAAGTAGCTGAAGGCTCTTTGGCGGGCTATGGCGCCGAGTGTGTTCAAGGCTGAACTAAGAAAGGCCATGCAGTAGGCTGAGGCCGGGGCCGCAAGCGCGAAGCCTAGGTGTGGGCGGGAGGGGCTTTTCGAGAGAACTCAAGTGCTAGAGCCAGTGCTGCGATGTGCTATAGATTCACATGCCTTCTAAAACATACGTGAACAAAAACACGAAACGTTCTAGAAAGGCTTGCACTGCTCTATCACTTACTGCCATCTTTTATACCGTATTGGATCTGTAAGGCTCTGCGGTGCGGCTAGCCCGGAGGTGCCAAGGTCTAGAGGGCTAGCCAAGGCATAAACTCCCCCACTTCAGGGACAGATCCAACCGGTAAGGCAGCAGGCAAGTATCCCCCACCGCGGGCGGTGGAGGTGGACCTGAGCAGAGGCATGGCTGTTCAGCGTGCAGAGTGGGACAAAGCAGGCAATCGTGAGTGCATCGATGCTCTTTTTCTTCGGCATGGCTGGCCCAGGTCGGTGTCAGTCCGGTCGGGCAACAAAAAACTTGGCGTGGGCGGGGATGCAGACCAGGTGGCCTGAGAGGCCGCCGAGGCGAGGCGGTGGAAGCTGATTCTCACCCGTTCTTGCGGTCTATGGCTGAAGGCTTGTAGCCGACCTCGGCTGACGTCGTCTGCCCATTGATTGTGTGCGCCCGCAACGTGGGACACCTGTAGGTCAACGCCATGGCAGGATGACCATGAGGCTATCAGCTGTAGGAACTGTGAGAGGGGCCAGCTGGTTGTGAAAAGCTTGTTGATGCCCGCTTCCGAGGGCGTGTTATCGCTCTGCGATGGCAAGCAGACCGAAAACTGCGAGAAGGCGTGGCGTTCTCGGGCTGTCATGGCGAGTGCTAGCTGAGCCAAGGTCTCAAAGCAGGCGATGTATTTGTGGGCATCCTTGGTGAGAAAGGGCCTGACCTCGTCCATGGTCCAGGCTTGGCAAACCAGGCCATGCTGTGCTTGGTGGTGATCCATCCCCCGATCCCGACTCTGTCCCCTTCGGCCATGGCGTCAGCTCTGGCTAGGCATGCGACCAGGGGCGGAAGTGAGAGGCTGGTGGTCGGGATGGCCTCAATACCTGGAAGGAGCCAACGTAGGCTATCCAGAGATGCGAACCCAAGTGGGTCCAGAGGACTTGGGCTGTGGCGGGAGGTCGGCTTTGCAGTGAACTGGTCGACTGCTGACCTCGATGATCCGGGCCTTAAGCGGCAAGTTGACTCCGGGTATGAGCCTGCAGACGACAGCTCTGGAGTCAAGGCTGTGGAGGAAGGCTGGCCACATGAGATAGAGCAATTGCTCCCCGGAGGGCTGTTAAGGACACTGTATAGAGGTGCGACGTGAGCTCGAAGGACCTTGCTGATGGCTGTCGCCCACATGAGGAGGCCGATACATGCTTCTAAGTCTTTCCTGGGGACCTTCTTGCGTGCCAGCAAAGCCTTAAGCTGGCCACAGAGCTTGGCTCGTTTGGCTTCGCAAAGCTCGACCGTTTCCAGGCGAAAATTGAAGTGCCAACCGCACCAGACAAGGCTGTCCCCTACTGAGGCCTTTTTCCAGCTAATCGGAGCGGCAAGGCTTGACAGTGTGGCTATGAGAAGGAACAAAAGTTCAGGCGCGAAGGCTCGGAGCAAGGCTGACAGGAGGTCGTCGACGTAAAGCCAGGCTTTGTGGGGAGCGAAGGCTAAAGCATGGTGTGCGATACGCGTAATGAGGCCTCCCACTCGCTGCCACCAGTAGGCTGAAAACTTGGCGCCAAAGTGGCAGACGACGTATCTGTACAGGATCTTTTCGAACATGAATAAGAGCAGACCCTGTTCTGAGCGGTGGACCTTGACTCTCTTGTGGGCTGCCTTGAAGTCGACGCTGGCTGCGAGGAATGACCCCCGCGGGTCTGAGGGCATGAAGGTGGCTCTGACATCGTTGACTGTAGGCATGGCAACCGCTTCCGGGATGCGACACATGGGATTAACCTGGCAGACCGTGCTATCCAAGACTAGTCGAAGGTCTCTGTTTTCCGCTTTAACAAGGCTGAGCTTACCGACGGCGATTCCCTTGGGCCAAATTCGTTTGGCTTCCTCGAGGCCTCCTGGCACGGGCTGTATCCATCCTGCCGCTTCTTCCTCTGCTAAAAGGCTTCGGACTGTGTCCGGGTCTGCCTCCGCCGGCTTCCAGTTGCCCTCGCAGACCTCTAGCCCTGATGAGGCCAAAGGTTGAATCTTGGCTAGAGGCCAGAGCCCTGAGGGCTCAATGGGATCAAAGACTCCTGTGTGCACTCCGACGCGTAGCATGGCTGGGAGATCTTTGTCTGGGTCGAGGAGATCTGCAAAGGCTTGCAAGAGGTTAAGGCGAAAAGGCTGGCCTTCGGCCGCCTGCGCCATGGAGTCGTAGTCCCACTCCATGACTTCACAGGCTATCCGAATGAGTTCGAGCTGGTCCTCCTCAGGGATGGGATGGTCCGGCTTGCTTTGCGAGAGGTGTGCAAAGACGCGTTTGGGCAAGTCACGCTGGGATGCCCATGTGAGCCAGGCTTGCATGATGTCCTCCATGGCTGCAATACTCGGCTTAGGCCGGCTCCAATCCGCCGAGCTGGCGTTACCAGCCCCATCACCTTTGGGGGCCCTGTCCTTGGCTAGCTCCTCATGGCATTGCAAGGCTGAGGCTAGAGTTGGCCGCTGGGCGGGCTTGGTAGAAAGTGGCATGGCCGCAAACATGCCAGCCGCTTCCAAGGCTGCGAGACCCGGATCTGCACAGGGCCAAGTGGGTAAGGGAGCTGTGGCCAGGAGTACCCTATCGGAATCTGGCTCAGGACAGAGGAAGAGCCCCCCGATCGTGGACTGCCTCGCAGAAAGGAGGCGCCTGGAAGAGGAAATGATCTGCTGGCAGGAAAAGGAGGGCTGAGGCCCCGGAGGAGCGTATGGCCTGTAGAAAGGCGCAGGCTTCGTCGAGGTGTGGGGCGAGTGAGCTGAGGTCTGCAATGACGCCTAAAGTAGCCACCCGGGACCAAATTGCTTGAAGGAGGAGGTCAGGCAGCTGCTGGGGATCTTCTTGGGAAAGGTCGATAGCGCAGACGTTGGCGTCGCGCGCGTGACGTAGGCATGTGGAGCCTATGGGGATGGAACGGCAAACCGCTAAGGTCCTAAGGCTGGGAACTATGGGGGGCTTATGGGCTTTGCGTTGGCTGAGCGCCGTCCAGACTCGGTTGGCAAAGCGCCGACCCGCCGGACCCCCGCCGGGGTTGCGAGTTTCGCATGGCCGAGGCTGATGCGCCTGCTGTTGCTCTGTGGCTTGGTGTATCGGCGGAGAGTTCTGAGGTGGGCTCTCGGGTGGCGGGGGCTGGTCCGTGGCTGCAGCCTGTGAGGCTTCGGTTATTGGCATGGGCGGAGGCTGACACTGCTGCTGCTGCTGAGACGCTATTGCAGGTCCTAGTCACGACGGCTTCTTGTCGTGGTCGACGGCACAATGCTCCTTGCCGCAGCCCCGGACCGCGCAGAAATGGGCGAATTTGCAATTGGGCAAGGCGCAGAGATTTCGCTGGTAACGCTTACAGAGCACTTTGCCCTTGGCCTTCAACACCCATTTGGAAGGCCACGAGTCAGACTTCGATGGGCTATCTGGCTTTTGAAGGCCTTTGCCGCGGCCCTTGCCCTTGCTACCTTTTTCGGTGGTTGGCGTGTTAAGGCGGATTCTCTTGCTTGGCGGGGGGGGGCGGGTTCCTCCATTGGGACGGCGGTTGGGGCCCGGCGGTGTTGGTGGCGGCCGCGGTCTTGGCTGAAGCAAGTTGGCGAGGTCACTCCGAATGCTGGTGACCTCGTACAGGGCTTCGTCTAGGCTCCAGCCAGATGCAGCAAGGCTGGAGATGGTGTTCCAAATCTTGCGGTCGGCTGCCAAGAGCTCTTGCGTTGTTGGTCCCCGGAGGGAAGAGTCGGCTAAGTCTGGCAGGGCTAGGTGCTCGACTCGCTTGTCGAAGGCTTTGAGGTTGTTAAGGTGGGCTGCCCCGCACAGTGCCCAAGCGTTCCTGAACACCGTTTGGATGCGCTGTAGCCAGGACACAGAAAGGCGGAGATGGGAGACGGCCATCTCAGGCGTGTCGTCATATATGGCTGAGGCGAGTAGCTGGGCTTCCGTCCTCATAGGCTTAGATGACTTGGCCTCCATAATTTCGGAGTACTGTTTGGAGCTTAGGCGAAGCTGCCATGGTATCCACTTAAGCTTTTCTCCTGGCTGAAGGCTGTGTTGCACGAGGCTAAGAAGGCGTATGGAAGGCATAGTATCGTCGTCCAGGAGCTCTCCCGGATAGTTGGCTTTGAATGTCGTGACTAGATCCTGCACGACCTCCGAGCTGAGCTTAGGCGGCAAATGCTCCATCCATGAGGATGGTGAGGCAGAAGGTGCGAGGGCTGCTGGGAGGGACGGCATCACAGGTGAAGGCTGAGGTCCCTCCTGTGCCTTGTGCGCTGATCGCAAGGCTTTCCTGGCTCGTGCTGCCTGGACGGAATGTAGTGCGTCCGAGACCCCCATATCGCTGAGGTCCGACTCAGAAAGGCTCTGCAAGAAAGTGTCAAAGCTAGTAAGATCTGGGTAGGCAAATGCCAGGTCCCTCGAGCCCCTTGAGGGCGAGGCCGTTGCAGACTACTTCGTGCACCCCCTGCGCCTGCAGGAAGGCTGCGAGCTCCGATTGCTCAAAGAGAGCCACGCTTGCTGGCAACCTAGGTGCAACTGGGTATAGGTAAGCCTAAACGGCTGCGGTGAAGAGGGCATGGCAAATGATCAGGCTGACCCAGCAGAACATAGCGCCACGCCCGCGTTTTCCTTAAGGCAGTGCGTCGGCAAGCCGCTCGCGGCAGAAGAAAGCTATGTTAGGACATGTAGGGCAAAAGGCTGCCGTGGAGCGGGGCGTCCCGCAGGCCGCTTTGTCGGCTCCCAACGGCTGAGCATGCACGGACCCCCAAGGTCCATTCTGGAACAAGGCTATGTCTTCCACTGTCGGCGGGGTAGCAAGGTCCTCCGAGTCGGAAGAATCGGCTTGCGTGACCGCAAAGCTCTCCACTAGCAGGGCTTCAATGTCGTCTGCTGGTGTGGTCGGAGGAGGCTGATGGCTGCAGGGGTCTCTTGCTGGGATTGCGCAGCGCTTGGTACAGGCTGAGGATCGGGCCTGTCCGCGGGGGCTCCAGTTCGGCTTCCCGTGAGTAAATGAATCTGTCGAGGCCCTTCCCGAGGGCCGAGAGCTGGAAGGATTTTGGTGGCGAGGAAGAACTAGCTGAAAAAGGCGGCTCCACTGTCGGGTGCTGTCCTCCCCTGGCGATTGGTCCAACCTAAGGCACATGCTTGGGTGATTTCAGTTTGTAGGGCTAAGGCTCCGAAGGTATCGTCTCTCCCGTAAAGCTGTACGCTAGGGTTTTTGTGATGGCCTTGCTGTTGGCGTATTTTATCGGCGGCCTGAATCTGTGCACCGGCGCTGAGCAGGCAGACCTTGAGGGTGTGCATGGTGAAGGCGGAGGCTTCTTCTGGTGTGAGCAGCTCCGGGGAGTTGCCCTCCCTAGCGCTTGGCTGTACGACATAGGCTGGCGGTAGGCTGCCGCTGGCTTACCAGGGAAACCCCGTAGGTTGTGCAGGGTGCAGTATGAAGTCAGGGCAATGGCGCGTGCCGTAGATCTCCTCAGTACGCTCCCATACCGTCTGAACGGCTCGAAGGAAGGGCAACACCCAAAGGCTGGCCGGGTCTCGGCGGCCGGAGATTCCATGGAGGCGAACTGTGAATGGCTGACCCCGCTTGGTCGTTTTCGTGTGCCATGCACTGAAGATCCCCAAATCGCAAGCCGCCGTGCAAGGCTAGCAGGAATCCCCCCAGCAAGAGGCAAAGTTCGATTGGGCACTCCGGCTGGCATATACGGCGCTCCCAGGCTGTGACCACGGCAAGTGGCAGTGGCAAGGCTTCTCTCCTGTCCGTGTCGGCCTGGGCCGTAAAGGACCTGATGAGGCGGTCTGAAAGCACAGCTGCAAGCTGGGCGAGGCCGGCTGTCTTGGCTAGCCATGAGAGGGCTTTGATCATCGGCTTAGGGCCGGTTCGGCACACTTCTCTATCTTCTTCGAGGCTGGAGTGGCATGCCCATAGCAGGTCTCCAAGGCTGGCTACGGAGACCGTGCTGACTGCAAGGCTGTTGAGGATGAGGTACTCGATGAACTGTCTGCAGGCTGACAAGTAGGTTTCCAGCGTGCCGGCAGTACAGGGCATAATGCTCTGGGCAAGTAGCTGCTGAGAATACTTGGCCTCCTGAAGGCTGCGGTACAAATCTGCCGATTGCCCGAGGAGCCATAGAAGCTCCTTCCACTGTTCTAGAGCTTTGGCTTTCCTGGAAGCTTCCTGGCCTTTCCTGGTAATCTGAGTGGGCCTGCCATCAAGGCGCAAGGGCTGTACCATTTCAGGTAAGCGTGTGTGTCGGGCTGAGGTCGGGGCTGATGCCGGTCGCGAGGGCAAGTCTTGAACATGGAATCTAGGACCGAGAGGCCGTTGCAGTTCTGGCTGTGGGCGCGGCGGTGGGACGTACAGAAGGCTTCTCGGGGTTGGCCGCACTAAAGGCTGACAAACTGGATGGCTGAGTCCCAGAAGGCTGGCCCGCCAGCTGGGTCGAGGTCCCGGCGGTTGGTGGAGTCCCCCTTTGCTGAGAGCAGGCGGGAACCGCGGTCGCCTGTGCAGGGACGAAGGCATGGGCACCTGCAACGAGCGGGGTCTGATAAGGCTGAAAAAGGCGGGGCCGGGCGTACGGCGGGTGGCAAGGCTGGAGGGGGCAGGCCCGGCCGCGCTTTGTGCACCGACTGCAGGGGCAGGAGAACGTGCTTGTCTGGCCCTGGCGGGATAGGGTTCACTGTTGAAGCGAAGGCAGAAGAATCTTTTCGAAAGCGTCGGACCACTGTGGCCCGTTCTTGTCTCGGTGACAGATGGCTCTCTCGGCTGGGGCTCCTGCTGCGATCTGGTTGGGATGCTGTAGGCTGATCGTTGTCCGGGTGAAGAAGCCCCGAGAGAACCCACAGTGGAGCAGGTAGGGATCTTCCTGTTCGCTGAGCATCGCTGTGAAGGCTGTTGACCGGACTCCATGATTCTAGATTGCTAAGGTCGTCCGGATCTGTATCTGGATCCATGATTGGCTGACGGCATGAATTGAAGGGCAGAAACTCCGCAGACGCCGCTGAAAGGCCAGGTTGGTCCTGCAGGTGAGGGCTTGAAGAATCACGGCATAGCCGATGTGCTAAGACAGGCAGGGCAAACAAGGCAAGCACTCTTTTTGTGGGCCGATGGCGGCTGTCGTGCGGCGCTAAAAATGCCGTGCGCCGAGCCTAGATCATGGCTGAAAGCTGACTTGGTACGGAATTCTTTGCAAAGGCGAAGAAGGCTGGCAAAAGGCTGCAAAGGCAAACGGCTACCCCGAGGAGGCCTGCGGGGGTACGGCGGAAAACCATTCAAAAGGGCTACGGCCAGGCCAAGGTCTGTAAATTCTTTACAGCGCGAACATTGATGGCCGGAGTGCTTGTCCTTATGCTCGACGGTACCTTCGTTGAGTTCGCGACCGCAGGCTGAATGGTAAGGACAGAAAGGCACGGCTGTGGTTGCAGTCGGCATGGGCTGTGCTTGGCTGGATGAGGGAGCCTGTGGGGGCGACGTGGTTGGTGGCTGCGTCGTCTCTGGCTCCGCGGCTTTGGGCTTGGGCGGCGGGGATTGCTGCACCTGGGGCATGGCTTTGGTCAGCGGATCTGGCGACGGGGCCTTGGCTGAGTCGGGGCAGGAAGGTTGCTGCGCCGGCGGGGGGGTCGCTAGGTCAGGGCGCTTGATGGGCTGCCAGAGCTCGTGGCGGTTGATCGGCTTGGACTGGGCCTCGGGATCAAAGAAAAGCAGAGGAAAAGGCTGCTGGTGTGTGGCTGCTGTGACGACGGATGTCACGTCGATGAGCTGCCCCATCATAGAATGAAGGCCTGCCTGTGGTATGGCGTGAAAGGCTGTAGAGGAAGAAGGCTCCTTCATAGGGAGGCACTCTCCCTCGGCTTCAATGGGCTGCTCTGTGACTGCAGCTGCTTCGGCGTCGGCTGCAGGTACAGAAGGCTGGGAAGGCTGAGCCGGTTCGGCCTGGGAAGGCTGGGCCGTGTCGGCATCATCAAGGTCTGCCACGTCCTGAGGCGGGACGTAGTCAAAACAAGCTGGAATAGGGCCTGTGTAACATCCGTCTTGGGCATGATAGAAGGCTTCCTGGTTCTGGTAGACAAGAAGGCTACGAGGGGATAGGCTGGAAGAACTATCGCAAGGCCGAGCATCATCCTGCACGGCTGTGTCGGCTGCCGTCTGCGCCGAGGCAGAATGCAAGGCTTTGAGCTTGGCTAACTCCTCTGGGGCCAAGGTCTTCAGCCAATCTGAAAAGGCATCGTGGTCGGACGCCATGGCTGAGGATGACGCTGAAGCTCCCATAGGCGCTGTGAACGAAAATGCTCTGAGGGATTGCATTGTGGCGCGCAGAAAGAAAGACTGCAAGGTGAGGCACGTGCACACATGGGTCCTGAAAATTCCAGCGGCTGTAAGGCATGAAACCTGGCCCAGGGCGTGGAGAGCATCCAACGCTTGTGCAAGGAAACCCGGCCTGAAGAAGGCTGGACCTGAGCAGGGATAGCATGGTGGAATCTTCCTGGAAAGGCCGGCGCATATGCTGCAGTTGTCTTTTGGCAGGCAGGCAAGGCTGGATACGGAAGGCTACGCTTCTGGATCTCCTTCGGAGTCCAACCAGGCGGAGGGTCCCTGATACTGGCAGGCATCAACGGCTGCCTCTGTAAAGTAGACGGCTATCGTAGGGAAGGCTTGCTGAAGGGTCAAGAGCAGCCCGGCTACCCTGGCGTAAGTCTGGTCCAAGCGGATCCTAACGGCGTCTATCTTGGCACTGATAAAGACCCAGGGCGAAAGAAGGCATCGAAGACGTGGCTGTTCACGGGCTCGACGGCTATGGTGCCACAAGGCTTGCTGGGCGCCACGTCGGTCGGCTTCCAAAATACCGATGCGAGCTTCCAGAGATCTAAGGCTCTAAGGCGTTCGGCAAGGGACTGCACTGTAGGCTCCTCAGTGGGCTCCTGGCTGAAGTCCTGGGTCGAAGGCTGTGGCTGCAGAGCATCATAGGCAGAGCTGGTGTCAGGGTCGAAGGCTAGGGGCCCCGAGAGGCCGGCATTCATACGGCCCATGGCTGAGAGGTTGGTCATATTGGCAGCCGGCTGGCCCTGATTCCATTGCAGGGCAGGGCTATTGGTATAGGAAGGCCAGGGGGAGCGCTGTGCGCGCTGATCCTAAGAGCTCGCGGATGGCTTAAGGAAACGGCTAGGCTTTACTGGCTTGCGGGTAGGCTTGGGGTCGCTGAGGCTGCAGCGGCCGGCCCGATGAAGATGCCTGAGAGAGAGCAAGGCATAGGCTCCCATGTGCTGAACTCGTAAAGAGGGCCCGGAATGTAAGGCAACAGGGCAGTATCATCCTCGGGCCTTGGATATGCGTTCCGCCACATAATCATGGCATGCCTTGTTCAGAAGGCACAAGGCAACAACTTCCTGGCGAGAGCTGGCAAACAAAAGAATGTTGGCACAAGGTGCAACTCCGAAGAGAAGGCCTTCAAGGCTCCAGCCCAGAAAAGGCTCACGCAGGTCCTTGGTCGGAAACCAAAGCACCTTGTAGAGAGGGCGGCTGAAGGAGCCAAAGCAGAGGAACCTTAAAGGGGCTCCAAGGCAGCGGATGGCGATAACGCAATCTGAGTCAAGGCTTGAACCCTGCGAACTCGACCTGGTAGAGGGGGGTGGGCTGTCAGGGGCTAGCCATACACTGCCGGACCCCTGGCTGGCTGCATCTGAGGCCTGAGGGGACAGGGCGAAACGCTCGAAATATGTGAAAGTGGTAGGTTTGGTAGCCTCCCCCCAAAGGCAGAAAAGCAGGCTGTGGTTGGGCTGCTGGCTGAGCAAAGGCTGGCTGAGCTGAAGCCCGAAGCCCGGGAGGCTCCCGGCGAAAGCTCAGAGTCCGGCTCCGCCGGCCGGGGCCCGAGCCAGGCAGAGCTCGGGAGGCATCTAGGGCGCAGGCAGCCGACCTGGGAAACAGCTAGTCAGTAATATCCAAATGCGCGACGAGATATTCATGCGTCTCCTGAGAAAGCAAGGCTAAAGGCAACCAGGAAGGCCCACCTGCAAACAACAAGATGCGCGGCCCGACCGTACCTGACAGCAAGAGGTCCTGAAGGCAAGGGCTGCTGGGCTGTCCCATAAAACCTGGAAGAGGCAAGGCATCTAGGAGGCCTGGCCAATGCCACTGATATGGCAAGATTCGCAAAGGCAGAAAATATGGGTCAGGCTGTGGAAAGTCCATGGCTGAGGGTCCGGCGGCTACCTTAGAGGCGAGAGGGCTCAAAAGAGCATCTCAACCATAAGCTGATGGCACTCATCATTGGCTAGAACTAAGGGCAGCCATTCATGAACTTCCAGGCAAATGAGAATGCGAGGGCAGACGGTCCAGGAAAAAAGGAATTCCTGGAGGCAAGGCTCTAAAGGCTGGCCTTCGTGCGGCTGCAGGGCGAAGCATTCTCTGAAGGTAATCACATACCAATTCCAGTCATGCAAGGCAAGTCTGGCTGGGGCAAAGGCAAAATCCGGGGGACGAATCCACCTCGGAGGCAAAGGCGGAGGCCTGGGCGAAGGCGGGGCTTGATCAAGCTCCCACTGCAACATGGTGAGGGGCACAACTACATGTGCCGGCAACATGGCTTCGCTCTAAGGCAGAGACAGGCAGGCTACCGGGCAGTAGCTACGGCTAAAATCTCGCTTTTCGAGAGAACTCAAGTGCTAGAGCCAGTGCTGCGATGCGCTATAGATTCACATGCCTTCTAAAACATACGTGAACAAAAACACGAAACGGTGCCGTACCAGAGTTTCCCTGGACCCTTCCAGGTAAGTCTACCATCCTTTCAAAAAGAGGACAACTCGGAGTCAGAGGAAGACTTCAAAAGGAGGCTTGAAGGGGAGCTTGAAGGGACATTGAAGAAGGGGCTTGAAGGGAAGGAAATGGGGGGGGGCTACGCCCCTCCAATCTTCTCCGCGGCAGAAACTTAAACAAAACGCAATCACGAAGAAAAAAAGAAGCCACACGAAATCTTTTATGAATTAATGCAACAAAACACCATCACAAACACAAAAAAAAGAAGCCACACGAAACAAACTGAAATGAAAAAACCACAAACTCAAACAAAACAATCAGCAACACGAAATCGCTTTGTCCAGAGACAATGTGACCAAATGAAAAATGGATGTGAGCCAATTTGCTGCATCAAACTTTCATATGAGAGCAAATTAAACTTTCATTTTGCAAACTTCTTTAAACTCGGATTTCAACGGCGATTCCGTAGAAACGACGGACCTCGAAAAAAGTGATGCGGCAGCAGCGCTCAATCCAAAAGAAGCCAACTGGCAAGAACAACAACTGCGGCTTTGCTAGCAGGGATTGTTTAGCTTTTGGCCCGTGGCATGTATGTTGAACTCTGTACATGCACGGAGCGATTCCCTGACTATGCGATCCTGTTTGCGAAAAAAAACTGTTTGCTCTCATTGAAAAACCTTTGACTTCTTTGTCGCCACGGCTGGCAATCAGACAAGAATAAGAGGCGTTCAAAGTTCACTGCCAGCGGGACTTCGTCAGTGGGAGAGCTGTTCGCGGAGCCCAAAATCCAAATGTCGGCACAGGTTGTAACCCAGGTTGAATCCAGGTTTAACCCAGGTTCTAACCCAGGTTTGGAACCCAAGTTTAAAGCACCAGGTTTAACTTGGGTTGGTTTGAAGAAAAACTTAAGGAGGCTAAGGAAGAGACCTGAAGGAGGACCTTCTTCAACACGAAAGAAGACGTCCACACGAAATCGCTTAAGGGAGGTTCAGCTTGACTGGCCTCGTCCACTACGACAGTAGCACTCTGTTCCTACAAACAAGCGTAACTAAACAACAAGTAAAACAACAAAGCTAGTTAGTGTTATGTTCTCTGATATGCAGCAAGTTGTGCATTTGCTGAAGGTTGCTTGAAATCTGGAGATGCTGTTTGAAGAAGGCGTCGTTCACGTTGAGAGTACGGTTTAGGGCTTGGAAGGCGCGATTTTGCAATTTGCAAAAAGTGAGGAGTTGGAAGGCCGGGTCCTTCCATTGAGCTTTGGGTTTAGACCTGGGTTTTTTAAAACCGGGTTCCTAACCTGGGTTGTTACCTGGGTTCATCACACCCGGGTTCCAAATCTGGGTTAGAACCTGGGTTTGAAACCTAGGTTGTTATAACCTGGGTTTAAACCTCGGTTTAACCCGGGGTTGAACCAGGTTCGAACCCAGGTTTCAAACCCAGGTTAAAACCCAGGTTCAAACCCAGGTTAAACCCAGGTTTCAAACCTAGGTTCCCTGGGTTGTTGTTGTTGTTGTTTCCCCCCGCCTCGAGGAGAAAAAACCCAGGTTTAAACCCAGGTTCAAACCTGGGTTAAACCTCGGGGGGGAGGGACCAGCCTCACAGAGCCACTACGTGGAAGATTTCCGTGCAGTGAGCTTGGTGCAGCAACTTACTACACGCACCTTGCTGTGGCGAAAAGCAGATTTCCAAGCACCATTCCTTTGCACTTGAAAAAAGAATCATTTCCATGTGGCTACGCTCCAGATTTCTGCTGTTTTCCACGACAAGTGGTGCTACACAGAGACACTACACGCTCCGCATTGTGGAAATTCGCAGAGTTTGCTGTTTTTCTAAGCCCACTGCACGCACCACGCTGTGGCAGGAAGCACATTTGGAAGCACAGGTGCTCCCATGATGGCAGGAAACAGCAGTAATCAGGGCCATTGCTTCCGCTGTGGTGAAATACCAAGCATCATTCCTTTTTGCACTTGAAAGAATCGTTCGGATGCGTCCCAGGCCAGCCTGACTTCACCATTAGCGAAGATGTACGGGTCGCATTTGGTGGTGTGAAGTGGTCTGTGGTCTCGCCTGGGATGTATCTGGCGCATATCGCCACTAACCATACTACACACTGCAGGTCTCGACTGCCATTGGATGGAGAGCATCTACTCTTTCAGCACTGGTGGCCGTAACACGACCATACTGAGCAGTGCAGCAGGCGTTAACTGCCACTGGATGGATTGAACGCAAGACCCGTTGATGATCTCCAAGCTCTCTGCAAGTGTATTGTTCGAGTACTTTCAAGCTGCGTCCCAGCGGCGACCAAACTAGACATGTAGCTGAGTCCACGTGCTCCGGCTGCAACTCAGTCCCAAGTAACTTCAGGCGAATTTGTGCACTCTCTTCCAAAAGTTTTATGGTTTTCGGAACCACTAGACTCTTTACTGGCAAGCACCTGGAGCTGACTGTTCTGGATGCATCTTTCTGAAGGTGTAGCGATTGGAGCTGACTATCCAAGGCATGTCTGTTGCATGATCCAACACCATGGTCGGCTTTCCGAAAAACATCCGAGCCTGATTGACCAATGTGCAGTGGGAGCATGCGCCGCATGTGCAACGAGAATCTTCAAGCCAAAGCGGACTAAGAGAGCAAGGGTGGATGCTTTAGACTCCTGTTTGCCAAGGAGGCCAGAAGACGTATATGTATATGTATATGTATATGTATATGTGTATTCACATGTACATGTATATGTATATGTATATGTATATGTATATGTTTATGTACATGTTTATGTATATTGTATATGCATATGCATATGTATATGTATATGTTTATGTAGATGTAGATGTAGATGTAGATGTAGGTGTAGGTGTAGATGTAGATGTATATGTATAAGTATGTACGTGTATATGTGTATATGTGTATATGTGTATATGTGTATATGTGTAAATGCGTATATGTGTGTATGTGTATATGTGTGTATTTGTATACTTGTTTATGTGTATATGTATATGTATATGTATATGTTTGTGTATATGTATATGTATATGTATCTGTATATGTATATGTATATGTATCTGTATCTGTATCTGTATGTGTATATGTATATGTATAGGTATATGTATATGTATATGTGTATGTATATGTGTATGTATATGTATATGTGTATGTATATGTATGTGTATATGTATGTGTTTATGTATATATGTATATGCATATGTATATGTATCTGTATCTGTATCTGTATCTGTTTCTGTATATGTATATGTATACGTATATGTATATGTATATGTACATG